CCTTATGTAAATACACACGCACGCGCGCATGCACACACACACACGCACGCACAACCACAAACACACACACATCTGCAGTTTGGAAGGAGTGTGTGGGGGATGGGACTATCGATAAGGGGGTTCTGGCGTGTGGTAAGGGTAATCATGGCGCTGGGGCATGGGTTGCCCGTGTGCGGGTGTCTGCTCATACGGTGTGGATGTGGAGTAGCTTCCCGCTGCTGCTGCGTAAGCTCCCGATGAATCATATGCTCCGTAGCCTCCAGATGCATCATAGCCCGTCGAGGCATCGTAGCTTCCCGACGAGGCATCGTAGTTCCCAGATGAAGCGTCGTAGCTCCCTGATGAGGCGTCATAACTTCCCGAAGCGCCGTATGTTCCTGGTGCTGCGTAGGGTCCCGATGCGGCATATGTTGGGGGTGCTGTGTATGTCCCTGGGGGTGCAGGGGCTGTGGTGGAGGCCTGTGTGGTGGCTGGTGGAGGCGGAGGAGGTGGCGGAGGAGGATTGGTGTAGGCATACTGGAGGTACTGGTACTGTTGTTGGTACTGTTGATACTGTTGGTATTGATGCATTTGCTGGTAGTACTCTGTGTAAGACCTGGAGTGCAGGTTAGAGTTGAGGAGGTGAGAGGGAAGTAGAAGAAAGCAGAGTAGAAACAAAGCAAAGTTAATCCAAGAATCACATGTCATGTGAAATTATGAACAAGTGGATGTGTTTCATTTAATGTCTTTGTGAAGCATTTCGTAATCACTGATATTTGCAAGGACCATGTAAATAAACTATGACTGTTGTTATTACGTGTATAAGTGGAGGCAGGTTTGAAATGATTACTTTTCTTCTGCCTCCATCCTATATGTTTTATTACAATGTGTTAATGTGTACCTAGCAACAGGATCTGACCCTTCAGGAGTGGTAGTGGCAGCTGCTGGTTCTTCAGGAGCTCCAGGTGGTGTCGGCAGCAGGGCACGTCGTTTGGGTCGTATCTGAGCAAAGGAACCTGGAACAGGGTCGGGGAGGAGGGGGGCTCGATTTCCTCTGATTGGGCTGCGGTCCCGCTCATTTTCTGATGATGCTGCCTTTCTACCTGCCTGTTGCTCTGCCAGAACCTTGTCAGTAAATATACATAAAATGTAAAACATTGTTAGCAACACAAAAATATACATGGAGAACATTATACATTTTGAAATAAATGTTAACAGACCTTCTGTCCCTCCTGAAAGAACTTGGCTCTTGCTGCCTCAAAAAGCGTGGTTGGATCTGGTCCAGTCTGTGGTTCAACTTCTTCAACAGCAGCAGCAGCAGCAGCACTGGGTCCAGAATTGTGATTGGCCAGGTCGTGGTACACCTGGTCAGCAACAGATCCATACACCTGGCTGGCAAGAGCACCGTATATCACCCCATCTGCACCTTTAGCACTTGTAATGCCCTTCAGAGCAGCGTAGGTGGGGTCAAAGGATGTGGTGTTGTAGAATGAATTATGGACACTTTGTTGAACCTGTAAAGACAGACAGAAAACACCAGCATATAAAAATTTGGAAATATAATCAAACTTGGTCTATCTTAACAATACAAGTATATCCTAGGAGGTGTGAGAGAATTTTTTTTTTAATGATGGATCTGACTGATAACAAGTTCACTACATAAGTCACCGTTTATAAACTCATGAGCTGTTATACATTTTCCACAACTGTCTCGTTTTTCAGAGATCATTAGTTAGAGGTTTCCCATCATGGCAGAGAAGAATGAACTTACTTGTATGGGTAGTCCTGCAGCAGCTGCTGCAGCTGCTGCTAGCACAGCTGCTTGACTCTGGTGATGCTCTAGTGATGGCGGTGGTCGGGGAAGAAGACCCTCTCTGCCACCTGCAAGGAGGAGGGAGCAGAAAACACAATGGGAACATGGACACGAGCTATTTAAAGCATTCAATTACATGCAAAACATTTGCAAAGCGGATCCCTCATCTCCACTGGCTTTTACACTACCTGCAGGGTTGCCTGAATTTCCGGCTGTTACAATCTGGTTGATCAAAGGTTGGGCTTTGGACAGCTCCACAGCCAACTGACGGCCCTTGAACATGGTCCCGTTGAGAGCATCAATAGCTGCCATGGCTTCCTCCTTCCTCTCCATATGCACAAAGGCGTAGCCAACATTTGAGCATAATCTGGCTGTAGAGTGAACAGGGAGCAGCAAGATCAGTGTCAGCATTAGGCTGATTTCAAAATAAAATGTCTCTCATATTTTAACTGTCACCTTTCATTTAACTTGAGGCTTTGTCTAGATGAAATTGTGCTACCAGGAAAATGTATTTAGAAAGTTGTATTCTGGCAATACTACTGTTACCTTATACTATTCTCAACCAAAATGGCTGATTTCAATTAATTACAGAACCAGATTTCTAAAAAATTTACCAATCTAGCTACAAAGACTGTTCTACCACCTGTACTGGTGATAGGCTTTCTAACGCACCTTTGACTTTATCACAGTCTAAAACTCTTCCGAAAGTTGAGAACAGCCCGTGCAAGTCATCTGCTGAACATGTAGCACTGAGATTCCCCACAAATACTTTAGTGGAGTTGGGTGGCCGTGCACGGGATTCCTCGACCACCAGGGGCCTGCCTCTGTACTCTTTGCCATCAAGATGCCGTATGGCCCTGTAAGAACAAGAATTATCTTTATTACCATCATCAGAAAACACAAACAGTAAAAGCAGACATTTCTGCCGCTTAAAAATGAATAAAACAATTAATGGAATAAAAGATATAAAACTATTACAAACTAAATGCTGCCAGTCTTGCATTGTTTTTACGAGTTATTTCATTTTCAATGGAAATTACCTGAATTAAATTACAAATATCCTTAAGAACTCCAAGACTCAGCAGTTCACAGTATTGTTTGATTGTATAGTGGCCCAGTCCTTACTGTTTTTAGCCCAAACAAAGCCTCTGGTATCTCAGATGCTGCATCCTGTCAGTTCTATTATGCAAGCTTTAGACCTTTATGACACTTTTCTAATTTTGGTGTGGATCAAGGTCTGTCAGCCCTGTTTTTAATCAGAATTCTAGTTGCCTTTTGATTATGCATGAGAGCGCTCAAAGCTAAATAAGGTTTTTGGGTTTTGTCCTCCGCACCTCAGGTAAAGTGTACTTTTTCAGTGGTATACCTGCTATCAGAGTCTAATATTAAACAAGGAAGAGTTCCTTAGCAAGCTGTCACATTCAGGCTCTTCAATAAGAATGTAAGAGATTACATTGGGACTTCAGATTATTGCTTTAACACCAACATCTACATTGGAAAGATCAAATATTATTTCTTTCAATACATACTATGTATTTACTGTACAAACTTGTAGCTTCAAACAACTGTAACAAAGCAATATTGTGAAATTATACTCAGATGTACATTTCTGTAATTTTTCATAACCATATCCAACAGCATCTTTTTTTCATGTATGTATAGATATTACATGTATAGTATAGTAGTGCATATGTTTTTATACTACTCATCATTGGAGTGAATAAGCTTAAAAACTGACAGCTTGGACTGGTTTACCTGACAACAATTTAAAAAATGACATGTCTCCACTAAAATATGTAAGAAGAGCATTTCATTCATCATATCAAAAACTATGGCGGGACAGTTGAATACCTGTCTGCTGCCCCCTCTCCCTTCAGGGTAACAAAGGCATACTGTCTGAGTAGTGAGCAGGTGTTGATTTCTCCATACGGTGCAAAGAGCTTGTTTAGCTCGTCGTGAGTTGCATCTAAAGGAAGGTTGCCCACAAACAACTTCACGTTGTCACCGCTCATCTCTGTATCAACCAAGCATCTGCAAGAGAGTAAACAGGACGCATCGGTTAAGTTACATACTTTCGTTAACGTTAATTGGTTCGTGAACATAAATAGAAGATTTTTACGATAAGGAAAAATAACGACTAGACTAACCATAGCTGATTTTATTCAGCTGGAGTGATGATATAAGATGGGGTTATTATTTATAAATGAAGTTATTACATTGCCATCTGGTAAGGGGTGTATTGCCGTTAGCTATTCGACTATTATTAGCTAAGCTAATTAAACCGTTAACTTTCGCGGCTAAAATGTATCCAGTCAAGTTAAGGGCAGTTTGTGAGCCCGCTAGGTTAGCTAATGATGGACATACGATGTATAAACAGTAACATAAATTGATTATGTCAAATGATGTGAGCTCAGTTGCATGACCAACAGTTAGCTAAAAACTACTGGCCATCTTGTTAAACGACAGCATTAATGATGTAGCTAGCGTTAGCTAAGCTAGGCAGCTAACGCTAACGCTAACGTAGTGGTTTTATCGTAGTAGATGAAAGCGTTTACTTAAGCTAGATGCTTACCACTCGTGGGAGCTATCTTAAAGTATATAAACGAATCATATCGCGTTTCAAGTTTTGCTTAAAAAGGAGGAGAAAGCATTAATTATGCCAGCACAGTACACAGACTACTTACCCAACGCGGTCCCGGAGCTGGAGTATTTCAAACCTCACATCCGCCTCCGGTTTCTGAAGAAGCAGTGTCTGCCACTGGGGCGCACTTTCGTCAAGTTTTGCACAAAATGATTCTTGACACAGGCTCACAAAATCACAAAATGTATGCCTCTCATTGCATACACATATATTTTTTGTTATTATTATGTTTTGGATTGGGTATATGGCTATTTAACTAAGAGATTCACAGTTTCACAAAGATCGTGTCTGGTTAGTTTGCTAATATTATGGCTAAATATGCCACTGCAGCAACACTGTGTACCCATATTATTATTACCCATAATAATAACGCTCATCATAATAACAGTAGTGCTCTTCCGTTAAACTTACTGCCGGTCTATTTAGTTTAAAGTTGAATCTAGTTTAGCTCTAGTCCATAACTTAAAGTACTGTGACATATATGTTTCCAGGTAAGATTAGGTGGGAGGGGAGGAGGAGCCTCAGAGGGGAGACGTCTCCAGTCTAGACCTGGGACCACACGTTATGACAGGCCGCATGGAAGGAGAAGTTCACTTTTCATCGTAGTAGACTTGGATCATGGAAGAATAAGGAGCATGCAGTCATCATAAAGTGGAGCCGGAGGATATTAAAAGAAGAGCCAGAGCAAAGAGGTAAACAACGAGCCTGGTAATGTTAAAGTGAGAATCGTATAGTACACACGATTTGATCTGACAAGTTGTGTGATTTCACAGCAGGAAGAAGCTGTGTAACATAGTTTGAAGAGGAAATTTACAAGGAAAGTTTCACAGGAATGCACGCTGCGGATCCAGACAGATGTTGACATGTAGACTGCAGTGAGAAGGCAGCTTTGATAGGGTGGAAGGCATATTCATAACAATACCCTTAAATCAATGTAACGATGCCGGTTGCATTTATGTTTATTAATATTTAATGTTTACTTTAATGCATTTTGTGGCGTTTGTGTGTCCTGTCTGTGTGGTTATATTTTAAGTTTGTTTCCTATAGCCTCTAAGATATGTCTAGGCTGCTGCACTATACCAAGTCTGGACTTGCTGTCCCAATCCAGGCAGATTTATAACACAGGTGTGTGTCTGTGTGTGCCTGCAGTAATCCTACCCATCTTCCTGTTCTGAATGTGACCACTCAGATATACAGACGAATGACATATTAAAGAAAAACCTGAATGAATGAGTGGAGAAACATAACAGATGCAGATGCTTCCACATAGTTGCACTGCATGTTACAGTTAAGCAGCTTACATCCAATCATGCTCTGTGGCCTGTATAACAATCCTGAGCAGGCCCAGTTGATTGTGATTTTGTACCAAGATGGAAAGAGGAAAAGAGCTTCAGTCACAAAGACCGCTCAAGTGGTTTGAGTTTCAATAGAAACAGTGACATCAGCATTTACATCTGTAAGAAAAACATCAGTAAATAGGGCTGGAAATTGCGGTTGACTGCGCACATTTGATGCTCGTGCTTTAGTGCGATATGTAAGGAAAAACATGTCAATACAAGACGTGATCAGACTGCGTCGACAATTATATAGAAAGGGATATTATAGTAGGGTTGCAGTGCATAAACCCCTCATTACAAAGATTAAACCACTTTTGAGAGTTCAGTTGTGCAAAACCTATAAGCACTGGTCTACAGAGATGTGGAAAAAAAAGTGATATGGTCAAATGATTCATTGAATGGTTTGATGAGTCAGAAAATGATACCAGATACCAAGGAGCATTGAAGCTGTTCTAGCAGCACGTGGTGCTCCAACACCTAACTATGACACTTTATGTTGGTTTTTCCTTTAATTTTTCATCTGTTTGTATAATAACCACCTTTAGCATAGGGGGTGCATGATCAGTTGCAGGACAATTAACAACAATGTGTGTATTTTTGTTGGGCATGTGCATGTGTGTGTAGATGGCACAGCAAGAAGAACCTCTGTATGACTTCCCGGAGCCTGCCAAGCCATCAGTGCGCAAGTCCTTGGGGCATCAAAGGGGACGAGGCTCTCTGAGAAGCATCAGCGTACTGGACCGCCTCCTGCTCACAGTTCCTGTGTGGCTCCAGATATCGATCAACCCCGCCACTGCACTGCACATACTCCAGAGAGAGCCTCCTGGGGTTAGATACACACATTCAGTACACATTTAAGAAAATCACAAGCAGAATGTGTACACACCGTGTTTATCTCTCTTACCTTCTCCCTCTCCATGTCCTACCTACACACACTCACTTGCACTCAGTCATCAGTTGTGTTGTCCTGCAGACATTCCTGGTGCGAAAGTCTCGCACATCCCAGAGGAATGTGCTGTGTGTCCGTTTGGCAGATGACAGCGTGCCGTCCTTCGTTCAGCAGTTTGGCATCAGGGAGGAACACTGCAGTAAGAGCCTAACACTCCTGAACCCTCATGAGTTTTAATACTATGTGTGAATTCTGAATTCTGTGTCTCACCCCAAACTCTCAAGATGAAATCTGCCCTCTTTGGAACAGAAATGTACATGTTAAAACTTATAGACTATTGTGCACTATATGGTTAAAATGGTACATTCTGCCAGACTTGTTTAATTGGTATCATATACTATATATACTTATTGAAAATGCATGAAACAGGAGACCACTTTCATTTAGTTATCCCAGCAAAACAAGGAGGTCAACGGAGCTTTTGTTTTGTTGTACTGGAATTATTTCAGTCTAGTGAACCTTATTCACGTACGCTTTACAGTAGCTTACTTGCACGCATACAATACATGTCTCTGAAACTTTATATACATTCTAAAATGATTGGAATTGAATAGAAACCAATGGGTGTCTGGAATTCAGGGAATCAAGTAAAAAAGTTATTGTAAGCTATATAAAATGGTTTGTAGAAATATACCCAGTGTGTAGTTATACTAGAATAAATAATGCAAACTACTGCTGCAATGCTACATATGACACATACAACTAGCTTGCAGATCACAGGGAATGAAACAGCCACTGTGTCCCTGTTTAAAGTCAAATTTAATTACTAACTACCCATCTCCCTCTCCACAAATCCCTGCACCTTTGAATTGTTCTCACCCCCAGCTCTGACTCTGGAGACTTCAGCCATCAGCTTTCCAGATCTCCCAAGACTAATTTCCTTCTATTGTGTCAGCAGGTAAAATTTAATCCTCCTCATTCTCATTTGTGCCTCCTTTGTGATCTCTTTTTCCATAATCTCTTTCAGTTTTCTTTCTCTACAATTTTTGTTTTCCACTTCTTTTGTGTTATAATCAAATTTTTACATCTCTCTCTGCATTCATTGTAAATATATATTGATCTGCAAGAACAGATGTTAGTGTTTTTATCATGTGTTGTATGTGTGTGTCAGAGATGTGTTACCTTTCCCTCTGGAGCTTCCTGAAGCCATTGCAAAGGCAACATCCCACAAGGAACTCGAGTCCATCTCACATATGGGAATAGGTTAGTGTATGCACTTCCTTGTTTCCTCACACCTGATTTTGTAATCACAACCTGGAAAACCTGAGCCTTCAAGGGTGTATTTACACAAGGCTTACACACACTACACATACAGTAATTACCACCCAGCTGCTGGGTAACAAACATAAGCACATGAGTAGACAGCTTGTTGAAAGTTTTAGTGATGTTATTTTAGTGATTGTAATATAATCGACAGTGCATACAGTATGCCAAAAAAAAAAACCAACCTTTTTTTAATTACTTTTTCAAATGAAATATCAAACAGAAAACAACACATTACATTTTAAAAAACTTACCCAGTAAGTTACATCCTTTTCAGGTCAAGACACTATATAAGAAATAACCTATTAAGTGAAAATCAGTGTCACTAAAATGAAAAAATATCTATATTGTTTTCTAGAATTTTGGAGTTCCCACTTAAATGTCCGTGGGCCACGGGAGGCACCTAAGCCCCAGAAGGAGAATGAGGAGAAGCCAGACACTGTAACCCCGGCCCCGCCCACTGCTCCACCACAGAAAAGCTCTGAATCAGCTCCCCAGCCCGACTCAGACCATCAGATCAAAATGGTGCTTGAATCAGACACTACAACCAAACAATCACATCCCAACCCCACTCTGTTCCACGAGTTTTGTCCCATCGCGACGCGCACCCCCAGAGAGTTGGACTGTGGCTCCGGCCTGGGCGCGCTGTGTTTCATCAACCCTCTTTTCCTGCAGTCTCAGAACGCTTTGTCCAGACGGCGCATGTTCAAACGCAGCCTCAAGGTTCGGGTTTCCACAGAGTCATCGACACTACTGTCACCCCCTCTTGCTCCGCCACCTCCACCGCCTCTAATGCCTAAAACTAAGAGGAGATGCAAAGTCCAGAAACAGGGACAAAGAGCCGCCCAACCCACTAAAGGCCCAGGCCTTTTACACGGTGAGAACCCAAGTCAAGCCACTCAGAGTGATCCCACAGCTCTGGACACCCAACCTCTGTCACAGACACCAGACACTCCCAGCGAGGCCCAAATGCAGCCTCCATCAGCTGCTCCTCACTTCCAGCCCGAGATGCAGGATCAGGGCCAAACTCAGGAGGCTACAGCTCAGCTGCCAGCAGTAATGGAGAATCTCCCAGATGACTCCGACTACATGCAGCCCTCTCCAATGATCAATTTCTCCCAATATCCGTCACTCTCTCCTTACCTCTCCCCAGCTGTTTCTCCCATGGCGCCTCCACTTTTCCCTAAAGTATCTCCATCCCTCTCTCCTCACAGCTCTCCTGGCATTTCTCCCTCTCTCTCCCCTTATCAATCCCCATCTCTTTCTCCCAAGGTCCCCTTTTCTCTCTCTCCGCATGACTCACCCAGCGCTTCACCGTCTCTTTCACCTTATCAGTCCCCATCTCCTTCTCCAAAGGTCCCCTTCTTGCCGTCTCCCTTCACCTCTTCACCCATCTCTCAGCTGGCAGAGGAGGCTTATCACACACCTGCTACCCCTTCAAGACCAGATAAGCAAAGATCAGACAGAGACGCTGAGGGAGAGGCAGCAGGTGCAAATGAAAATAAGGATGAAGACGGTGAAACTGATGAGGAGCTGCACGAAAAGGGGGAGGAGGAGGGTCTGGTTTTACAGATGAATGCTGCTTCTCTTAATGACAGACAACTGCAGTTCCTTTAGCAGTCCTGAGGGGGCAGCAGAGACTCTATCTCACTCACCCCACAACCGGAGTAACGGTACAAGCCTCTAGCAAACAAAAATATGAATTGCATTACATGATATCATGAAGCACTATGTAGAATTAGAGTAGATAATGTTGACAGCATCCCAGTGCAGCAGCGTACAAAGACATTTTTAGAGAAGATAAAAATACTTTGTATTAAATGTTTTTCAGTACAAAGACAAAACTTCAGTCACCTTCATCCTTCAACTAAACGTGTCATTTTAAAATAGGTCCAAGCTGAATCTTCGGGGCTATTTGTTATCTTCTTAAAATATACTGAAAGTCAATCTCAGCTTGTGAGTGAATTTCATTAAAACGAAACAAGACAACAACTGTTCTATGGTTCTGGTAGAAAAAATACAACTATGATCTTATTAAACAAATTTTATTTGTGCAGATTCAACACCACAGTTGAATTTTTCTTTTCATTTTTTTTTTTAGGGCTTCCAGACACAGCAATATTTTTATTCAGTCATCTATTACTTCTTTAACCAAAACTGGCAAAAATTAGCATAACCTATTATTGTGCCTTGCAGTTAACATTATGCTGTCTTAAGCTTTCAAATAATCATCAACACCAAGAAGGGACAAACATTTAATGTGTTGGACAAGCTGTAAAGATGGAATATTTTTTTAAGCCAAAAGTTCGAGTACAGACAAAAGACACGAAGATCCGTGAAGCCAATTTTTGACCTTGCTGTGATTAAAAAGTGAAAACTACCTGCAATAAGTTGACAGGCCTTTATACCCAAGAAGCATTTTAACCGTCTGCCAGCATTGGATTAATGGACAGTTTTCAATACTTCTCGTTAGAAAAATATGTTTCCTAAATGCATTTAAAAGAGTGATGGTGTAAGACTAATGAGCTTATTTATTTGTATTTGATCCAGTTATCAAAGACAGACCTGATGCTTTAAGATTCCGAGTCGTGGCTGGAAAAACTGTGGCTGATGTCTTTGGCAGATGTGTTCTTGTCCTATGGCTTTATTTGAAGTATGAAACTTTAATTTAGTCTCTTGTCCTCTAAAAGGATTGGAATCACTTTGCAGTTTTGTGGTTTAACATCCATTAAGTATCACTTTGCTATCACATATGGCTAAAAAAAAAAAAAAAAAAAGGTCTGATTTCAGCTGGTATTTTTGAAGCCTGTGGAGCACATGTCCATCAACACCAGCACTGGGTGTCTCTTTTGCTCAGCTCCAGCAGGTTGGCCTCCACCTTCTCTGCGTCATCTTGGAAGCGCTCAGTGAAGGAGCAGATCAAACCTGCCGCGCTGCCTTCATATTCCACCAGCTCTACACTGTCCCCTGGAAACCACACACAGAGTTAGACACAAACTGAACACTTAACTCAAGAGGCTACAACTGCTTCTGCATATGTACAATCTCAACCTGTCGCTACAACGTTTTGAACAATCTTAAATGCTATCAGTTAACATAGCTAGTTATCAAGTATTGATGAGATAGTGATAATATAAACGTACTTAAGAGATTACAATCGAGTGAACTGACACCATTTGTTCTTGGAGCACCAATTTGTGAGAATTTATTCCTGTAGTCTTTCAAATAAAAGTTTTAGAGGACAGGGGGGCGTGTTATGCTGGAAAAGAGGCAGTTTATATGTTTTATTTTATTCAGACCATATTTAAAGGAAAAAGTGGTTAAAGCAATTCCCAAAGGTCACACTCTAAAGATATGGTCACATTACTTTTCCGTTCAGCAAATTTGCATTGCACCTGACCTCGAACAAAAGACGTGATGTCGCGTTTCTCAAGAAGGTATTAAACTGCGATCACAAACTGTAAAGAGTGTGTCAGAGTGATGCTACAGTTTGTAGTCTGGTAGTGTGATAAAGTACTGAACATTGTGATAAAAAAAAAAATACTAGAAGAACAACTTCTCGATCTCTGAAGACAGTACATTAGTCTGTAACATCTAGACGGAAATGTGAGGTGGGTATAAAGTCAGCGGACAAAGCAAAGAGAGATGTAATAATCATTTAAATGTCGAGATAAAGGTACAACATTTTCAGTCTCTCCTGGAGGCCTATGTTTGAAAATAGTCAGACCTATTTTCAACAAAATAGAATCAGCTGGGCAAATGAATTCCCAGTGAATTAGTGAAAACCACAGCAATATCACAGGTGCAGTCAAATTCAATGGCAGAATAAATACAGATATGAGTACATGCGTTTGTATGTGTGAATCAGTGTTAATGAACATGAGTAAACCTCCATAACAACAGCTAAAGGTACGTACCACTGACTCTGGTGTTGGCCTGGACAAACATCTTTCGAGCTTCCTTCCTCAGCAGCACCGTCTCCCGGAGACGCAAGAAGTTGTGAGCGCCGCTGTCGCTGACAGTGGAGTAGCCGTCGTAGAGAGCCCTGCCTCCTTCCACATCCGCTGTCGACTTAAAGACCTACAGAATAATCAACAGGGTTGTCATACAGAGAGATGATTAACAATTATATTCACATCACTTGATTCATAATGTCACTCAAGAGGTGGATTAGATTTTCAAAGTGGTTCTGATCCAGTTCTGCTGATCTACGATGACTAGTCCATTAGAAACACAGATCTCACTCTCAACATTAGCTATTGCCATTCATATTTTTAAAAGAGTTGGAAGAGTAACATTAGTGGACGGAAAAAATAAATGAAAAAAAAAATTTCCTGATTTAATCATAATTGTTTTGTCTATAAAACATCAAAAAAAGAGTTAAAGACAAAAAAAAAACAGCATTCACATTTCTAATGCTACAAACAGTATTTTTTAGATTATGTAGAGGATTTGTCAATTATCAAAAAGGATCAATTGACTAATGGATTAATTGGCTAATCGTTTCTGTGCCAACATTTATAAAAGGGCATGATCAGTGTTGTATTAGGGCAATAAAGCTTCAGTGAATCTCTCTTTTTTTTTTTTTTTTTTTTTTTAAGGCCAACGCGTTTCTTTTTCTGCCGTCTGTGCAATTGGACAAGTAGAGACATACCTGCAGTTTACAAAGGAACCTGTGGATGGCGTTCTTGCCCACAGTGTGGATCTTGCTCCGGTCCAGTGTGATGCGAGCGTCGGGCTTGCCGTCCTGTCCCGTGACTTCCTCCAGGCCCACCAGGCCCTCCCCGGCCTCCAGCAGAACGCGCAGGATCACGAAACGAGCCTGCATGTGAGCCTGAGACAGACAAAACACACACACATACGCATGACATACACTGTATACACCTCCTGACACTCATGTTAACACTGAGACATACTTACTATAAGCTGAATTATAAAACAACGCAGACACATCGGACTGAGCTAGTCAGGTTGTCAGAAACAGATGGTTAATGGTCTGTATGTTGACTCGTCTTGTAAACACTATTCATCCAACACTATGTATCTCTGAAGTTCTATATAAATGAAACTTATGATTCATCATTACACACTGCAAAACAGGGTCCCTATTTAACAAGCTGCTGAAAGTTAAATCTTGGACTTACATGTAAAATAAAACTTAAAAAAACAGAATAAAAACCATTTATCCAATGTCTTGAATTAAAGATGCTCTTAAATTTAGAGAGATATCCAGAACTTTCTTAAACTGATTAAGTGTAGTAAAAATAATACATTAGCTGAAGCAGTATAAATGAGGTAGAGTAGTTTTAGTCCAATATTTGCATTTGAACATTTGATATGATGTTGCACCACTTTTATTTCACATTTAACAATGGTGCAAACAACAAGAATAACCATCATACTTTATTCCATACATATTTATACTTGATAAATATAGATTTCCTTATATAGTTCGCCGTTATATTCCTGTGTTAATTATTCCTGAAGATTTAAAGAAAAGAAGAAGAAAAAAGATTATATATATTCTTGCAGAATAACATTATTTTTGCAGAATAACTATTTTTTAAAGAATGTACATATCGGATGTACGCTCAGAGAAGGAGTAGACCATCAGACATTCGATTATGTGATCACTTGAGAGTTGGAGGAAGTCCCTTTTCATACTTAAAAGTGCTTTAAATGTAATTCTTATAAGTTTGATAACTACAGGCCCTACATAACTACAGATAAGAGAGGAAAGACAGCGTAGTATGGAGAGAAGCACGTGAGCAGACAGCTTACCTGTCTCCAGCTCTTGCTCTCAGGTGTGTAGAACTCCAGGCCCAACAGTCCAGCTCTGACCATACTGAGCCAGTTGATGTACACCACATCCTCTGCATCCTGGTCTTCATGGCCAAAAATACTATCACACACACACACACACACAGTAAAAGGATGAAAGGATGAGACTGTGTAAAATGTGTATTAAAAATTGCATACTTCTCTAGTCTATATCTATACAATTTTAATTTTTCCTATCGAGGTGTCTCGCATTCAAAAAATTACATCCAATAGCAAATTACAGCAACACTTTGTTCATTTTGAGGCATTCCAGTCAAATCTACCATCATAAATAACACTCAGGTTTACCAAAGCTACACATTACTCACAGCATTAACATAGATCAGACAAGAGTAATTGAATGTCACTGTGCAAAAAGAGCATGAGCATCAACAGCTCTGTCTGCTGGCAAAAGCTCAAACATAAATGGGTTGATGACGCCTGGGATTAAACAAAAAAAAAAAAAAAAAAAAAAAAAAAAAAAAAATCCCCTTTGTCCTCATTCTGAAACTGGGAGCGAGAAATGAGACATGTGCTCTTCAGCAGCTAATGTCGGCATCAGTACAGTTGCTGTTTCTGCCTACTTCAAACTCTTGAAACCAAGCCTCACAAAAGTCAATCCCCACCCAGCCACCAAACCACAGAGCTGAAAGCCTTAATTCATCTACATCTATGTGAAATTCACATATCAATAACAAGCAATACAAGATATACCTGAGCACTGGTTTGTTGAGACACAGATAGAGTCCGACACACTCGGCGCGGCATTCTTCATAGGAGGAGGCAATCGTGGAGAATTTACTGTCCCATGTCTCGCTGCCCCGATACCAACTGGAGACCTGAAAGACACATTCACACCTTCAGTCACCGGTATGTCTTGTTCACCAGCTGGATGCAGAATTAAAAGTTAGCATTAGTTTTGATCCTGGCAGGAAGCAGGTAGGGATACACACACACACACACACACACACACACACACACACACACACACAAACAAACACACAAACACACTCACCTTTTCTCCGGTCTCTGGGTTGATCACCTTGCTCTGGTCAAAGTTGAACTTGCCCTTGTCGTCCTGTAGAAAGAGACAGAGGACACACAGGGTAAATAAAAACGACAACAATAAAATTATTTCTTCACTGGTGATTTTTCAATCCAGCATCAGTAAATTAAACATTTTAACAGGGAGAAATCAATAAAATCTAAATCCTTCATTTCTTTCCTTAACATAATATAGGAAGATAAGGGCAACAGATCATATCAGATTAACTGCACCACAACACATAGGCAGGAATAACATACTACACAATCAATTATAATTATAATATTCCTATACAATGAAAGTTGTGTGATATATTACAATATATTAATACCATATGTTTGACTGACCTGGACAAACAGCTTTCCGCTTCCATGGCCCAACAGCTCATGAAGTCCAACCTGCACCTCAAACGATGGGCCCTTCCACTTGATGAACAAATCCTAGAGCAAAAACACACAAACACACAGGAGAATGTAAAATTATGAGAGTGTGTGAGACAGACAAGAGCTGGTGTGTAAGAAAATTGGGAAGCTGTGTGTGTATACCTTGTCACCCTCCTCCAAGAAGGTGAGTTTTTCTTTTTGTGTAGCATAGGCTACAGCCAGCACGTTGCCTAGTGACACGTTTTTAAAGCCCTCCGACTGTCTGATGTCATCGTCTAGACACAAAAACACACAAACACTGTTTTTCAAGTGTAATGCTGAAATTCAGTGCGAATTGCGCTTTAAAAATGCACAAAAAAAATCAAAACTTAAAACCAAGTGAAAGAGTGTAAACTTGATGCTATTCAACAGTGTCAGACATCTCGGTGTACGCACAGTTGGGGATATTGATGCCAGCTGGTATTCCACTCCCAGCAAAGGTGAGAACATCCAGTGAGGTGAAGTCAGGTTTAAGGAAAGTGTCCTTCTCAAACTCCCTGGGCCAAGGCAGCTCAGGAAGCAGGACTTCTGCCGAGCTCACCAGCTTGGCAAAGCGCTCGCTCATCGCCTTGTTCACCACCGCAACAAAACCTAGAGGCGACACAACAAGACCAGAGTTAAATAGTGATTTGACACCAAAAATAAAAAACACTAAAACAATGACTAATCTCAAAGAAAAACTGTCCTGTCCATTAGATAAATAACAGATGAGAGTCATATGAACTGTCCTGAAAATTAAATTATGTATACATACATCACCTTTCTTTCCCTTTTTCATGAGCTGTCTTCTTTGAAGGTAAGTAAAGTTACATTAACAACAGCATGTTGACCATGGACTCTAGCCTGAATTTATGGCCGAGTACCAAAACAGTGTAATTTAGGGTCATCCCGAGTACTGACAGGTGGGTAACATTAGCTTTGCTATGATTCACAGAGCCACATAAGTGTATTTGTTTTGTTATTGAGTTCAGTCTTTCTTGCACTTTCTTTAATGGTGGAGCCGCTTTGAATAAAAAGCATATGACAGCCCACTTGGAGCTTGCCAAACAGCATTTAAAGGACTCAAAGCATGAGATTCTCTGGTCTCATGAGATACAGCTCCAACTCTTTTGGAAGAACTCCAAAGATTATGTCTGGCAAACATCAGGCCCTGCTCAACACCTGGCTAATACCACCCCTACGGTGAAGCATGGTGGTGGCAGTGTCATGCTATGTGGGGTTCAGGGGGGGTGGGCTGCTTCTCAGCTACAGGGAGACTGGTCAGAATTAGGGAAGAATGAATGCAGCCAAATACAGAGAGGTCCTTGAAAAAAAAGCTGCACGCAACCTAAGACTGGGGCGACAGTTCACCTTTCAGCACAACAATCACATCCAATCAGACAGAGCTTGCGAGATTTTGCCAGGAAGAATGGGATAAACTGCCCAAATCCATGTGTGCAAAGCTTGTAGAGACTCAGAGCTGTAATTGCTGCCAAAGGGACTTCAACAAAATACTGACTTAAAGGTTCTGAATACTTTTATAAATGGGAGATCTTAGCTTTTGATTTCTACTTAATTTGCAAATAAATCTAAAAATGTGTTTTCACTTTGTCCCTATGGGTTATTGAGTGCAGATTGTGTTGTAGATTTAATTTCAAATGAATAAAATTGCCAAAATATGCAAAAAGTGAAGGGGTCTGAATACTCTACCCAGTCACTGTATATCTAGTAGAGTAACAGTTTTAGTAGCTCAGTCATAATGTTAATTTCCCCCCAATAGTCTCCAGCACTGTATTACACCAATAAAACCTAAGGAGGCCCAGGGTGTCACTATTCTTGATCACAGTGGTAGTTACCTTCAAACTCTCCTCTGGAGCCAAATGGGTCTCTGTAGCTCTCTATGAAACCTATATAACTGAGAGAGGGAGAGAGGGAGGAGGGAGTGGAGGAGTAATGAGGAAGTAAGAGCAGAAAAAGAAAGAGTTTGGTGATTAATACAATGGAGTAGTATTTAAGAGTCAGTGCAAAGGCCAGAATGAACTTGATAAGGGAGTGAACATCCAAGAAATATCAAGGATTTAAACCAAGATCAACGAGGAAGTGAAAGGTGCTGTAACAAAAGACAGATTTCTTTTCTTTGTCTTAAATCAGGTAACACTAAGTGTGAGGAAATCAACAAGTTGTGAGTTCTGTGTTTTGATTTCCAAAATACATTTGGAATTAAGCAGATACAGGATAATGGAACAACCTTCATTGTGGACAGCCCAAATGTTTAATAGACGTATACTGCGGGCTCACCTCTCAACAATTGGTCCTTTGTCTTTGATCCAATAGCGTGAGCCCTCTTTATGGGCTTCAACTGAGCCAAGGTTGAAGCTGCGCCTGTACTCTTCAATCATCTTTCTCTGGTTCTCGTTGGCAGCGTAGGCCTGTGTTGATTATTTGGAAACAGGACAAGAATTTCAAAAGTGGAACGGTGGCAGGAAGATTTGTTTTATGTTATCAACTCATTCATTCGCTTCTACACTCCTAAAGATACAGTATAACTATCTTTGTATTCTCACCTACCATTAATCTTACTGATAGTTTATCAACGCCAAAAAAACGTAACAACCATAGTTTATTGTAATCCACAGCAAAAACTGAGAAACTCATATGGCTCTATCAACTTCATATTGTAGTGATTTTGTTGCAGTAATGCTGCTCAACATCTGGGTGAATATAGACTAAACATCGACTGCATGACCCCATCGGATTCCTCGCCATCGCACCTGTGCTTGTTGGAGGTTATGGCAGACTTTCTCCATCAGAGGAGCATAGTCTCCTCTCTTCACAGTGAACTCTTTGTCTTCAAAGTTGAAGCTGCCGCAGCATGTCTCGCACTCTCCGTCCACTGCACAATCTGCGAAGCAGTAGAGTTTATTTTATCATTGACTGTGAAGCATCATCAACAACTTAAGTTACATAAACTGAGCTCTCATCATTATGCACTTGAGGTCACGAGCTACAATGTCTTCAGCATAACATGTGAAGTCATGCTCTGTGATACATTTTTCACATTCAAATATTCACAAGTGCAACATGATTGGTGAATGTTGTAAATGTTTATACATATTATTCCAATTCTCTTGTAAAACTTAATTTACTTCACTGCAGTTCTGACCTTTCTGCACAGCTGAGGCCAGGCGCACCTCATAGCAGGCTTTCCCTCCATTGTCCTTCTTAAACAGACGGGTGTTGTAGGCAGACAGTTTCTAGAGACAAACCACAAGACAAGCCAATTTTAGACTGAAATACGAGAACGAGAAAGACAGGTTGAGCCACCAAAATGGAGAAAAGAGAGGAATCTGAAATATATAAATTTAGGAGGAGGAAGGAGGAGAATGACATGTCACAGTCAAGGACATAATAGAAAAAAATGTTTTAGGTTATTGGAGTAACAGACAAGAATTATATTCATTTTAGGTGTGAATTCAGCTTACTTTTGAGTCAAGGAACTTCTGAGCCAGCTCAGCATCCTCCAGACAGCAGTTTCCTGAGAAGTAGGTGGTAATTCCCTAAAGAAAAGAGAAGCAAAAATACTTCATGAGCCATGAGTTTTCTCATAGGGGTCACAGTGGTGGGTCACCTGGAAGTTTGGGGTTCAGTGGCTTCCTTAAGGGCACATCAGTGGTGTTGGCAGGGAGGCTAAAGACGCTAGCCTGTCGACTATCGGATCTGCTACTTTTAAAAATATTTAACATGAGTAACATCTCAAAAATGAGAAAAGGGGAAGCGGAGAGGAAGAAAAAAATCCTGAGACCTTTTGGATTCAAACAGCTGATAAAGAGACCAAACCAGTGCTTAATATGCAGAATTTCATTTGCCAGATCTATCCAGTCTTGACAACACAATAGATCTTTCATCAAATATTACCAGGCAAAATAGTTTTGGTCCAAGCTGACTTGAATTCACTGAACTCCCACCTTGTCGCCCAGCCCCAGCTGTTTTTGTCTGTCTTCCAGGGAGTAGAGAAGACACGAGCAGCTGTCCCACAGAGCCTCCATCTCAGCAGACTGCTCCTGAAACGCCTGGCTGGCCCAGACCAGAGCCTTCAGCTTGTCCTGTGTGGATATACCACAGATGCAGAGAGCTTAAAAATATATTGCAGCGGTGGTAAAGGAGCATTACAGATCATAAACACCTTATAATACACTCACATGCCGGTGTATTCAGTACACTGAAGCTCATACCGACATGTTTTTATTGATGATGTGTTAAAGAAGTGTTGATTCAACAGAAGCTGACACCAGACACAGCAGATCTTCTTACCTTAGGTAGATTTGGGATAAACTTGGTGTCTCCGAAAGACTTGTAGTTTCCCATGTTGGCATACAGACCTGCTGCATACACCAAGAAGGCCTGAATTTCACACACAAAAATAAATATGATAAAAATAATTTTTTTAGTGTGTGGCATAATGAACAGCTTTATATGTTTGTACTTGGCGGCAATAAAAAGCCACAGGCCATAAGAGATCGATACCTGGTACTCCTCAGAGCTGAGTCCAGCTGCTGTAGCGACCTGTGCCAGCTGTGAAGGCGTCTGCTTCCTGAAGATTCTCTGCAGCAAGACAAAGATGTCTGCAGATTCGGGGGATGTCTGCAGCAGCACTGCCAGACCACCATACCTAAGACAGCCAATGTTTTTTTTAGTCAGCAGGGTTTCAGTTCCTTAATAAACTAAGTCTAAAGTCTGTACTCTTTAATACAGGCAAGATATTACTTTCAACATTTAAGACCTCTATTGATTTCAGTAGTGTTGCTTTGAGCTTGCTACATCCTGAGATTAGTAACATACCAGGCGGCACGTGACAGGTAGTGGGCATACATCTTCTCCTGAGGTGAAAGCAGACGGAAGGCTTCACCACAGTCAAGTGCAGAGACCCCAATGTCATTTGGGAGGTAGTACTGAGAGTCCACCATCTTTAGTCTGAGGTTCAGCACTGACGATAAGGAACTGAATTAAGAGAGAAAGAAAAGAATGAGAAAGAGAGGAGTAAATGAGGTAGAAGAAAGGAAGTATGGAAGTGAGATGAGAATGAAAGGTAGAGGACAAAGAAATGAGAGAGGAGGGAGAGAGGAAAGACCAAAGACAGTAATGAGACAAGTGGAGTATAAGAGAAAAAGATCACAAAAGAGAAATTGCAAGTTAGAACCAATTGCATTGGCTTTTGGTTTTTTAACACAGTGAGCCCTGGGAAGTATTTGCACACCTGTCAAGCAGCCAGTGTACTGTGTAAACATACACATATCATGACTGTAATATTATATAAATGGCAGCAGATTTGCACATTCAGTAGTTGGTGTTAGTTAGTTAGGTGCACTGAGTTTAACCTAATGCAGTCTAATACAACAGCCCTGCAACAGATACTCCCTTCATGAAGATTATAATGTTAGGTTTTTGTTGAAACTGATTTAGAGAGGTGTTGATTCAACTGTCCAGCTGTTTGAGGTGCTGTTGAACTGTAGTGCATTATGAAGAAAGGTGTCCCTGTTATTTAGCACACTCTCATTGATATACTGCAAATGGGTGGATAAAAGAATAGTAATATATGATACGATCATTGAATCAATAAAAACTAGTGAATAACCATCAACATTTACCAGAAGTCTAGTTGTTTTGTACAACTAACAGCCCCAAACCCTAAAAATATTCAATATAGAATTACTTGAAAACACAGAGAAGGACCAGATCTTCATGTCATTATAAACTGATTACCAAAATTATTGACTATTATGTTAGTGTCTATCCACTAACCTACAACTTTTAGTTAAAACAAAATTACTGATTCATTGGATGGATTCTGCTGTTTATTGTGTTTTGGGATCTCATAAAACACTTGATAGCTCTGAAGAAGCAGAGGAAGAAACTGCAATGACTGAAGTAGTGATACTGTTAGGATATTGTTACAGCACAATGAGGTAAGTTAACAGCTAGAGTTAAGCTTGGGACGCAGACAAAGGTAACATATCTATTAAGAGCTTATTCAAATTACATCTGTCCAATGGAAATAAAAGTTGCTGATCCTGAACCTTGATCTATTTAGATAGCTGACCGTGGCACAGATTTAAGAAGAACCAGTTAACAGTAATTCACAGAATCCAGTTTTCTCTTTCACTTTCCACTAAAACCAATAATAGTAAAAAGTTAAAGACAAGGACTTATATGCCGAGAGTAACACGTTTGTGTGCACCTTTAAAATTAGCAGTCAACTAACAGCAGGACAACACTAAAACCACATAATAAAATAAATACTAAAAAAACGTTTGGACTTCAGGCTACTGCAAACAGCTAACTCGGGGTTACCGTTAGCTCCTAGCGTGCATGCTAAGCCGATGCCTAGTGCTTAGAGCATTTAAACACACTGCCATAACTTCTGTAAGGAAAACATTAGGCGGCAAATATTATGCGACCTATTTTTGTAAATGATTTGCTACTATTCAACGCATTTTAATAGGTATATCAACTCAGCAGCTTGTTACCGTATTTTCTTCAAACAGCTCCAGCGAACGTCAAATTGCAGTCTCACGCTGTACACTTCCTGTATTCATTCAACGTTAGAACCGCCCCTCAACCAATCACAGCCTGTATTTTGTTGTAGATAGAAATTTTAACGAGTAGCATTGCCGTACTGTACGATATGCTTCCCAACGGATATGACCAAGAGTAAATGTGACATATATGAGCTCTAATATTGGTGCTGTAGACTCCACTAGACCAGACACAAAAAGATGTACAATGGAAATGCTCTGATAGACTTGTATAATTACCTAAGTCTCCTCCTATGACGGGCACATGACGAGGTGGCCGAGTGGTTAAGGCGATGGACTGCTAATCCATTGTGCTCTGCACGCGTGGGTTCGAATCCCATCCTCGTCGGTAACATTTTCCACAATCGGACACGTCTCCACATCTTCCACCCTTGAAACACTGTACGTCGGATGTGAACATAAATAAGAGAGATAAATCATATCACGGTCACGCTGCCAGGAACGTGGTAGGACAGCAACTTTTATCCCCTTCTAGTCTGAACTGTCTCCGCCCCCTACTTCCTCCACTTCTTCCTCTCTGAGGTTTAATGGCAGCTGCCATCCTTATAGTGTTGCATTTCTGCCATCTTCTGGAGTTAGTCGACCCCTACAGCACACTCAGTTGGCAGTTTAAGTACACCTAGGTTAAACTTTATGAAGGTTATAATTTCCAATTTTTGTTGAAACAGTTTTGATTCAAGTGTTGATTCAATTTTTAGTCTGTTGTGCTGTTGATCAGTAATGCATTATATAGAGAAGGGTTTCTGTTAATTAGCCCACTCTCATTGACATAAATGGGGTAGAATAATATAATAGAAACACCTGTTAGTAAAACACAATAGCATCAGAGATCCTGGCTACAGTTTCTCTCTGAAATATGGTTCATGTTAGTTAGCCTGAGCTGACAGATCTCACCTCTGTAAAAGGTGGCATGTGGTTACCTACTGTACATTCATTTACAGAGCAGACTCTTTCAATGCCTGTCGATTTGGACCTTATAGACAAGCCCATTTCACAGTGTTAGGTTTGTCAGATTTCTCCCATCAGCATTTCTTCCCTATGTCCTTTCTCTCTGAATGTGACCTCAGTGCCTTGTTTTACTACTGTCATGATTTTTAATAGTATGTCCTGAAGACTAGACAGAAAGGAGAATGACTCACTACAGACCAGACTCTAAATTCTAAAGCTATCAAAATTGGCGTGCAACAGTATGCAAAATTGAAGTGCATTTGTCCTCCTCTTTCTACTCCACCCCCTTTTTTTATTGTTATTGAAAGTGAAAATTTGGCTTAGGAAAATCAAGTCTTTAATTTGTTTTTACACACACGGAGCCATAAAATCATAGCCACGCATTCTTTCCACACACACTTCTATTTGTTCATCGCCCTAGTTAGGCACTATTTCCTTTTATAACTTAGATAGGCTAACAAACCACACAGCATTTCATCAGTTTATTGGTTTTATTGAATTTTAAAAACATGATGAGAGAGTGAATTATTTACAAAGGGTGTGCAACAGGAAGTATTAAGTTTTCCTTGATGAGAGCCAGTCAGCTGTACTCCATCCAAATGGTAGTTTCAGTGACTAGTCCTCCATCACAAGAGAAATGTTAACAGACATCTGGGCGTTCAACACATCTGTGTGTGTGTGTGTGTGTGTGTGTGTGTGTGTGTGTGTACGTTTGTTTATTTTAGGGTTCATGCTTGGGCTTTGCCGTCCCTCCTGTCAGGAGGCGTTGTGGGGAGTATCCAGCGATAGCAGTCTGAGAAGCTCAGGCTCTTGTCCACAGCACAGCTGGTGCAGTAGACGATCCCCAGAGCCAGCATCACTACGAGGAACACACACAGCGGCACCAGCAGGGCCACCAGCAGCCAGCTCTTGTCGTGTTTCCGTTTGCCCTCAGCAGAGCCATCTTCTACGTCCGCTGTGCCGCTGACGTCCTCTGTACTCTCCATCTTAGACCCCTCCCCCTCCCCAGTCCCGGTGGCTGACCCGTTTGCAGTCTCAGCTTCCACCCCACCACTAACTTCCCTACCTCCTGTCTTAGCCTCATTATCAATTTCGTTGCCCGTGTTATATTTTTGAGTTGGGGATGGGGCTGTCTGATATTGCTTTGGTGACAGGTCATCCCATTGGTTCAGATAATTGTCTCGCCCATGAGCCATGTCAGGAGAGAGTCCCTCAGGGGCTTCCGTAAGCCAGTCAACGTCAAAGTTAGTGTCAGCTTCAAAGTTCGGGTCAGGGGTGAATGAGGTGGACCAGGGCATGTCATGGTTAGGGTCCACATCAGGTATGTGAGCGGAGTCACTGGGGTCAGGGGTCAGGGTGGAGTATTCTTCATCATCTGGCGAAGGCAGGCAGCTAAGTCCATCTGACTGCAGGTCATAGCCATTGTCACAGTAGCATTGGTACCCACCCATATAATTCAGACACTGCTGCTCGCAGGGCGACTCCCCCACGCACTCATCTACATCTACACACTTTCCGTCAGTGCCCGACTCGTACCCAGGGTTACACAGGCATTTGAAGGACCCCACGGTGTTTTCACAAGTGCCTTCACAGCTGCCCTCATCGAGGCACTCGTCGATGTCCACGCACTCGCCCTCATCATCTGGCTGGTACCCAGAGTGGCAGGTGCAGTGGAAGGTGCCTGGGATGTTGACACAGAGTTGCGGGCATGGTTGTTGTTGACATTCGTCTACATCAGAACATCTGCGGCCATCTGGGCCCATTTGGTAGCCTGGGGGGCATGTGCAGCGCATGCCCCGAGATGTCTCCACACAGTTATACTCACAACCCATATCCACACAGACCTGATTGATGTGGGGCTGGTCAGTGGGACCGGCGGAGTCGGAGGATAACTCAGGGGGGTCAGTTTGGCTGAGAGGGTCAGGCTTGCAGCTGTACCCATCCTCATCTATCGTGAAGCCCTCGGAGCAGTAACAGTAGTAGTCTGTGTCTGTGTTCTGGCAGAACTGCTCGCATCCATGGTCCTCGCTGCACCAGTCCTGGTTCTGTGAAGTTGAACCGGACGAGCAGAGGGGGGCATCCCTGGACCAGCCCACTGTCTCGTCGTCTCTCTCCATGCACAGTACAGTCTGCTCAGCAGGAGCATCTGGGTCCGAGCTGTCTGCAGGACATGGTACAGCAGCTACAGACCCATAGGGCACATGGGTCAGCAGGGCACTGACAAGGTGAAACGGGGTGGTGTAAACAGCTGGGCCTCTACCCTCGTCCTCCAGTGGTGGACACATTCCTTTGTAGTTGTACTGGCAAACGTAACCATCCAACGGCACCGCGCAGGAGCCATCGATCCACCGGAAGTTATCGCTGCTCTCCCGGCCGCTCTCCGAGGTGTAGACAGTCATGGCCGCACAGCGAGGGGCCGCGCAAGTCCCAGGGGTGTCTTCACGAAGCCAGTTGGTGAACTGGCCATCCTGGTCTCCTATTTGAAAATAAAGACAAGGACCAGGTCAGTAAAAGTACAAAGTGAGTCTTTTTAGTTCTCCTCTTTTATTTTTAACTGTCTGAAATGTCTCTTCTGATTTTTTATTTGCTTTTTTAATGTTCTGTCATGTGTAGAATAAAACTTCATTCATTACACAGGGTTTCATTCATTTGGGGGTGGGCGTGTAGTAGTATACATTGCTGTCAGATGCATTGGCTTTTTTGATATTGCCACTAGGACTTGCCTGCATATATGGGCTTTAAAATGCCAGTTATTTTGTAGCATTATTATTTTATAGTCCCTCTATTGCTTCCATTGGTGAGAGTAGAGAAAATGTGAAGGTGCAATAAGTGTCGAGTTGCTCTTTTGTTGAACTTTTGGCAGACCACACAATGTACATGGCATTTAGCCCCATAGTTAACACTACACTTTTTTTTGCAGCAAATTGAGCGTATCTCTATCATCATTCACTGTATTAACACACTTGACCCACAAAACTCACAATGGATTATCCAAGGTTATAATGGAAGTTTTTCTTGAAAGACACACCACTGCTGAATATTGTGAATGTAATTAGTCAAACTTGTGAGCACCACATACAAACTTCCATTCACTTGCATTGTACTTGTGTAATGGTAGAAATATCAGCAATGTATACCAAAACTATCTGCATGGCAAGTTTTTTTTTCTGGGTAAACCAATAATTTAAATGATGATAGAGGATAAAAACAGGTAAGTTGACCACATAACTCTTGTAAATTGAATGTCTTTTCTAAGTGAAGACAGAGGCAGACACACTGAGTGATAAAAAAAACCCATCTGGTTTTTAACAGGCGAGGTTTGTGTAATGACTAAATCAGGTTGAGGGGTAGCAGTGAGGTCAAAAGGGGGTTGAACTTCCACTGTCGCGCCAGCTCCGTCTCTGTGAAACAAAAGCAGTTAATGTAATAACCATCCAGTGCAGAGCTCTGGGGGCTGGCCCGGGTACCGAAGTCTGACAGAGAGGTTACATTTTTGGCTAGAAATAGTTCCAGAACCAATTTAGTCGAGAAGGTAATTAACTAAGTAATGAATTTCTGACCACATCTAGCCTCTGTAATGCTGGCCCATAGATTTTCCATTAGATCATAGTCAGAAACCTAAATGCTTAATTGTAAGACAAAATGTACCATTAGGTAGTTTTTTCTATTTTAGGAACATTTTATTTGAGCCCACTTATTAAAAAATCCAATAAAATGGTTGATATAGTGATGGAAGTCAATATTAGGAACAGTGAAGGATGAAATGTGAAAAAGGTGAGACTTTGCCTGTGACCCAGACGAATCCTCTGAGTGGCCGGGTGGACGAACACTGGCGCGGAGGTCTGTGCAGCCCAATCCACAGGCGAAACCTTAACCTGCTCCCCTGTGCCTCGATGGCCGACAGGAGCTCATGGACCACACCCGCTGCCTCGTGGGTATGCATCGTTGCCAGGGTCCCACCTCGCTCCCGACAGCTCCGCCCAGCCTCCCTGAAGGTTCTCTTCTGCAGGAAGACAGTGTAGCATCCCTCCGGGTGGCAGAGTGCATCTTTCTCCGCCAGCTGAAGCCTGGCCGCCGGCTGCTCCGCCTCTGTCTCCCTCAGCCTTTGGCCTTGGCTTCCAGGAGCCAGACAGACCATGAGCAGCCACAGGACACACGGGAGACTCATGCTGCTGCAGCTGCTACTGTTCCTGATGGTCTTTTGCATCCTCCACCAAGACATGAGTTTTAAACTAGGCCAACATTCAAATGAGTATCCCAACCTGTCTATCAAAATAAATAACCAAATCGAGGAAGGTAACTGTCTTCTCTGACCTCCTATGCAAACAAACCTGACCCAATTTCTCCCACTTCAATTAAATTAACAAAGTGCAACTTGCCGCCCTTGAATTTTTCTATCCTGTTTGTGTCTTTAAATAAATAATCTGGTCTAAATGACCTTTTATTCAAAGTAATCTGAAGCAGACGAGTCCAAAACTGACATCTAATTACCTTAATTTACCTCAGATTGCCCAAGCCTTTAGACAAATAACCCTACAATGCAAAGTCGATCAAACTCCATTCATCAGCAAACTATCAGGGTTAGGGTTAGGGAGTTCACAAGATACTATATAAAACTAAAATAAGCCAATGCAGTCCAGTGGAATCTCTTAGAAAGTCCAGCTGAGCCCAATACAGGTCCAAAATAAAGTCCAGTGAAGTACCAGTGGAGTCCAGACCTCAAAATTTGTTGAATGGAGCAATCTGCCCTTCAGTTAACTCCAAAAGTGTTAAATACAGTCCATCATGAATCTGATGAATTTCAGTGACAAAAACCTTCTCCTGTATCTGATCCTGCTGGGGCTTTCTTGCCTCTGCAAAGTTGGCTCTGTGACTGAACCTCAGAAAGAGAGAAAGATGGGGGAGGGTGGAAAGGGGGGGGAGGCTACGTAGAGGAAAAAGAATTGTGTGTTTTTGGAAGAGGGGGCTGGTAAAGTGTGCGAGTGTATAAGGGAAGGCTGGAGGGGTTGAGGGGTTGGAGTGGTGGGGTGGTGGTGGTGGTGGTGGTGGTGGTGTGTGTGTGTGTGTGTGTGTGTGTATGTGTTGGGGGGGCGGCAGAATTGAAAACCCTCAGAGAGTTATGAAAACCATACGGCACCATTCTGTCCCCCCATCTTGCCTATGGCTGCAGACACACAGACACACAGACACACACAGACACACACAGACACACAGACACACAGACACACACACACACACACACACACACACACACACACACACACACAGCCTTCAAGCATGCTGCACAGCATCCACAGGAGTGGAAAGTGTTTGTCAGCTCTGTGAGATGCAAAGATTGTCTCCCCCCTCTTCTTCTTTTTTCTCCTCCACCTTCTGTCTCTCTGTCTGTCTCTCTTGTTCTGCTCTCATTGTTTTTGTGTCTCTATTTTTTAATCTCATCCTTTCTTCATCCCTGTCTTTACATCACCCACTCTGTTTCCTCTTTTTCTCTCAACCGCCCCCCTTCTTTCTTTTTGTCTTTCTACCAAGTCTATACCAGCTGGAAGTTTTTTACAGCCCAATGGAAATATTTGAGTATGGAACAGGAATACCTGTTGGACCCTGCATAAATGTGTTTGTGTGCATGTGTATGTGTGTGCGTGCGTTCATTCTTACACTGGTATACAATAACTTTGTATGGGCACAGATGTCTAATTGTATGCATGAGTGTTCTTCAGTGTGTGTGTGTGTGTGGCTACCACTCGGGGGCATGAGGAGGAGAGGAAACAGGAAATGCCAGATGTGCATCAGCCTGACCTCTCGGTAGCTGGGGAGCAGGGGTGTAGACTAGGGGTACCTCCACTGCCGTCACATGATCTGTCCGCCATGAATGGTACGTCTTGTGCAAAGTCAATGAAAGAAAAAGAAAAAAATATGATCTTTTTCATTTTCCTCATAACTATATATATTAAACGTAGCCAATTAGTGTGATTTGGGGGTTCAAACAGGAATGTCACAGATTTGAATTTGCCCGTGACAAACAAGTGGGCGAGAGACTGTAAATGAAGGTCTACCGCACACAAACAAGCTGAACTGTTGAACAATCCCGAGCAACATGAGTGGAAAAGTGCTTGGGCAAACAATAGAAGTTCACATCAATGCTCATCACGTTTCCTCTCTTTGGAAAGTGTGACAGCACAATTGAGGCAGCTTAGTGTCGTTATTATAAGCTGCAACTTTCCTCCAGGACCGCTGCTGTTCAACGCAGCCTTAAAAATGACAGCAACATTTCAGCGGCCGTAGCCTCTTTAATACACGGATGATGGGATGGAAAAGTCATGCTGTATATGTCGTTGAATCAGTTATTAGCCACAGCCAGTGAGTGTGTCCAAGCCTGTGTTCTCCCTGTGTACAGCAGATGAGTCGGCTGGCTGTGGCGTGTTGGTTTTGGCAGACAGAATATATACAGTCTAACTGTTCGGCAGTCTTTTCCAGTTATGTAACAACTATCGGAACCAGAGGGAGAACAAACATCAAACCTCAGGATCCTGGAGAACCTAAAGAGCCTTTTGGTCTTGTTCCCCACCTCCTTCCCCCTCCTCCTCCTCCTCCTCCTCCTCCTCATCCCTCATCCTCTTCTGGTCTTCCTTTGCTTTTCTTTTTCTTGGACTACCCCCATCCTCCTCTCCTCTCTTCCTCTCCTTGTTATTCTTTCATCCCTCACGTCCCTCCTCTCTTTTCTTGTTGCTCTCCTCCCTCTTCTTATCTCCTTGTTACTCCTCTCCCCCTCTTCTTTAAGTCTCATTAGCCGGGCTCCCGAGTCAGCAATCTCTCCCCCCAGAACGCCTGCTTTTTACCCCAAACCCTCAACTCTCGGTCTGTTTATTCTATCATTCAGCCCGGTTAACTCCTCCTCCTGCTCAGACAGCCACGCCCCCAGAAGCACATTCCAGAAATGTAATTGATAGAACAGACAAAACTTCTCCTTTCCATAGTCCTGCTCTCCCCAATTCCCCCCTTTCGCATTAATCTACTTACAGTACCTCCAAGCTGCTCTATCTCCAACCCAAAGACCTCTAATGGAACATACAGATTTCTTGATTTTATATTCTCCACCTCCCTGGTCACAGACTACCTTCTACCTCCTTGACTCCTAGCCACTTGCCACATATCGTTACTGGCTCTAATTCTTTCTCAACTTCTAGCTTCCAAGCAGCTGAACTGTACACTCCAGCTCTTTGGCCTCTCCATCACACTTCAACCACTCACGCAGCCCAGTAGCTGTTCTTGATTTGATGTTCTTTGGTGGCCACTAAACCTTTGGTATCTGGATCGATGACACATTTTTTCAGGGCAAAGTTGTGTTGCTCAACCATGCTGGAAAGGAAGTGTTTACATGTTTACAGATGGCCACGCTGGAAGGCAGAGTGAAAAGCCAGCAATAACCATTTAAATGTGGAGATAACAGCAAACATGCAGACAGTCAATCCTGGGCAGTATTCAGAAATAGTAGCGCAAAAGAAGACGAGAGCTCGCAAACAAACTTTGTCTGCTCTGTCACCTCTGTGCACCAGGCCAACGTTTGTGCAAATGTTGGATTGTCGCTCAAGTAACAGAAATTGTTGGATACAGCGTTTAAAATGCGACCTAAGTGCCTGCAGCCGTGCTAGCAGCAGCTCTGTGAGACCGTAACTTTAAGCTAAAATCGGACCAGCAGGATAAATCTGGGTGGGGAAAGAGAAAGAGAAGCACTTGCCCCTCCCTGACTCCTGATCTCCCTTAGCACTACTGAGGAGCCCTTAACACCCAACAGATCAGACTGTGTTTGTACTGGGTAACTTCCAGCTGTGCGCAGGGAGCACTGGTAGAAAAAAATAGAACCACGTATTTATTTGTATGTATTTTAACACCTTAGCTTTGTGTCATGAGTGCACATGGATTTATTAGTAAATGTTTTGTTGAACAAATGTGTTAAATGAATGGAAATATATTTACCCTATAAACAAAAAACAACCATTGGCAAACTAATAAATCATGTTATTTTATGTATTCCACAAAATATAAACTGTAAGACATTATTTTCCAATTGCATATATGGAAATATATATTTCTGCTCCTGCATGCAAGTGCGTGGATGTAAATAGGCCAACTCACAAAAGGACAAACAGCCTGGAAAGTAATTCATTTTACAAGTGTCATACTTTTCCCTGCTTTTGCTTAAGATGATTAAAAGAAAACCTTTTCTTCTTCTCTTAAAATAAGTAGGACTGTTGCTGGCCCCAAGGTCAGCAAACTTCCCCAGTGATGTCAAGGAAACTAAATTGTTGTTTCCTCACTGTCTTGGGTCAGTGAAGCATAAACTCGCCCCATTCAGGCCTATTGAAGCATTTGTGCCATATCAAATACAGCAGGACACGTCAGTTGTTCATTTTTCCCAACCACTGGTGTCTTATGTCACACACACACACACACACACACACACACACACACACACACACACACACACACACACACACACACACACACACACACACACACACACACACACATTGAAACGCGCACACACATGCACATGCACACACTGAAGCAATTAGCTGCGGCCTTGTGGTTAAATAATGGAGTGTAGGCATTCCTGGTGATTTCTGTGGACTGGAGGAAAAAGACGATACTTTTATCCACTTCTTCTACAAGGTCCATATGTTTCATCTTTCATAGCAGACATGAATGCCCTCCTTCCACACCCAGACTGTCAACAAATCTTCACCACAAACATCTGAGCAGACTGGGGATCGCTGTCTAATTGTTCAATCCAGAGAGAGTAAACTCCTGCCAGCTGAGATCTACAGTTCCTGAAGCCCATCAACTAAAAATGTTTGGACACTTCAGATGTAAGCTTGTTGGTAACCCTGCATCACAGCTTTCTAAATAGCTATGATGACAAGAGATTTACAAGTTAACCTTTATTTGACCAGGTAATATGCTTTTCAGCCATTTTCTCCTTCCTTCATGTTCATTCTCACTCACGCTCACAACTGGGAGCTGCCCAGTACAAACACAGCCCCATACCATTATCTACTGAGCAGTTTCAGAAAAACAACTCAGATTTTCAGATTGCAGAATAACAACCCCTCAGTGCATGGGCAGGATGCGGGAAATCTCATTAGTTTCTTCATTTAGAGATTCTCATTTATAAGAATACTCACATGACATTCTTTAATCTGTTATACAATGGAAAAAGGGGAAATAAATACCACTGTGTGAACAGCTGCTACTGAATTTTTCGGTATGGAGTCAAGTTTAAAACAAACATGGCTGCAGATGGAAACTGCAGTGACTAAGCTCTAGCTGTCCACAAAACATTTTTCAGCTTTGGAGAAAAAAAAAAAAGAAAAGAAAAAGCAACATGACAAGTAAAAGCTGGAGTGACACTAATATATGAAAGAATCATATACGTGTAAACAAACCTCAGACAAACAGAAACCCTGGTTGTCAAGGTTTGAAAAAAAAAAAAAAAAAAAAAAAAACTGCTGAGAGGCAGAAAGAGAGATGGAGAGAGCGCTGGGAGAGGATAATTCCTGACAGATTATTCCTTTACCAGATGATAGGCTCAGCTTTTCCATAGACACAGCCATGCACATGCACACACAGACGCACGCATACATACTACACTTCTTTTGTAGAATCTTTCATGATACACTCATATTTCTCCAAGGAGAGAGCCATTTGCGTGTGCGTGTGCGTGTGTGTGTGTGTGTGTAATGGTAAATGCATTAACAGTGAGAAGAAAGGATTATGACTCTACAAGAAAGGGACTAGACACAAAGCCTGTCGGACCTTTGAGATAACCCAGCACTTCTCTCTGCACCATTTCTTCTCTCTTCCTACATAAACTTCATATTTTGCACCTCACATCCACATCCCTCATGTGTCCTGTTCTCAATTGTGGCTCAAAAAGCTGCTTTGTGAACTGACTCAGCATCAGCAAAGGAAGGTAAATTATTCCCTAACCACAATGCTAAAATCTTCTGCAGACCAGTCCTCTGCACTGAAGTCGAATAACAGCCTCTCTTTCTTCCCTCTCTATTGTTCTGCTTGTCTTCGTTTCACATTCCCAGCTGTGAGGCAGCGGCCACCTTACAGTCTCAGTCGGTGGCTGCCAAATCAGAGGTTGTAGGATTTTTATCTCTGCGTAATTCTCAGAGGAAAAACACCGGGGAGGTAAATAGGTAATACAGTCGCTTCTTGCAAAAACTCCTGTCAAGCTTGATGCAGAGCAGCAAAGTCTTCCGCCCCCCCCAAAAAAAATAAATCCTGAAACTTTCAGCAGCCAGCAACTGAAGTCTGTGCTGTTGTACTGGAAAGGACCCAAGTATGACTGAGATGAAATATATGAAAGTGAAGCAGAGACGGAGCATGATGAGAAATCAGCAGTCTATCCTTGGATAAATAAAGATTTGAAAAAAAACCCTCCTTAATTCCCTTTAAAGCTTTTCATAGTCGAACACGCTATAAATCCTAGTGTGTCATCAGATGTTAGTTGGTGCTAAATGTAATGGGGAGTTGGTGTTGTTACAGACTCACTGCTCACACACACAGAAGAATCAGATGCAATAAGTTCAAATTAAAGGGATAGTTTGACATTCAGGAGAATATGCTCATAGAATTTCTTTTTGGATAGATAGATAGATAGATAGATAGATAGATAGATAGATAGATAGATAGATAGATAGATAGATAGATAGAAAGATACTTTATTATATCTATATCTGGATGGTAAATATAAATCTACTGCTAGCAGTCGTTAGCTTAGACTATTACTCCCTATATCACATTATATTCCATAACAAACCATATAAATCTTGTCTAGTCCGGTCTAGTCTAGTGCGTGCATCTGCAGAAGTGCATGTGAATTAACTTTGTCTTCTCTGGTTTAGGTTGTAAACACAGTTTTTATAAAGAGCTTGCCAGTCTGTCTCATAAATCCTAACCGACACAGCCTTTCACCTCTCAGTCCTAACCCTTCACTATTTCCACTGACCCTGAACAACCCCTCTCCTCTCCTCTACCACCTCCTCTCCTCTCCTCCCCTCCTTTCCTCTCCTCTCCTCTACTCCTCTCCTTCTCTCTTCCCCTCCTCTCCTCTCCTTCTCTCTTCCCCTCCTCTCCTCTCCTCCACATTCTGAATTTCCTTGGGGACACACTCATGTTTCCCCCTATCCTCCCCTTTCCTTTTCTTTTCTCCATTAATCTTCTCTTCTCTTCTCTTCTCTTCTCTTCTCTTCTCTTCTCTTCTCGTCTGTTGGCAATCCTATTGTTGCTTCTGGCTGTAACCATTTCTTCTCACTATCTTCAGGACAAGTCTGCCTTTCATGGCCTTATTTGTCCTCATAATGTGACTTGACATAGTCGTCTCTCTCCACTTTGGTTCCTTTCGTGTGTTTTTTGGCCGCAGTGTCTGTGTTTCTGTCCGTCTCTCTCTCTCTCTGTCTGCATATGTGTCTCTCTCTACTGCTGTCTCCTCTACCGCCTTCCGTTTTCACTCAGTCATTCTCACACTTCATCTGTCTTTCTCGGACACACACACCTCTCTCTCTCTCTCTCTCTCTCTCTCTCTCTCTCTCTCTCTCTCTCTCTCACCCAGGGAAAGTTGTTCTGGTGTTGAGTTTCAATACAGTAGGAAATATTTCGACCATGCAGGAAATGTCTGAACTGTTAGAATCGTTCTCTTCTCACACACACACACACACACACACACACACACACACACACACACACACACACACACACACATATACACACACACACAGTTTTAACAGCAAGGTGACTGTATTGCAATTAACTTGATCTAGCATACAGGCGCGGGAGCGGGAGCCAGGCTGCAGACGGGAATGGCACCATAGAAGAAGGGGTCTGTCAGCGGGAAGAGCAGCACCAGAAACAGCAGGGCTCCCATCAGATATAGGAAGAGTAGAGCTGTGCGTTGAGGGTGCTGCAGGGCGGAGCCAATGTCAGGCAGGCCCTGACTGTTACAGAACGAGTGGCACAAAACTGGGCCCACAATATGACCTATAGAGAGAGACAAGAGACTTAATGAGGCGTGGTCTGTGGTTGAGTAGCGAGGAAATGCGCTGTCCTGTTCTCTCCACATCTCACCAGTTCTCATGAATATGAAGGCAGTGAAGGCACCAAACACAGTTGTGTACAAGAACTGCATCCCTGCAACAGAACAGCCGCATTTATACTTTTCCTCTACAAAATCAATATGATAGATGCTTATTATATCTTTAGCATGTCCATGCTATAATCAAGCAAAGCTGATAGAGGTTGTGTAATACATAAACTAAACATGAACCAAGGTTTAGATGAAGATGTCTGTGGTGCATGAGATTTAAAAAGCTATTTAATCCATGCAGCTGTGAGATAAAAGCATACATCAGCCGATGCTTGCATTGTTTCACTTTGGTTTACTTGAGGAGAAGTTTGAAAGCCAGCTGACCTGCCACCAGAAGAATGACTCTCATACTATCCTTCTGGAGGCGCCGTTGCTCTTTGATGTGGTGGAAATGAGCTAGAATAACACGGTAAAAGAGCTATGAAGTGTGGGTTAAATGTAAAGTTTGTTTGGTTAACAAATATCATGTCATTGAAAATAATCTTGCACTTACTAACAGGTATTTAAACAAAAAGAACAAAAAACTTTCATTCATCCAGTAAACAAAAGGCATTCATTTAATTCATGTATTTCATCATTTGTTAATCTGTAAAAGAGTCTAATCTTGAGTTGGTAAAGTCTGAAAATCTGGTTGCCACACCGACACCGAAGAAGAGTGGAGCCATAAAGATGGCAGCTGTGGGTCCTGCACAGGGCACCAGCATGGGCAGCATGGCCCCTCTGAACACCAGCTCCTCCGTCACTGGCGCCACCACCTGGTTCCTGAGCCACACTACGTCTCCTAGTGAGAGTCTCCACGACTGAACATCTGGGAAAATTAAGTCAGGACTTTACTATGTATGACATAAACATCAAATACATACAAAGCACATATATATACACACACAAAGTATAACTCACCCAGTGCAGACTGCAGTTCCGTAGTGAAGCCATTAGGGTTGTCCATTGCGGAATGAACCAGGGGACCAAGATAAAAAACCTGATGTTTAGAATAAAACCAGTTGTTTATAACATCCAGTGGAAGTATATAAAAAGAGATTAAAGATGGGGATCTAGAAACAGCAGGGCACAGCTTTTCAATGTGTGGTTTAAGGATGCTCATGGGATATCGCTACAAAATGCAGTAATTTCATGGAGGTTGTAAAGCCATGCTGTAATGCAACAGGAATGGAAACTGAGTCTCTGAAATGTCAAAACTGCCTTAGTGCAGCATAAATAAAATGTTCTAAGAGGGAAAGAGGATCCACAGAGTACCGTTTCTTTCATCCAAGTAGATTTACCTTAAAGAATCTCAGGTTGACTTTAGGTCTGGCAGGTTAAAGAAAATAAGGTAGTAAAAATAGTTAAAAATGAATAAAATGAATGCTTTTTTTATTGTGTTTGTTTTTCCTCAGATCCTGAGATGTATCTCTCAGTGCTCCTTGCCAAGCAAAATTATCGAACCAGCTGCGAAAAGCAGGTGCTCAAGTTGCAGAGAGTCTAATTCTTGTGATTTTAACAAAGCAAACATTTGCTCCAGATGGTTTTTAGGGATAGAAACATCATCTTTTTCTTGAGGGGCTCATCCGTGTGAGGACTCTGACGTACCATGGTTAGTAGCAGTGGCAGTATGAGTGCAGGAACAAAACCTTCCAGACGAACCCCCATCAGCTCCCATACAGACGCATCGACCTGGAAGGCCAAAATTTACCCTTATGAACAAAACCTTTACACTAAAGTGACTGTAAAGTTAAGCTGATGAGTGACCCCATATGACCCCTTATGTATGGTGAACATGCCCCTCGGATTGAGGACACAGCCCTTCACCTGGATGGGTTCAGGGTTCAGCCCCCACTGTGAAGTGTCCTTGAGAAAGATATTGACTCCCTGTACGGAGGGATGATTGTTACACAGTGTGAACATGATTATCTGAGCTACGCTGAGCTACATGTAATGCCTGTAGCTGTACTGTGCTAGTGCTATTGATACTTCTGTAATCTAAAACTGGAAATAGAAATGAGCCTGTCTACACTAAGTTACCAGTTTATTAGGTACACCACAGTCTGATGCAAAGGACACAAGATTATAAAAGTCGCTTTTTGTTCTATAGAAGCGCAGCACCTGCAGGGTGTAGTTTGTGGTGCTGCTGAACTGTATCACATTATACAGAGAGGTGGGTCCGTCATTTAGGCTATCCTTGTTGATGAGACACCTGTCAGTATAAATCAATGGACCTTTTTCACAGCAGACCTTTTGACTTATCCAAGTCAAGTAAGTGCACTTGTGTGCAGGAATACGGTAGTTCAGCGGTTGAAAAAAAAGTAGTGCGAAAAGAAAGTTTTCACAGGAAGATAAACCGCTGAAAATATTCTATAGGTTTTGTAAATGTAGTTGGACAACTGGGTTTTGTATTTACATATTTGAGAAAAGAAATGTGTTTTTGCCACTGTGAAAAACCGTAGTAAAAATGTGACAAGCTGATAATTGAAGAGACATACTGTGATACAGATGATGAATTCTACTCACCCTGATATCAGCCCAGTGAATCCATGCCTTCACTGCTGCAGGTGACAGTGCAGAGACCAGCAGCACACTGACACAGCGACGCTTTATCACACTAGGATGGTCCCTGTGCGTATACACAAACACACACACATACACACACAAAAGTTTAATAGCCCAGTCTAACAGCGCTGTCACAGAACTGCTGGTGTGTTGTATACCTGGGTAAGCTGCTTCTCCAGACATATAAACTGCCAACGTACACACAGGCGAGCAGAAGGCAGCTCAGCACACACACCCAGCACCTTGTATGGGCGTGCTCCACCTGCCTTATAAGACCATGTTCTAGTTCCAGCATGGCAAAATTGAGGGTGTGAAATCAGAGTTTCAGGAGGTTCCTCAGGTGAGCTGTGGCTAACAACAACAGCTCAGCTTCATCATGCTTTGGACTGGCTCAATCCAGTCTGTCAATTCAGATTAAAGGGAGCTGCTTAGCTCTAATACTCTCTACTGAGAGGACACATATGGAGGTGTGCGCGTCCACACACAAACACACAGGTTATAATTATTGTCTTTACTGATCCAGTTGTATGCAAAAGTGTAGGAACCCCTGGGCAAATTACATGTTTTGTAGATTTTTGAATAGAAAAGAAAAACACAACCCTGTATTTTATTGCATTCGACCGCCTTAAACATGGGGGTAGAATAAAATCCACTAAATAGCAGCAAATACTGGATGGAAATGTCACGCAGTCATTCAAGAAACTGAAAAGAGGTTGGCTTCTATAACAGGACAATGATCCAAAGCAGACCTCAAAATCCACCATTAATTACTTCAAGGAACACAAGATGAAACTTTTGGAACGGACCTCACAGTCCCCCCCCCCAACCTGAACATGATTGAAAATCTGTGGTTGGATCTGAAACATGCTGCATGTACAAGACAGCGTAAAAATCTTGAAGTGATCTGCAGGATGAGCGATAGAATCAAGAAGAGAAAGACTCTGAGCTGTTGACTTTTAGCTACAGGGGTTTTATTTACTCATTTTCACTTAAGAAAAAAACGAAATGTATTACTTGCCCGGAAGTGGCCAAAGTTAAACTATATCAGCTACAGCACAAGGACTAGACACAAGAAGATCACCTGTAAAACCTGTAAAATAAAACCATCCCAGATATCAAAATAAGTCTTCTTCTGGCCCAGTACACGCCCAGTTCCAGGGCCCAAATCCGGTCCATATACAACATGATTGTAAGATTCTACTTCCACGTCTGGATCAATTATGGGTCACACAGAAAATCTTCTGGCTGTCAGTCAATATAAGAGGATAATAGCTGGAATCTGCCCAGATATGGGCCAGACTCAGGCCGAGGACCAAGGCATTTTACTATCTGGGATAGCTCCATAATAAATACTCCATGAATCTCATAATGTTAAATGTTGGTTGAGACTGTTGAGAGGTGTTGATTCAGCTATGCAGTCTTTTTGTTTGGTAAATTATCACACTCCGGATTTGATGGGATGAAATGAGAAGCAACATAAGAGTTTAATGAACTACAACGTCAAGGGGAATACTTCTTCTAGCAAATAGTTGTGGTTGGGAGGTAACTCCTTTACATGCAGAGGTTAATTTACAGAAACAATGAAAGACAAAATCCGAGTTGTGATTAAACATATTAGCCTTTGTAGAGAAAAACGTAGTAGTTCCCTGACCGGGAATCGAACCCGGGCCGCGGCGGTGAGAGCGCCGAATCCTAACCACTAGACCACCAGGGAAGTGCTCACAGCTCCGTGACGATGGTTAAAGTTTTTGAAGGAAAAAGCACGTCTCTCGTCAATGGCTTCATATATTTTAGTAATACATTGTGCAAAATGAAAAAGAACAAAAAAATAAATCAGAAGTCAACGTTCATGTTTTCAAAGGTAGGTCCATCCATGACGTACTGTTCCACAAGATTACATATATCTGAACAAACTTCATTTTCCGACTTAGCCCTAACGACGCTGTTGTAGCCTACACCAGTGATTTCCAACCTTTTTCTGCCCAAGGCACCGTGTCACCGTGTTGTTCTGCTTTGCAATAAGCCCCACTAGCATGTCACTTGCCTCCATCGCCTCATCAGACACTTTCACACAATCCAACAAGCTGTCTTGCTGCCTCGGATCACGTGCTCTCCTGGAGTAGGCCAACTCTCTCGCAACGTGCTAGGGATGTTTGGTTTTCCAAGTGCCTTTTAAGCTTGCTTGGCACCATGTTAGCATTAGCCAACTTCTCCCGACAGATGACGCACTCGGGCTAGGGGGTAGTTAACATCCCATCTGAAGCAATAAGACAGGTAGCTCTCGTGATACTGGCTATTGACTTTTTTTTCACTTTTGTCTTGGTGTTGGTTCATTTTCTGCTCTGGTGTCTACAGTTGTTCCCCTCCTTCGCACTGGCTGTCTATCAGGGCCATGGATGGCCCTTTGATGTGTCACACAGTAATAATTCCCACCATCTGATAACTGCTCCAACAGCGAAAATCGGGGTTCCCGGAGGTTATTGAATGCTTTTTTTAAGGGTATAGAACTTACCTCTGTCTTGGGAAATGAGTGCATACAAAGAACTGACAAAACTCAGAACTTCTTGTATAGTTGTGTAATGCGATAATAATGGTTTGTCTCAAAATACCATGGCACACCTGGACTTACCTCACGCGGCACACCATTTGTGAACCACTGGCCTACACTTGTTTGATTTGGATGAACTAATCCTATGAGTAAGTCTGGGCAAGTGTTGGCCTGAGCGGTTTGAACTCTTAAACTGATGCAATATGTTGAATATTTTTGCATTATGCAACATCAAAAACATCTCAAACATGTAAAATAAAAATTGTATTTTGTGTATTTAACTTAAGTAATTTGATGTTTTAATTATCTTACACTTCAAAACTCACTACAGAGCTGAGGAGTTCATGACACTTCATTATACAAATATATTAATGTATCAGCTCCACAAAGGGTGTGATGAGACATTGCATTAAATATATTTGTGTTCAGAGCACTATGGTACACCTTATCAATAATACACAGAATTCAAACATAGCAAATGTAAACAACAAACCAATATTTACTATAATTATCAACATCATTCTCAACATAAATAAAGACAGCAACCTTAGGTATACAGTGTGATAGGCATACAGTGATGATATGAAGCAGAGTACCACTTAATCAGCACACCTCAAAAAGCATGCATACAGTAGTCAAACAACACAGAAATGAGGAAACAGGTTCATTTCTGTGCATAAAGCAGGCATCACAACCATATATACATTATGATTGATTTAAGGCACTTAAAATAAATACTTTAAGTTACAAACCACCATGAGCCTCCTTAATAAAACGCTTTCAACCTCCAACATCTAATAAAGAAAAAAAGTATGATATTGCAATACATGGAAATGCTTTCAGGCTTTATCAAAATGTGACATTGGAGTCATCCTGCACTTGAAAACGTGTACCCTGTACAAACAACACTGTGGGTTTGAGTCCAGCTCATGACTTCTCATGTGCAATGTCATCTGAAATGTTTGGACATGTTAACAGATATTTTTCAGGGTGGAAATGTCTGACACAGAAATGTAAAACAAACATCACCAGAAACAGAGCAGTTTCTTTTTTTATGTGTGCATATCATAAGCAACTATAAATTATTTGCCATAAAAGTTACGAGGATATGGCACATTCTGCTTTAATTTTGAAGAACAAACAAAGAAACAAAACAGGAAAACCCAGTGTTCAAATACTGAATGAACAGAAGAATACGCACACAAACACACAAAACACCACATGTGCAATAGAAGTCCAACTTTCTGACGCATCATTTAAATAAATAAAAATAGGTGAACTGAATCAAAATAATACTATTATGTTAAGACAGACTGAAAATAATTCAACTTTGACATGAACAGACAAGCATTTTTACAGAGAAGAAGAAGACAGTTTGCAGCCTCAATCTGGCAGTTCTCTGGGAAAATGAAGGCACTTAACTTAGAAAACAAACAGGAAAATACAGAGCCCCCACAAGTCCTGAAAGATTTGTTTTCATCCTGCGCACACAAATTATGAACAACCTACAAAAGTATCATCTTTTGTGACTTCAGGGGTTCAGCAGTAAAAAGCTGTTTGTGCTCCTCCTCTCTTCTCACTGAAGGACACATTTGTCTTTGTTGCTGTATTTTCTCCTCCTCATCTCTAGACCGCGCTCCAGTCGCTCGTCCTCCTCCAGAGCCCTGCACATACATTTTTACAATCATTAATCTAAAGGTTTCATTTAAAACATGGTAATCAAATAACATGAAATATACAATATATAAATATCAATTTTTAATGCTTTCTCTTTTATTTTAGGAATTTGCTATCTCCCTCCTGTGACTTTGTCTTTTTCTCACAGCTGTACACCCACACACACTCACCCTCTCTCCTTGGCGTCGATGTCTCTGATAATCTCGTCCCGTTGGTTGACCAAAGACACCAGCTCTTGGAGGAGAAGCTGCTCCCTCTGCTGATGAGTGGACGACTTCTGCCAGTCTGCAGGACAAACAGCTGCACTTTACATAATGGTTCATAAAATCATTTACTGTAAAGATGTCGTTACTGAGGACTTTGCAGATTAATGACATTTTTACACTGTGATATTCCTGCTTTCACTTCAGTAAATGATTTGAATACTTCTTCCTAACCTTCGATAGCCATCATGACCCGTAGCTCTCTGGTCAGAAGCTCAAACCTGCGCTCCAGATCCTGCTCCTCTTGCCTGTGGATGCAGTCAGTAATCAGGTGGATAAAAAGAAGTGTGCGATGTATATGAAATATACTGTTTGTGCGTGAGAGGTCTTACAGTAGCTCCAGGTTGTCCTGTCTGCGTATCAGAGCGTTCTTCTTGTTCACAAGAGTGAACCACTCCTGGATCAGTCTCTCCTCCTCATCACGGTCACTTCCTGTATATGCAGAAAAAGAAAGGACAGTTTGTACAAAACTATATGGTCTCCAAAATAAAGACAATTATTATTTTTCTACTTGCCGTTTCTAAAAGTTATTTGTTGAGAAGTGATGAGCAGAATGTGACTGACAGCAAACAGACAGTTCATTTAGATCTTACTGGCTGCTTTATACATTTAACTCTGCAGTGCCACTCCTCTCCTCTCCTCTCAAGATGTCTTTAAAAGGCTTCAGGCCGGAGACTATAAAAACCTAACCTAAGTCTAGCATAACTTTCAGCAGTACAGTTGCATTGTGGATAATGTAGGCCATGGATTCGTACAAGAAGAATGACTAAAAAAGACAGTTTCTCTGGTTCTGCTGCAAGTCCACACAAGTCTGACGATGTGTCAGGATTCCTGACAGGATATCTATTATAAAATCTAATATCGATTACGACACTGATTTGGAGTTGATTGCAGCAGTTTGGGTTCATGTATTTGTAGTACATGCACAGTATGGGCCCATGTGATTGTCAGTGAGTATTTTGCACACTGCACCACAACCACAGCCTCTAAAGGGCCGTCAGGCATCCTCTGACCACACAAATTGTCAACTTTTAGAGTAAAACCAAACCGTGAGGCCATGAATCTACTGTACCAGGTTTAAACGTGCGTGACACTCACCTGTTTCCATGAGGCTTCGCAGTCGTCGCTCCACCACGGCGGCTCTGCTGTCGATGTGCTTCTGCTCTGTCTCCAACGCTGCCAGCTCACTCAGCACATACTGACTGGTGTCCTGCAGACACTGACCACAAGCCCAATCACAAACAGACACACACACACACACACACACACACACACACACACACATATGAACATACACACAATGACAGACGGCCACAAAGAGAAGAAAAAAAGGGGGAAAGGAAATCAAAGGGAAAGAGGGAGTTGGAAAGTAAAGAGGGAGGGGGAAGCAGGAAAACAGGCAGAAGAAGAGGGTCAAAGGATTAGAGAGAAGCCAAAGTGATGGAAAAATACAATCCGTGTATCCTGGAAATACTTTCTTTATAATGAATTCAACAAAAAATGATTGGGTTGTTCTTGCAGCCATCGGCCACATTGATCATATTCATTTGATTTGATCTGAGAGTGAGAGTCAAAGGTAAAGAAAAGAAGCAGAGAAGATACGGAGCAAAGCGAGGAACTCACAACTGACCATTGTTTCTGCTTCTTGCTTGGGAGGCTGTGTCTCATCTGCAGTCTGCAACTCTGCACAAACAAGAACAAATTACAGTGTAAAAGAAGAAGAGGGAGAAGGGAGGGAAGTTTGATGCATTGAGATGTTTTTTTTTTTAAGATGCTAGCCTGATACGTCATGTACGCACCTGATTTATTAGTGTTTTCCGTCACTGTGTCTTCATCCTGAAGATTGCAAAGCTGACACATTAATAAAGAGTATTTGATAGCTTTTCCTCTTCTTAAGAATAGAATTTAAAGACTTACATTCTGCTTTACAAGCCAATATTAGTTTAAACAATCAGCTACAGCAAAAAACACAGAAAGCGTCACCTGAGTTAGTCCAGATATGACCGTCTTGGCAATGGACCGTGGGGGTGGGACCGGGGTTATCGACTCGTCGACTAAAAACAGATGAGAACAACAATCAGACGGATGGATTTAACCTCTTGAATCTTGCTATTCCCCTAAAATTTCCACAGTCACCTATATTTCTCTATAACATTAAAACTTAAAGACTAAATAAGCAACGATCAAAGTTAAAAAAAAATCCATTTAAAACATTGAAAGCTGCATCAGGACTGAGTGGGTGTGATGTGATCAGATTTCACTGACAGTGGCCCGGCAACGTGAGCGTGCAACCTGACAACTGTCATCAAGATTTTGCTAACCAGTGAAAGGAGCTCAGAGAAAACAGACACACACAGAAACAACAGAGCTGTTCTAAATCTGGTTCACGTAGGATTGCATCAGCTATAGTTAGAAGCTGACTGAGACAATATGTTGTCAGGAGATTTGAAATTAGAACAATAAACTTCATGACTCATACTGGGAGAAACACTTACATCCAAAATACCTTGTTCATGACTGACATCCGCACAGGAAAAGGAAACCTCTAGATGAGCATCATTTTACACACATTTCCATCCAATTCCGCGTGACATTTTTTGTTATCTTTGGAAACCTTGGGAAACCTACGAGAATCTTAACTGCTGTGCTGTGAACTTGATTTAATGATCTGTTTGTCCTTCTTCCTTGTCCTAGACTCTGCTCCATCACATTCCTGAGTTCCCTGGAGACACACTAATGTTTTCCCCTTCCCTCCTCTGCACTGCTGTCCTGACTTGATTCTGTTTTGCTCCATTTAATTATGTTTCTCTTCAGTTTTTTTTTTTCATGTTTCCATGGAATCCAGCTTTATGTAGAGGGCTTGAATACCTTGGGATATGCTCTAAAGCACTGGGCTGAAGAGGCTAAAATCAGCCTTGAAAATAGATGGGATGAATGCTGACAGGCTGATACCTTTAACCACTCGTTTGGTCCTCGGTGGCGGGACGACCAACGTGCTGCTTCCTCCTTCCTCCAGACTCACTCCTTCGTTCAGTCTGGCCATGCAGAAGGCGGCGGCATCGACGTTCGTGGGAGCAGGACCGGAGAGGGCGAGGCCGTAGCTGGACTGGCTGCTGTTGTGCTCTATCTGCAGCACGCTCAGCTCCTGGTTGGTGAAGTGCGAGCGGATCTGGCTGAGGTAGGTCATGACTATGAGCCTGTCGGGGACGGACAGGAGAACCATGTCGGACGGCTCCAAGAGACGAGAGATGCCCAGCGCCTCGAAACCGTCAAACGCCTGATGTCGTCGTAAAAAAGAAGCACATCATCAGTGAAGAACAGAGGGACCGGTCCATCTCACTTTAGTAGTTTAAGTCTGTCTCTGTATACGCTGTCATCTGAACAATTTCTGATTCACTCATCTGAATCGTTTTAATCACAGAAACAGTAACAATGAGCTTATTGCGCAGCAGAAAGTGATGTAGCCAGATTTTTTATTGCCCTCTGTTTTGCCTCTCAGGACACATAAAGGTTGCTCTGGAGCTTGTAGGGGCTTATGCAAAGTGTGAGGAAGACTGCAGACACTACTCTGAAATAAGCATGCCCACCTTCTTTGTGTGGAATGAATATTTAGAAGAAAATGTCAGTATCAAGGAAATTAGAGAAGAAACATTACTTGGGTGAATTTATTTTAAACTGTATTAAAACAGCATTATAAGGAGAGACCATAAAAGAGAATGGTCAAATAGAAAAAGAAGACTGTTCTTCTGTATTCTGGCCTATGAATTCTGGACCTCAAAAGCAACTTGTGTTAATAGTAAACCATTAACACTACTTATAAAACAGGGCACTAAGCAGCTGCTGTGAAAAGCTCAATACAGTAAATTTGATGAATCCAAGTCTCAATCTTACCCTTTTGTTGTTGAGCTTGATGTCATGAGGGTCTAACTGGTCAAAATCTCTAATGGGACAAAAGCCGTGAAGAACAAAATGAGAAGCAGATTGACAACATTTAAATAAATGAATCAGACTCTGAGCTGCAGTGCAACATGGAATAACGTTAAAAACTGAATGCACCCAAAGTGCATATATAATCAGTACATTTTGTCTGGATGGAAGTGATGCAGGATGGCACAGAAGGCCAGGCCGTTTCTCCAGGACGTGCTGAAGTTTGTGACCTTCACCCCCTGGTGCCCGCTGGTGATGTCCTGGCACCACTGGAGCAGCGACTGACTGGAGTTCACCAGGCCCTGGTGGAGGAGGAGGAGGAGGAGGAGGAGAGAGGGATGAGAAGAGAAATAAGTTCAGTTGTGGTTGTGTGCTGTGATTTATTGAAGCGTGTCAGACGTTAAGTGGACATCAGCGTTCTGAATATTTAACCTCCGCTGTGTCGTCCTTCCCATCAGCCTCCTCTCTGACTGTTGGAACTGGATCAGGCGTCGTAACGTCACTGGTTTCTTCCTCTGGTAACGTAGGAAGCCAAGATGTCTTCAACTCACAGTGATGGGGAGGAGTGATGTGTATGTCTGTGTGTTTCTTCTCTGGACCGTCGGGGAGGTCGGCCGGTGGGTGTTTTAGCCTGCGGCGAGACGAGACATAAAAAATAGGCAAGACAGGTGATGAATAGGAAACCAGACTTTGTTTAGAGGAAGAAAAGGAGCTCATCCAAGCAGCCTGGTATGAGCATCAGCGTCCTCGGTGATTTGGAGATATTGAGCAAGAGACATGCAAGGTTGCTAACATGACAAGGAGAAGAGAGCAGATCTCTTGATGTTAGAGGGCAGGATGGGAACACACACCATGAAGAGAATGGGTAGCTACATTTGAAGCGGGATAGATTAAGCGCAGGTCTATGCTGTTTGGAAAATGTTTAACAACCTCAAAAACCAAGCGGATACACCGAACAGTTGGATCTTTTTCTTTGGATATTCAGTTGAAAAACAGCAAATTCAACAGTTCAAACTCCACACAGCAACTTTGTGAAACGGGCTAATGTTACTGTCTCAGACTTAACAGCCGAATAACACGTTAAACATCTGTTGATATTGAATTGTAAAACTGGTGTAATTCCTTCCCAAGTCTCTGCATATCACACTCAAAACACACATTCAAGGCTCGGTGTCATTTTATAGAGCAGCACAGGTTGACGCCTCATGCTGACTTACACATCCTCCTCTCCCAGTGGCTCCTCTGTCTCAGCCAGTGATATTTCCTGCAGGGCGTCAAAGTGGGGAATAAGCGAGTGCTGATTGTGATCAATAAGTTTGATTTCTGATCGGCTCTTGGGCTCTCTGGCGTCGATATCACCGGGGGCAGGGAAAAGCCGTTTCATACTGTGAGGGCTGGAGACAGGTGATGTCTCACCTGTCATCAGGCGAATTTTAGCCAATAATAACCTCTCCTCCTCTTGGAGCTGCTGGTCTTTGGTGAGATTGCTGTGATCGGGGGTGTGTGTCGGTGTGTGGAGGTTGTCCGTTGGTGTACCGTCAGTCTCTGTTGAGTGTGGGTGCTTATTTAAGCTCGGGATCTTGGAGGGATTCATGTCTTTATCGTCCCTCATTTCAAGACTCTTGCGTGAATCTGTGGCTGCTTTGTCATCGTGTGTCTTGTTGATGTGCGTGTCAGTATATATCTTGGTGTTATTTAAGTCACAGTGTATGCTACTAGTGTTTGCACTTGGAGGAAGTGGCCAAGGCACCACCGACGACTGAACAAGTTCTGCCTCCTCATTGGCTGCCACCTCCTGGCTGTGACCAGTTTTTCTGTCATCATCTCTCTGCTCTTTCATTGGCTGTTTTTGTACCTCACCGTGTCTGAGAGCAGGTTTTGCCCTAGTTGTCTGACTGATTCTTTCCTCTTGCTTAGACACCGAAGCAGGGTTAGGATGAGGACGGCCAGCCTGACTGGTTAGGGAGTCGGGAGGTTCTGGTTTATTTGGCTGACTGGCAGCAGAGCTCTTGTAAAGGGTTTGTTCGCTGAAGGGAAGTGAGGAGGGCTTCTGAGCTACAGCAGGGGATGGGTGGCCTGGGCTGGAGACAGAAAAGGAGATTTCAGAGCTGAAGTGCTTTTGAGAAAACTGACCAGCGACAGAACCGCGGTGTTCTTATCATGCTCCATTCCCCTCGGGCAACATACCACCAATCATCTCACGCAGCCAGAGATCCGTCCTGTTACGCTCACAAAGGTCTGATGAAATTCAAAAACAAGGTAGAGCATGGTGCTGGTGCTCATTAAAGAAGGAAACCTCAAAACAAAAACTATCCAGACGTGCTTTTCCCAGTTCAAACTCTATAGACTAAACTCAAGCATTCCAAAGGTCTTGACATGCCCATTGTTTGGATGAGATTTTCCCCAGGCTTTTCCCCAGGCAGAGATCTGGCTATGTGAGATTATTCCAAACTAAAAATGTTAGAGGCAAAGAAAATATGGGACTCATCCAAAGTGAAACACGAGTTTTAAACATGCTCCAGCTTCCACTGAACTGCAGTATCCAATGACTGAACCAGTCCATGCTACGTGGCATGCTACTTAGCTGCAATGAGTAATGAACAAATACAAAGAGCCTTGTGATATTATTTGATGCCAGACACATAGTCACAGTCATGAACAGAAACACACAGGAGTGGTAGATACAGCCACAGTTAACCCTTTTTCATACTGTGTGAAGGGCCTCACGTAGGTTGTATGTGTCCCTGATAAACGGGTCCCAACATTGTAAGTCAGGGGTTTTCAAAGTCTAACCTCATGATGCTTTGGGGGATGTAAACAGCAAAAAATTTTGTTGAGTTCCTATGCGTTACAACTGTAAATTTTAGAGAAATTAGCACAATAAAAAGAAAGCAGAATTAGCTATTAACAGTTCCTGTTTACAATTTGCCCAAGGATCTACAAAGTGCTATCATTACATTACTCTGATACTGAAGAAAACCTAAAACTGTGATCATTCCCAGGCAGGTACTGGAGTTCTAAGGACTTTCTTCTTTTGCTGTGATTTCTACATGGATTTGTGGATGTTAATTTACAATGGATATTGGATGTAATGATATTCTCAGTAAGTGTAAGTCATACTGAAACTAAAAATATGCATAATATGTCCGTGTGTTCAGATTCGACTGAGTTGCGACTCTGAGAAGAAGGACTGGGATACTTGAAGCAAATTACAGCAAATTGGGTGCTAAGGGCTTTGAGGTGCCTTAATTAAGGCAAGATGTCAAGAGGAAATTCCAGTTTTATTCACAAACAACACTGTAATGATGTTGCTTGGGGAAGAAATACATGACTCACATGCCAACACACAGCTCTTTCCTGAGAAACACCTGCAGGAAAAGGCCACACCCTCAGTAAATGAGGGATACTAATGTTTGGTGAAGATTTCCCCGCAGACATAACAAGTTAAAGGGATTGGTTACTGGAAGTAAACACCAAAACGCCACAGGCACAGTCCTCTAATCCACATGAGGCAACAAGCAGATCTCTCTCGCATAGCCAACTCCTCCACAGTTACTCACCTCTCTCTCCCTGCTGCCATGTATCCCTCCCTCTCACCCCCCCCCCCCCACCACCACCCCTCACCCCCTTACTCACCCTGCTTCCCCATCCATGTAAAGCTCAGCCAGCCAGATGGAGCCAAGATCCTCATGTCCTCTCTCATACTCCACCTCCTCATCCTCCTCCTCTCTCATCCACACTGGGATGGCACCAGATTTAAGGTTTGGCTTGCCTTTTCTAACTGATCTCAGAGCAGAATGATCCAGGTCTTTCTTAACAGCAATATCAGAGTCATCAGGTTTGTCTGATCTGGAATCAAGTTTATTTGTTGGTCTGGCTGCAGGGACTGAATCAACTGGTCTGGCCGAAACCGGTTTGATTTCAGCATCAGGGTCGATTATTTTCACTGATTTGGGATCAGATTTGCTTTCTGCCTCCTCCTCATTGCCCTGTAACCTCTCATCATATGCAATATCATCCAGGTCTGCCTCTCTCAGTGGCGGACAGTCAGTTGATTGGATGTTCCCAACTTTCTGGTTGCTTTGCACTGATTTAGAGTCAAAAAGGATCTCTTGTCTCTGTTGTGGTTTCTCGTCTTTTTCCATCATCCTGTCCACCTCTCCCTTTTTGTTTTTTTCCCTTTCCATCTTCTTTTCTGCCCTTTCTTCTTCCTCTTCTTTTTTCTTCTTCTCCCTATCTGCCCTCTGCTGCTCACTTTCTCTTTCTGCCTTTTCCCTCTCCTCCCTTTGCTTGTTCTCCAGCTGTTCTCTCTCATTTTCCAACCTCTTTCTCTCCTCTTCCTTTTCCCTCTCCATCCTTTCTCTCTCCTTCCTCTCCATCTCCTCTCTCTCCTTTGCCAACCTCTCTCTTTCCTCCTTTTCCACCCTCTCTTTCTCCTTCCTTTCCGCCTCTTCCTTCTCCTTCCTGTCTCTCTCCTCCCTCATTAACCTTTCTTTCTCCCTTCTCTCCCTCTCCTGCTCCCTCTCTTTCTCCTGCTCACTTGCTGCCAGTCGCAGACTCGCCACCAAACTGAGCCCACGTGTCTCCACTGTAGGTAAGCACTCTAGTTTCTTAACTAATACAGTGTGATTTTCTGTTGCGTCAGAGAAGGCCGTGGGTGGCGAAATGTCCACACCAACGCCAATCAGCGACTCATCATCTGGCTCAGAGGAATACAGCATCTCTGCATCTACTTCATGTATAAACAGCTGATCTTCATCGCTCAAAAGGAGGCACGATTGTTCTGCAGAGGGGTGTGGAGGACCTGCATCAGTGGATCCAGTTGTGTGCAGGATGGAGGCCACTGTCTCATAGCTACAGGGACAGACATGAAGGAACAGAAAAACTCTGAGAACGAGCTCACCCTACAATGACCTGCAGAATGACCACAGCAGGCTCTGAACAGTGTGACAGAAAGCCAGACAGCATGCTTGATTAAGTAGTTCCCTCTCAGACTTTGTTTTGGTGCTTGTCCAAAGCGCCGTGCGAAAGCAGACCACAGAAATATTTATTGTTTGTTACACTGAGAACCACCCAAGGCCGCCCCCCCACCCCCCCCACCCACCCACCACCCAGTGCACTAAAGATTCTCCTGTATTTACATCACTTCTGGCATCATTAAGTTCAGGTAAACAACTCTTTGACATGCATATGAGAGCTCAGATCTGCTCAGAGAAAGATACACAGCTAACTGCGAGCTAGCTAGCTAAATACAAGATAAATTCTGCGCTCTGCGTCACATCTTAACAAATGATTCAACAACAGACGCAGGCAGAGAGACTCACCCTCTATACAACACCCCAACTACTGCTGACATGAAGCCAGCAGGTGCCTCCTTCTGCTGCTCTGCAACACACACATCTGCCTCTGTGTCTGCACATTTGCGGGCACTGCCACACACAGAAACACACACACACACAAACACACACACACACACACGCACGCACGCACGCACGCACGCACGCACGCACGCACGCACGCACGCACGCACGCACGCACACACACACACACACACACACACACACACACACACACACATACACACACATACAAAGCTCTCATCAAATCAAATTTAAATATTCAGTCCAACAGCATAGACAGAGGCTGAGATGGAGCATCAGCTGTGGTTAATCGCAGCCGCTGAGGAAGCACTGGTTAGGCTGCAGCACCACAGAGGAACGTTAGTGTAGCGTGTGTACAGGTGTGTGTGAGTGTGTATGTGGTGGTTTGCCAGTGAAGAACAGACATGTCACGCCATGCTGCTAAGGCTGCATTGCTGACTCACCCCCCTATTACACCCTCCTCCTCCTGCTCCTTCTCTTCCTTCTCGTCAGTGCTCTCACTACTTTCCATCCCTCTCTCTGCTCCCGTCTCCGCTGTGGTCTCCTCCACGGCTGCCCACAGCTGCTTTTCTGCCTCGCACACTGGCTCCTCGTTGTTGATGAAACTCTCCTCACCACGAGCCACGCTGTCTGCTGGTTTCTCCTCATCTGCTCCCTCCTCCTGTGGCTTTCCTGATGGCTGGAGAACTGGTTCCGGCCGCAGTCCCGGTTCTGGTTTTGAGGGCAGCAGCGGCTCCAGCGCCAAAGCCGTGCGCTCCCCGACCGGTTTGGGGGAAACTTCGAGTGAGGTTGCTGGTTCCACACTGGGTCCCTCTGGCTCTTTGGGTTCCTCTTTAACTGATGGTGCAGCGGGTTGAGCAGGAGGTGGTGGCACTATGTGATGTGTCTCTGGGTCCTTGGCTGTGATTGGCTCGTGCTCCTGCCTGACAGGGGTGTCCACCTTAGCAGCATCTTCTGTGTGTGAGCTAGGAGAGAAAAAAAACGCATGAAAGATGCAGCCATTACAAATTTACATTTGCTACTTACTACAATAATAAGAAGCCAGACTATTAGCGAGGCCGCCACAGACAGTCACACAGGGAGATAAAGCAGAGAAAACAGACAGACAGACACTCCCTCATCCATTCTTACCCTCTGCACAAAGGTTTTGCACCCTCCTCGGCAGAGATTTTTTCAGGTGTATCTTTCCCACTTCTCCCTTCTAGCACTTTCCACAGAGGAATCTCTGCAGCACTCATCCTCTTTGGAGGTGGCTCCTGGGTCAAGACCTCTAATGTGATTGGTTTATCCTGAGCAAGGGGCTGAACAGTGGGGTCTGAACGGATGCCAGGTGGAGGAGTACATGTGGCAGATATTTTCTTTTCTGGGACAATAATGTTTGACAATGAACCTTCCTTTATGAGAGAGGGTTGGGGACTGGAGTGAGGCGAGAGAAAGAGGAAAATGTGAAACAAGGAAGAAAGGGGTGGGGGGGGGTGTGACAGGTGGAAGAACATGAAGAAGAGATCAGCAGCAATAAGACAGACAAATCGTAGGGGTGGGTGATACCACAGAATTTGATACCAAGTAATAAGGGGATCAAACAAATCAATACCAGTATCAATACTTCTTATCATTAGAAGCAGATAGGAAATGTGTCATGATTTATTAGGTGAATGCATCTAATACATTTTTATCACTACTGAATAAGTGGCAATTAGGCTTTTCTTTTGACTATTCTCCATTATCACATGCATGTTAAAATGCCAGACAGCTTTTAAAGGTGAATTACAGAAGTTTATTGTGTGAATTCACACATGCACACACAACGACAGCAGAGAAACAAGATGGTGCAGCGCTAAGACGAGTGTTAATGAGCCCAAAATCAATCTCAAAACAAGATATAGTATCAGTAGTATCAATACTTTGGGGATTGATCAGCCCACCTCTACAACACAGATAATCAATGATGTCCTACGCGAGCAGAGAATCACAATGTTTCACAATGTTTAAATCAGTAGGAGGAGAATTTAAAGTCTAAAGTCGCCACTTTAAGAATAACACTGATTAATTGATTTATTTTATTGATGCTGATTAAGAAAGCAGACGACAAGCAACACCCACAGTGAAGCCATTACTTTTTTATTTCAGTGCTGTAACTCACCGGTCTTTGTTGGAGTCTACGGCAGCAGAGCTCGGTTTGTTAACTGACTGAAGGGTCGACGGTCTCGATCGTGATTGGCCGAGAATGTGTGAGGGCAGCTGCTGCTCGGACGTGTTCGGGGGAGGGAGGTGGGAAGCGGCGGGTAAGAGATTGGGAGGAGGTGTGTGTGTGAAGCTGGGTGGAGGGATGTTGGTGTGTGTGTTTAGCAGAGAAAATGGCAAAGAAGAAGAAGAAGAGGAAGATGAAACTAAAGTTCTCATCTTCTGCTTGTCCTCATCCGATCTGTTGACCTCCAGACTGCAGACTGGAGCTGCTCGTACCTCTGTCCTCCTCCTCTCTTCCTCCTCCCTGACTCTCCTTTCCTCCTCCTCCTTCTTCTTTCTTCTTTCCATCTCTTCTTTCTCCTGCCGTTTCCTTTTCTGTTCCTCCTCTTTCTTTTTCCTGTCTTCTTCCTCCTTCACTCTCCTCTCTGCTCTCTCTTTCTCCTCTTTCACTCGCTTCTCCTCCTCTTCCCTCCTCTTCTTTTCCTCCTCTTTTTTCTTCTTCTCTGCCTCCTGCCTCCTCTGCTCTGCTTGCAGTTGTCTCTTCTTTTCGTCTTCCTCTCTCTTCCTCCTCTCCTCCTCTAATTGCATCCTTTCCTTTTCTCTCTGCTCCTTTAAGAATCTTTCTTTCCTCCTCGCCTCTTCCTCTTCTTGACGTCTTTTCTCATCCTCTCTTTTCCGCCTTTCCTCCTCTTCTTTTTTCTTCTTCTCCACTCTTACTTGCTCCTCCTTTAAGAGTCTCTCCTTCTCTTTCTCCTCCCTCTCCTTCTCCTCTTTCAGTAGTCTCTCCTTTTCTTCCACTTCCCTCTTTCGTCTCTCCTCTGCTTCTTTGACTCTCTTCTCCTCCTCCTCTCTCTTCTTTCTCTTCTCTTCTTCCTCCTTTTTCTTTCTCTCCTCCTCCTCCTGTAGACGTTTGTTCTCCACCTCTTCCTTCCTTCTTCTGTCTTCCTCCTCTTTCATCTTCTGTTGCTCCTTCTCTTTGTCCTCCTTCAAGCGTTTCTCCTCCATCTTCCTCCTCTCCTCCTCCTCCAGGAGCCTCTTTTTCTCTTCCTCCCTCCTCTTTTTTTGCTCCTCAAGCACTCTCTTCTCCTCCATCCTTTTCTCCTCCTCCTCCTTCATCTTCGTCATGAATCTCTCTCTCTCACGTCTCCTCTCCTCCTCCCTCTGAAGTCTGTCTTTCTCCTCCTCCGCCTCGAGGAATCTCCTCTCCTGCTCTCTCTTCTTCCTCTCCTCCTCCGCCTCCCGCTTCTTCTTCTCCTCTTCCTCCCTCAGCTTTTCCTGCTTATCTCTCTTCTCCTTCAGGAGTCTCTCCTCCTCACGTTTCCTCCTTTCCCTCTCCTTCTTGACCTCCTCTTCCTCTTGCAGGAGCCTCCTCTTCTCCTCCTCCAACAGTCTCTTCTTCTCTTCCTCATGTTTTCTCCTCTCCTCCTGCTTCAGGAGCTCTGCTTTTTGCTCTTCCTCCTTCCTCCTCCTTTCCTCCTCTTGTTTTTTCAGGATTTCTTTTTCCTTCTGCTTCTCCTGCTCTGCCTTCACCACCTCCTCTTTCTGCACCGCTGCTCCCTCTAACTGCTCTGTCAGTGACGCCTTTTCTCCACAGGCCTTTTCATTGGTTTTCTGTTCAAGACTGCAGAACAGATAAACAATATTCCTTAATCCCACGTCTCTCTCTCTCTGTCTTTAACCATTATCACCACCACCAGTTCACATTTTCTCATCTTATTTTTTTTTTATTTTCTGGATCGTGATTTTAACTGTGAATATAAATACTCACCCCGGAGGACACCTTTTGATAGTATCCATCTTAGAGTCATCCTCTTCCAGAAACAAGCCCCCTGAATCTTGGTTAAACGACTCAAAGATGATGCTGTCAAAGTCAGGCTCGGGCTCAGGCTTTGCCAGAGGCGCCTTTTCGGTCTCAGAGAACCTAATAATATTCTGCGTCTCGCTGACTGGCTTTTTCAAATCGATTCCCCTCTGAACATTTGGCTGTTTAGGTGTGATAAAAGCCGCCACAACAGTGGTGGTGGGCTGCTGGGGGGTGGAGCTCTCACAGCAGGAGAACGGCCACGGAGGGGGTGGGGCTATGATCAGCTCTGAGCGGGATTGGGCAGGACTGGGGATAGAAATATTGGTGGGTCAGGCTCGAGAGACAGGTGGGCAAGAGTTTCACAAGGGGGTGAGCGTGCAGGAGGTGGCGATAGGGGGGAGACAGGCGGGACGCACAGCAAGCCAGAGAGCTGACGATTATTTGACTGCCGTGTACTGGAAGGTAAGTGCGACTCGAGGCGTGGTACAAAACACTCTGCTACTGTTAGCACGTGTTAGCATCAAGGAGGCAAAAATACCAAGCACAAAGCAGCTGTGAGGCCTCGAGCAACAAGTCTCACAATACTCTCACAAACATAGATCAACTGTAACTCAGCCACACGTCAGCAAGCTGAAGCAGATTGGCCTCAACATTACAGTGGGTTATTCTGGGGTCATTTAGACCATGAGGATTGTGATAAGGTGCTGATCAATACTAAACACACCTTATTACGTTACTGTAAAGTGATGCATTCAATGTTATCTCAATGTGTGATGCACTCTGAGACGCCCTGCATACACTGATGTCTGATATTATTGATAGCATGTGGACTTTTAGCCGGGGAAATCTACATCTGTGTGACTGTGTAAGGAATAGTACAATAGGCCTATGGTATAATGAGATGGTTAAATAATAACAATAGAGAGCTATATTAAAAAAAATCAGTCAAACCGAATATTCCTTTATATTCAGTTTAAACAAATGAGATATAACAACTTAATTGGAGCTCCTGGCAGGCAGATTTTGTTAGCCTACAACAGAATCAGGCTAGCTGTTTCCCCCTGTTCCCAGTCTCTTTGCTAAGCTAAGCTAACCAGCTGCTGTTGAAAGATGGTATGAGAGTGGTATCAATCCTCTCTATCTAAATCTCCTAAAACTTTGAACTATTCCTTTAAGCAATCATGCAGTGTCAAGCAGGTTGGCCTTACGAGTCCTTTCCTCTTTAGACAAGTTGAGAGGAACAAGAAAAAGAATATCCAAGCCTTCTGGCATTGTAAAAACTTTTCGTCATCTATGTCATGTCTCCTAGGCTCTATTAGGGTCGCCATCAATCTTCAAGATGCCTCTTGAGCTCTGAGGTCTGTTGACACATTTTCTCCACACACAGCAGTTCGAGGCCAAACATATCTTTTAGGAGCCAAACCAAACAATCTAATTTTAAACACTCATGTGATATCATCCCATGACCTCACCTGATCCGTCCTGGCTCAGCCTTGTTGTCTGTGATGGCCGCCTTTGAGTCCTGGCCCGGTCTGTTGGTCTGGTTGGAAACTGTGATGTTGGCCACTTCTTGACCTCGGCTCAGAGGGCTTGGAGATGTTTCCTTGTCTGTCTGAGCAAAAGCGAATGTTGAGCCTATAAAGAGGAAGAGTGAGGTCAGATAACAAATCACACACTGAGGAGTCGTGTTTGTAAGAATGGAGGGAAAGTGTGGTTAAAGCATGATGCAATTGCTTTTGAGATGACTCAAGGAAGGGGGGTTACTGGCAGGTGAAATGTTTGATGAGTTGGCTGGTGTACCTGGCTGGCAGGAGCTGATCGGAGCAGGAGGAGCAGAAGGAGAGACAGCGAGATGAGGGTGAGGAGAGGAAAACAAAACAGAGGTGGAAAAAGAGGAGGAGCGGGGGGGTGATGAGTGTGGAAGAGAGGCAGGGAGGGTTGGAGCAACGGGGTCGCACAGAGCGTCGAGATCGGGACTACTCAGCAGAGGGATAGGGGTGACGTCTCCTCCAATCAGAGCAGACTCAGACGTCAGCCACGCCCCCAGATCACCTGAGGAAAGCAGAGCGATGAAAACGAGGAGGAGAAAGAGATGGAGAAAAAACAGTGTGCAGAGAGATAGTTTTCAGATGGATAATGGAAACAAGAAGAGAAATGGGAAGGGACAGAGCATTGAAAGTAAAGTGCACTCAGCTGGTTACCTGACTCAGAGCTACAGGGGTAAGATTTGGGGACAGGAGGTGCTGAAGCCAGTGGAGGGGCATCAGCAGAAAATGGTGAGGGAGAAGAAGGGCGGGCGATTGACTTGACAATCTGAGGTTTGAAAATGTGGGAGCGAACTACTAGGAGAAGACAGAGAGGAGTGAAAGAGAAAAGGACAAAAGCAGAAAAAAGGATTTTTAAAGATTTGAAAATAATATCAGCAGCTGACAAACATTTGTTTAGTCTGGGCAGAGAAAGCAGAGACAGACCAGAGGCTGAAATAGGATCATCTACAGTTTGATCCTCCGGGGGGCGCCGTTGATACGACGCAGGAACTGAGAGAGCAGAGAAGGTGAAGACAGAGGAGTAATGGACAGAAGAGGAATTGAGAAAAAAGATATGTGTCAACAGGGACAGGCAAAAAAGTGAAAGGGGAACAGAAAAGCTAAATTCATATCATGCGGTTTACTAATTTTATGACACCACAGAAGTGAGCTATATCTGTCAGGAACAAACACATGTTTGCAGTCTGAAAAGCAGCTGAAAGCACCCCAGTTGGGCAGTTTGTTTTTGTTTTTGTAATTCAGTCTCATCTCATCAAAGTGTATCAATTTTATTTCTACAGATTTTTATAGTCTGTAGACAAGAGTCAGTTAAGCACATCTTTGCAATGAATAAACTGTTAATGTTATCATGTTATATACAGTGTGTCTCAATAACATTGAAGCGCATAGGTTTATGCACATTGAATATTCAGTATATGTGTTAAATTAAAGTTTAAGAATAGCATGGTACAACTTATAGAGAAGTCTGTATACGCATGGATGGAAACAAGCTTTTGATTCTGCTTTATCATGTAACAACACATGATAGCGTGTTCAGTTAGATCACATAACACCGTATTAAAAGGATAGAGCATCAGCTCCCTGATGGTGTGATCTAAATTTTTAGATCCAGCTTCCTGGAATTGTGAATACACTAGTTTTAATTAACAAGAAAGATGGATTTAACTAAAATAAGCAAAAACTAAAATAATCTGATTGGACTAAATGGCTTTTGCACTTGGGAATAGTAAAACAATGAATAGTGATAGTCTTCTTTTTGGCAGCAGGCGGTAACAAACAGTCAGAACACTGAAAACACACCTGCAGCATCAAACACTTCCTAAAAGCAAAGAGGCAAAATATGAAGAAAAGAAAAAGAAAACCACAAAAACAAGCAGATACTAACTATTCAACTTTCCTTTGTTGTTGTTACCTGAGGCACTGCAGCATTGACAAAACGTTCAGATGTTCAACATATTAGTGTTGGTTAAAATTCTTATGACAACCAACACACATAAGTAAAAACTGTACATACTGTATTACACTTGTAACACGCAGCTAACTCATGCGGAAACAAAGTCTAACCAGACCATCACACATGAAGAATCAGTGGAAAGCATGCAGCGTGCCTGTCTGCCAGCCAGCCTGTCGATACCTTTTGCCGAGTCTGACTGGAAGATTCTGGGCAGAGAGGGAGGCTGAGAGAGGCTCCGGGTGAGTGGAGGGTGAGAGGACGAGGGCTCGGAGGACAGGGTGGGCTTTGAGGGTGAGGAGGATTTGGAGGGGGGAGGATGGGAGGTAGCAGAGATGGGCTTATGGGTCAGAGTGGTGAGAGTGGTGAGAGAAGACTTTTGGGGAGCTGCTGAGGATGATGTCGAGACAGTCTTGGTTGATGGCAATGCAGTGGAGGGATGTTTGGGAGTTAAAGAAGTGATGCCAGTTGCAGGTGTACTGGTAGGTTTCAGGGACAGCTTAGAGGGGGTGTTTAAATGTGCAGGACCTTCATAGTTAATGGATGAAGAAGGATTGGAGGGAACTGAGGGAACTGCTGAAGAAGGCTCTACTGGGGCAGAAGGTAAAGAAGATACAGGTTCAGAGCATTTCAGAGATGGAGGATGGGGGGAAGAGGAAGGGGCGATTGTGGTCGTCTTGGAGGATTTGGGTGATGGAGGGCTGGCAGGGGACACATCAGAGAGAGGCAGGACAGGGGATGCACTCTGGATTGAGGAAGTACCTGCTGGGACCTGGGAGCTTGGATGTGGGTCAGATAAAGCAGGAGGCTCAGGGGGAACAGGGTTGGTCAATTTTTTATGCTTGGACCTGGGTGAGGGTTGAGGGGAGGGGGCTTGGGGAGGCTGGATCTCTGATTGGACAGGGGCGGTGGAGAACGGGTGTCGAGAGCGACGGGGCGAGGGGCGAGGAGCGATAGGTAGGGGAGGGCGAGCGAGGACGGCAGGACTGGGAGGACCGCCCTCACGTCCAGATGCTGATGGATGGATTGATGGATGGATGGATGGATGGCAGTATTGCAGACAGAAAAACAATGGAAAACACAGAGGGAAAAGATCATGACTTGAGAATGAAAAGAGGATTACTGTTGGCACCCCATGTCAGATAATTCAGCTGCCGTCATGAGGATCCTTTGTTAATCACATGACTTGTTTGTTTGAGTGACAGCACAAACAAAAAATATGGAACTGTGATGAACTGTGATGGAATTATAACCCATTTATTATCATCTACTTTCCATGTCTCATGATCATTTTACTATACGCAGTGACATTTGCAAGTGATAAGCACCTCAAACTGCAACCTAAGAGCTCAGCCATCGCTGAATTTCAATTCCAACATGCTGTTATGTCTCAGGTTGAGTGGGTGGCCACTTTGCAATAAAAAAAGGTCAAAGCAGCTTAGGTTCACAAGGCAACACTGCATGCTTTTCTACTACTTTATACTCCACTACATTTATGGAAATGGGGGTAAAAACTGTGCTTTTTACTTCACTACATTTATAGTTAGTGATTACTGACACATATCTATATATTTTGCAGATTATTTTTAAAATATACACAGCTTTTTCAACAAGATTCATTGTCCAGTGAAAAAAAACTTCCTCTTATCAAGTCAAGTTAGTCTGAAACTAAATAAATTTTCTTATAAACAGTTTAAAAAACATAGACAGGAATATTTTAACCTCTTTTAAAGCAAATTAACTCGTTTCAAATGTTTCTAACTTCTGACTTTTAATAACACTGTGCCTTATTTTGTCTTGTTTAACCCTTTAACTGCCTGTTCGACCATATGGTTTAGCACACTTTGACTCTTCCATTGCTTTTTTCTTGGTGGGGTTGTTAAAGGGTTAAAGATACAGATTCTCATTTCAGAATACTTTTTCAAAATTTTAATTCAAAATAGGTTGAAATATTGTCACTTCACTGCACTGCAGTGTTTTAAGGACTCTTTGACTAATGACATGCATTTTGCTGCTACTTTTGCATTTTTAAAATATTAATATTTTAGCACAGAACTTCTGCTGTGTCAGCTAACAGAGACACCACAAAGCCATACATTAACTGTAGCAGTAACACTTGAAAAGGAAGGAACATGTAATTTAATTTGCTCTAAAAAAAAGAAACATCAGGGACGAGTAGCCAGATGTCAGAGTTATGGCCATTTGAGCTGCCGTTACACTTAATTTCCCCTTTTTCATGTTGTCATGTTTATTTACAGTCATGTCTCTGTGGACACAGGACACTGACTTTTCCATGCCTCCAAACAACCTTCAGTACATTTCAATACAAGTTGTCATTAGCCTTTCATCACATGATTCACATTTAAAGTCTAGATGAGAAATATGTGGTATGGAAAGAACTTAGTTAGAAGAAGCAGTGTAGTCATGTGGGCAGGACTGCAGAACAAATGACATGAGTGTGTGAAATACTGTAATGTATTTTCCCTGGGAAGAGGAACAAATGACCGGAGCGAGTAAGAGCAAGGGGGAGCTACCTGAGGCTGGAAAAGTGGGTCCAGTGTAGTTTCGCTTGTCTGGTGGAGGGGGAGCGGGGCGATTTGGGCGAGTTAAAGTGTGTGGGACCACTGCAGCAGCCAGAGGAAAGTAAAGAGGCAGGAAAAAGAGAGGAAAAAGAAGGTAGAGGAGGAAGAAGTGTCAGAGTTGCAATGAGCGGAAGGAACTCCCAGAGAAGATCAGACAGAGGGAACAGTGTTGGTGTGAGTCTGCCCACCTGTAGCAGTGACAGACTTCTTGTCCTCATCTTCATCGCTCTCATTGAAATCGTCCAGGTTGCCGATGTCTGAGGGTTTGACGCTCATCAGGCTCGCCAGACTCTGCATGTCTTCATCACTGAGGAGCAAAGGCAAACATTTATCACACTGAAACTATTCACAACACAGTTTGTTTCAAACATTTCAAACAGATGAGGTATGGTTCATTTATAAGCCTCCAAAGAGACTTATTTTCAGCCAGAGCCATGCACAAATATAGAAGAATCACTTGAGTTTATGTCTACATTCAAGTATGTGTCTGGAGCACTACTGTCTAGGACAAACAGACAACATGACATTGGTGTAACATCATCTTTACGGGATAAACATGTGCAGTAGCTATCAATTAACACATGGACATCATCAAAAACATACTGTCATATCTTAAAATACACTTGTTACAATGTAGCAAGTAGCAACAGAGGGACAAATAAAAAAAAAACTACTCACGTGGCTTTTCCCTCACGAACAAAGACACACGACAGTGAGAGCTTGAGCGTGGCCTCCACCACTTTCACAGACAGTGGCTTCAGCTTCAGCGTCAGGTCAGTCTGGGTCGGCATGGGACTGGCGAACTTCTTCAGGTTGATGTCAGCTGATGCCAGCACCTTACGATGCCCCTTGTTCTCCTGATCATGACCAACAAAAACGACCAGGATATGTTTTATTTTGAATCACATCCCATTTACATATTGAATTGTATTCTTTTATTTCCACATGGTGATTAAATGTAGTCTGATTCTTAAAGCAGGATTCTTTGCTTACACCCTCAAGGACAAAGGTCCACTCTTTGTCCTCAAACTCGTCAGCGTTGGCCTCCTAAAGATGCGAGAACAAAAATACAATTTGTTTAGTGAAACATCTTCTCTAAACATTATCCATGCATTTTTCCACACATTTATATGTCGCAGTTTCACCCAAAACATTTCCTTATATTTGTTCATATTTTATGAGTGCATGAATTTTCTCATCTGGTTGTATAACATAACCTCTTTATGTCTCTCTGAGCTCTACCGGAGGGATGGAACACCATGCTTACAAAAGATATTCCTTCAGTTCGTGTTTGGATGAGTGTGGTGGAGAGCGCTGTCTAACTCCAAAATCACCCATAGCTGAAGGCCATAGGTTATGAATCACATACTATCATGCTAAACAAACATTTCAGTGAGCCCTTATGCTTTGTATTGACGCATTGTGATTCCCCACTCATTTTAAAAACCCTCAGGATTTTCGACTATGCCACAGCACAACAGCTGCATTATGTGTACTTAATTACAATGTTAATTCCCTGGACAATCATCAGTACTGTGCTGCACTTTTTATAGCCCTGTCTTTACTAGAATAGCAATCTTTGTTAGAACTAGATGAAAAGTCACAGAGAGAGGTAGAAGTTACAAATAGTTCCATATCGAGTGCTGTTAAACTTAGTGGTGTCCCACAAGGGTCAATACTTGGTCCTCTTATTGTCCATATAAATAAACAGGTACCCCTCATTAAACATAAGCTTGTTTTAAATTCTGATGAAACAATCTCAAAAACACTTAAGAGTGTACAGCATACTGTTCCTATCCATACTCTTCATGGTTCTCAAGTTGAAATTGTTGAGAGTTTTAAATACATGGGAGTCTGGCTGGACACTAGAGTTACTTTCAAGACACGTGGAACACTTGACAAGCAAACTGAAGGTCTTGGTTATGGTGATATTGTTCATGTGACTGCCACTCCCTCCACTTTAAAGCCTCTTGACTGCCCATTATCACAAGTGATACAGTCCTCACTCAACATCACATCTTATATGAAAATGTGTGATGGTCCTCCTTAACCAACAGAAGGGAGTTGCAGTATTTGTGTCTTAAGGCAAAAGCAGTCTCATTATCTCTGCTGTCTGGTAGTTCCAGATGCTCTGCTCCCTAGAAATGGGATGAGTTGCAAAAAATTTTGCAAGTGAAATCTGTCATTTCACTTCAGTTTTTAAAAGACTGAACTCAAGTTTTCTCTGATCCACTTGTAACTACCTGTTTAAATAAAGGAGTGAAAAGGTATTTTTGTATATATTTTTCATTAATTTGCCACCTGTCTGTTTATGTGTACTTGGTAAATAGTGTGCTTTGGTTTTGCTACCTTGAATAGTGTAACAGAGATGTCGATGTTCTCTGGGACCGGCCACACCACCATGCCCCTGTAGGGGTTCTTGATTCCAGGCTGCCAACTGTGGAGCTGCATCAACAAACAACACATTAATAAGACTGTGGGTGTGTGTGTGTGTGTGTGTGTGTGTGTGTGTGTGTGTGTCTGTGTGTGTCTGTGTGTGTTTGTGTTTGTGCTGTTTCAGTGGTTTCACCTTGGAACACATGCGTCTGTTCCTCCTGGTCCACACCACCCTCAGTTTGTCTGGTTGCCTACAGAAACACACAAACACTGATTAAAACACATAAACTTCACCTTTTTCTCCTGCCGTTACATGGCAGTTATAGTTATACACACACAGGACTAAAAAAAGGCTCTGGAAACCATTTTCTAAAAATGAGAAACTCTTGAAATTCATCAGATAAGATCTTTAAACAAAGTGGACATTATATAAATGAGAAAACACAAGGTCAAACAGAAAGTCTCATGACTGTCGCTGCTGGATAAAAATGCCTTGGAGTGAAAAACAAGGCACTGATGTGTGTGTTTAAATATTTTGCTGCAGAGATGTCCATTTATCTATCCGTGTGTATTTCTAAAGGTGTGATAACTTGTGTGTGTACGCAGGCAGCTATCCACCCAATTCATGGATATGTGTGTTAATATGGTGTGTGCCTATTTGTGTGTGTGTGTGTGTGTGTGTGTGTGTTGATAACACATATAAATATGCTGCTATTGTATTTTTCTCAGTCCTCCGCAGTACAGGACGTGAAACAGGAAGCTGCAAAGTCATGTGACCTGAGTTGATCTGAATGTGAGGCGTGCCTCTTGACAGGAAGAAGGAACCCCCTTTACCAGCAAACACACACATACTCACACATACACATTTACACATAGACCCCAAATAATAGACCGGTACATAATAACACACCTCTCTTCAAACCTCACTGCTTACTCCTAATATATTATCTTTACGACCATTTCAGCAGCCACAGACGCTCTTTAGAATATTGATACCAATCGTTTATAGATGTTGAATATTGTCTCAACTCAAGTTTCAGCTTATCACTGTACAAGTACAGCAAAGATGTGTGTGTGTACATGTGTTTGTATGGTATGTGTGTTAGGGGGTCAGGAGTGGCATCAGAAATAGACTGACAGCAGCAGGGTGGGGGTAACGGAGGGGAGAGAAGAAGGGAGTAAAGAAAAGAAGAGTTAAAATAGGAGACATCAAAGACTTGTTGACAAGCAAGAACAATCTGAATCACAAAGACACAAAGACATGTAGTGAGCACAGTAACAATGGGCAGTGGTGTTGGAGGGTTGTGACCGGTTTTACACAGGCAAACATTAGTGGCGTAATGCAGTTTAGTAACATGTAATTACTGTACATGGTGGCTCAGCAGACAATGGGTTGTGATAAACATCACCCTCTTCCTCTATGCTGAAATGTTCAAGTCTGAAAAAGTCCCGGATCAAATATCTGTGACACAGTCAGTAACATCTCTTTTCTCATGTTTTTGTCACATGAAGCACTCCTAATGTTACATAAAAATAGTCCCGTTACTAAATATTTAATTATCCTTGTGCCACTTCACTGTCTCTGTCAGCAGCACTTTATCATTTTTGACTGATGTCATGTACAAACTGCCGGGCCGTCTTATCTTTGCCCCCGTCTGTATTTTTGTTTCGGTTATCCGAAAAAACCTTGTGATGAAGAACATCCTTCAGGAGGCCTCGTTCTTCTATAGCCTCTATAGCCGTCTTGTAAATAGGACTTTATTGATAAAGCATAACTAAATACAATAGGAATACTCCATTATAGTTGCACTTTTAGCATACAAAGTCTAAAATGTGTCTCAGTAGTTTGTTTGCATGATGTGTCTCTATAAAAAAGCCAATCATAGTGGCAAATTAAAACAACCCCTTAAAACACTTGTACGCAAACATGAGACCTTTTCAACCCCACATGTGGACAAAGGGTTCATTTCCCAACCCTGATGTTTCGGTAACCTCTGACACTGGGATTAATCACATAAGAGCTATGGGCTGATTTCATCTTCATTCCTGAGGTAATATGACTGAAACTTTGGATTCATCTCCAGAGATTCCTCATTTCCTCCTGTCCTTGCTCCTCCTCCTCCGTCTCTCTGTGCGTCCTGACTTTTGCCTCCCTGTTTGAACAGCACAGTGGTAAAGGCGTTCAAACCCTGATTTCATCACTGTTAAGTGGGAAGTGTCACTCTTTCTAAATCAGTGTTTCTCTTCCCTTTCTCTGTGTTCAGATGACACAAGCCTTTCTGCTGCTGCTGATCAAACTCTGAAACTTTATTGACTTTATGGGAAAAAAAACTGCTCGGTGTTTCTTATCATGCTGCTGACAAGCCTCTTACACAATTATTCCATCCTTTAATGTAATCTGGACAAGATAAGAAGATGCACTAAGGGCCAAACTGACATGTGGGTAAAGGTTTAAAGATACTGGAGAAACTTTTCCATCATGCAGCAAGTCGAGTAATGTGTGTGAGATTTTCAAGGAATAAAAAGATTTTAAACACTCCTGATGTTGATATTGTAGGAAAGGTAGCACAAGTAGGATAAAAAAAAACATGTCAATAACCCTAGAACCCTAAAACTGAACATTTTCATTTGTTTTGCCTGTTTAATTCTGTATCAGAGCTGAACAATGGTCCATGCTGCATCACCTGGCCATCTCCCAGCTGTTTTGTGTAACAGGAAATTGCAGAGGAGGGAAAAAGCCCTACGGAGTTTGAGCTGCAGTACAAAGTGATTTGACTGCATCTCTGAAATGAAATAACAGCAAAACACGCGGGTACACTGTTGTGGTTATAATGTTAAATTATGATGTTGAATGTAAAACTGTAAGTCCAATAGTACAGCATGTTGAACTTGGTGTGATCGCCTGTATTCTTAAGTTAAATGGGAAATGGCAAGCAAGTTAGGACACTGACAAGACCACAGACTAATTAGTATCACACTTTTCATGTCAGTCAGTCTGATGCTTCACAGGGATGACGTCCCTGCGCAAATGTGACCAAGAAATCCCCCTTTCTCCATTGACTCACAACTCTCCGTCGATAGGCGGGGTCGGGAATCGAACCCACAATCACTCTGGATCAGTTCAGCACATGTACGTACATGAGGGGCGCCCTCATCATTCTCAGTGTAGCGGAAAAGAGCGACAACATGAGAACCAACATGCCCATAATGGAGCCTTATTATATAATAACAAACTAAACAGGCCGGGTTATTGACATTTCAAACAGTGACAGACTTTCAAACGGGACAGTTCAGGAAGTGAAAGATGTAATTGAACTCACCATTTCTTGGTGCACTCCAGTGCGAGTTCCTGGTAAGACGCGACAAACTGAAACTTTGAAGCCTTCTTCCCGACCCGCTGCAGTCTTTTCCACACCGAAGTCATGACTGCCCGAGGTGAAATAAAACTTAATACACGAGATAAAAGGAGGAAATCACACTCTCCTGCGAGCGACAATAATCCAACTTAGTCCGCAGCTTCTGCTCCTTAAAAGGTCTCCTTCTTCCTCCTCCTCTGCTGCTGCTGCTGCTGATGATGTTGATGAACCTCACACAAGCTGAGACTTGCGCTCATTTGCAGTAAGTTGAATCACGCACAGATTTAAAAAAAAAAAAAAAAAAAAACATTAAAGATGTCGCCATGTACCGAAAAGAAATAGCTGTAAACAGAACTGGCAATTAGGCCATCAGTAAAGAGGAACCGATTCCGCCCTGCTCATTGTCTTTCACAAAGGCTATAAACGCCTGATATGAAGCTGAAGTTTCAACCAAACAACTGCACTGACAACTTCTCTCTCTCTCGCTCTTTCTCTCTCTCTCTCTGGCAGTAATCCACATGCAGCTTAGTCAAGCCTGGGTAGGGGTGGGGGGTGGGGGGTGGGGGGGTTGTTGTAATATAGGTCTGCTGCCTCTAGAATGAGTTCACCCTCCCTCTTTCCTTCAATGACAGCAGCCAGTGACACAGAGAGTGAGACAGGATATGCAAAAAGTGTCTACTGGTGATGCAGCAGTATGCAAAGTTCAATATCTTGCTCTCCATTGGGCACAGTGTGTGGAGGTACAGAGTGAACAGTGTTCAGTCATACCTATAGACTTTGATCCCAACTGTCTCTGTCACTGGAACAGCCTTATCTGCTGGTGACTATTTCACTTAATCAGCTCTGCAAACTTAGATCTCCCTGAAGGCTGCGAGCCGTTTGTTCCAGCTCTGTTGTGCCACTGTGTTTTTTTGAAATACATTTTCTTCTGAGCTCGTAGTTATAACTCGAGTCACTTCCTGACTTCCAGCCGCGTCATCCAGTCCTCTCCAGAAAAGTGTGTTTCATCCAGTTAATTACAGAGGAATAGTTTCCATGGAGAGAAGGGTAGGCCAACCGACTCCAGAGTGAGTGTGTGTGTGTGTGTGTGTGTGTGTGTGTTCAAGCTAGGTCAACGCACAGGGATTTTCCTCAGTGAGAGCAGAGTGTATTTTTTAGGTGGGGGGGGGGGGGGGGGGGGGGGGCATGGATGGATGGATGGACAGAGGCAGCTGGTGGTGGAGGAGTGTGGGGCAACAGCAGAGGAGGGGGACAACTCTCTCATGACTCAGAGTTGGTCTAATATTTCACTGTGGGTCCAGTATTCAGAGGTGCGTTATTGCTCCCTCCCCAGACATGCAAACACACCTAACAGCATGCGATGCCCTCCACTGTACTGACCTATCTACAGCTTCCTTGCGGACAGACCTGACCACTGCAGCAGCTACTTTTACACCATGTTCTTCACTGACCGAGGAATAGTTAACATGAAAGTATCGACAGTGTTGTTTCTCGTCTTGGTGGAATTGTGCTTGAGCATTTGATTCTTTTGGGAACTTTGGGGCATTTCCTCACTTTAAAAACTGATTAGGCCATTCATTGTTTTCCAGAGGAAGCTTCCCCACTAACACCTTTTTGTCCTTCTCAGCTCTCCCTGCTGACATCCACCGCGCTGACTTCCAGTCAAGACTATTTATTTTAATAATCACACACTGTACAGCACTAACGGTTCTTACTGTAACTGTGGGGTGTGGTAATAAAAAGAATAACCATAGGCTGACTGCCCGTCTATTAGGCACAAAGTAGATGGATGAACACCAAAAACATAAAGAGGTAGAGACAGAAAGGTGCAAAAGTGAAGATAAGAAAGAAATAAGTCAGTTAAAAATCCACATTCGCATTATCTGTAGCTGATAATTCAAATCACTAAAACATGCTTTGTGATGGATGAGATAGAGAGCATTCACACACACACACTCAGATCTACAGCCAGACTGGCAGAGAGACAGACAGGCAGATATATTCTAACTATATCCACGACACATGTTGATTATAAATAGAGAACAGCATGAGATTTTCTACTCCCCTTCATTCCTGCTCCCTCCACAGCAAATGGTTTTCCCCACGCTGCTGCTTTCAGCATGAGCTCAGAGCAGGAGGCCTGCAGGAGTGAGGGAGCACTCTGCCGATTAGAGACAGTGTGTCCCCTGTTGGTCATATTGAGCAATATCTTCCCCTGATTGCCTTTCATCTCAAATGCGGGAATTCACCCCTGTGCGAGAAGTTTTGATTTAGGATTTAGAAAACAAAAAGGCATTTGCCCGTTTAAAAAACTGTAATACATTTTGTTTGATACATAAGTGAAGTGAATACAAGACTGTGAGACCATTTCTGCAAGTCAGACTGTGCCCTTTTATTTCTTGATATACAGAGTGTGACAGTCCTATGCCCATCTTAAGTCCTATAGGCCTATGTGATAAAAAGATTGAAGTGATTAATACTTACTTTCATTTAAACACAACCCATAGATAGAGATACTGAAAAAATCTCAACGTATGAGCAGTTAATGGCAGGTTAATCCGCCTGGATACAAGACAGAGCAGAATCCCATCGGAGTTAATCCTTAGCTTGATGTCCTGACAGAAAGCGACAGTTTCCTATCATTGCTTTTTCTCTCTCTCTGTTTTGCTACCAGTTGGACTGTTGATGAAGCAAAGTGTAATTCATACAAACTTTTAAAGACAGCCAAGAGACGCCTGTGTCTTTGTTTGGGAGGATTTACAATTAAGAGGGAGATTAATAACAAGTTAAACATCATTTTCCAAAGAATATTCTCCTCATCTGTGGGAAGGAAAAATGTGCATACTGTGTCAAAGGCTTACAGATTCACAGCTTCCCATCCATTGTAATATGACTGACAGAATACAGATTATTGATCGACGGCGCTTCTGTTCTTGTGTCGAGACACTAAAAGGTGAAGAATACTGTATGAGAGGAGGGATTATCCTACTCACCTCGCAAAACAGGGAGTCTCAAAGCCTGAAATCGTCACAAAACCACATGACCAAAAGTCATCAGATGTATTACCATTGGGTCCCATATAGTCCACTTTATGCTTCTTGAAGTGCTGTAACCAGATTCGCACTCAATACAAACATAACCAAAACACATTCAAGCCGAATTCAAACCTGTAGTGGCGCACAAACTTGCTCCGATGTAAATGGAAAGGCCACATACAGTATGTCACTGCTTATTTTATAAGCTATGAAAATTCCCAACATCATCAATATGTCAAATAAAGTCATTCTTGGTTGAGAAAAGTGTCAGAAAGATGCAACCAACTTTCTATGAAACAGACAGTGATTTTGCAAAGTGTAAAAAACGTAAGCAGATAAGACTATATGCTGCTGGACGTATTACATGTGTAAGAGATGCATAGCATAGAAGCCAGTGTAAATGGAGCCTAAAAGCACAGTAAGAGACATCAACTGTGAGAAAATACAGTCAAGGAGTCTCCACAGTGCATAGTGCATGGAGCGCGTATGAGCTGTGTCTGCATCAGGGAATGTGAAAGGAGTCTTTGATCCACTGGTCCCTGGAGTTGCTGCTGGGTGGAGGCAGAGACAAGGACGACGAAGATGCCGAAGGCTGCGAGAGAACTACGGTCTCCTCATCATCTTCCTCCTCTACTTCATCCTCCTCCTCAGAGTATCCGTTATCAGCACTGAAGGAGGCCTCAGACAGAAGCGAGGAGCCCTTGTAGTCCTGGATGGCTTCGTGGAGAGACCACAGCTGGCACAGCAGAGACATGTCAAGCTGACGCAGACCGACCTGTCACACAAAAACATCAAATATCTGTTTTGGCCACCAGAGGGGGGTACAACATGAGGAGAGTAAGAGGGAAATTTAATGTGAAAGTTGTTGTTTTTTACCTTAGAAACAGCATACTGATAAAATAATCTTGGCGAATGAACCATCTCCATGCAGTTTTGTGGCACTTACTTAACTCCTCTACATTTAACTGACTGATATAGGTCCTAGTTGCCTTTCACAATAAGAGTTTACATGAGAAAGAGATAAGATTATTAAACACAACAAATTGTTAAAGATTAAACCACTGGTTTCCTTGTAAAAGACTATTTTTACATTAATGTATTGGTTGCATACTTTTACTTAAGTAAGTTCTTCCACCACTGTCTCCATGACAACTGAGCAAACTATACACTGATGAGATGTGGTTGAAAGCCTTAGATTAAAACTTATTTTGTCAAACTTTTTGCATGAACAGGATATAGTCTGTGAGTGACCGAGCTCCTTACCATCTCCTTCCGCAGCAGAGCCAGGGCAGCGTCCAGTCCGCCCGGCTTGCTGTGACCGCGCGGCGCGTCGCCGCTGATGTCGGCCTGGATGCGCGCTCTCTTGCTGTGGACCTTCTCGATGTCCCGCCACGACCCGCCGCTGGAGTTCAGGATGCCGCTCAGGCCTTTGGGCAGCGGCGGCAGCCCGTCCACTGAGAAGACACCGCCCACCGGACAGTCCGCCGCGCTGCACCCGCTCCCGTTCATCACGACGGTGGACTCAGCCGGAGACGCACCGACACACTTTCTGCAGGAGAGCGTGATCACTCTCAAATGCTCATACACTGTGTGAATGCCGTTATGCTGCTTCACCATCACCTTTAGGTGCTGTTTTCCCTGTCTCCCAGCAGCTGCACGCGGAGGTGTCTTGGAGGCACGCTGCAAGTCGATGCAATCCTGTTTTCTGGATGTGTTCGGGCTACAGTAGAAGCAGTGAATGCCGGGTTAATGTCATGCTTCCTGGCTTTGTTTTGTTTCCTCTCCTTTGTGTGGGAGAGTTCACCGACAGCCCCCGGCTCCGCCCGGCAGTGACAGCTCCGCGCCCCGCCCCGCTACAGTCCGTGTTTGTGGGTAAAAGGAGACCGTCAGTCGTTTGATTGATTCAACTGGATTTCTCATAAGCAACGTTTAGACGTTTTCAAAACACAAAGTGATAAGCTCGGGCTGTGCAAAAATGAGAATCCAAACAAGCCCATAAATAGGCAGACTAGAAGGTTGTTAATTTACCCACGTCACAGAAACAATAAATACAGGAATGCCCCAATAAAACAGGCCTACACCAGTGCAACACTGGCAACTTGTGTGCAAAAATATAGCTGTGTAATTAACTGAAATTCACAGGGCGTATTATAAACACACATGCAATTCATATATATTCAATGGTACTTGAAATATATTGCATCTTCCAATTAATAAACTTATGGTAGTGTTTTGTATTTGGCGACCTCTTGTGGAAAGAAACAAACTGCAGAACTCCTGAACAGGCAAAGCTTTATTCAAGTACATAATAAAAAACTCTGACTGCCTTGAACAACACTGAAGCTTGCTTTTTCTAATATGAAGTGCCATCTACTGATGTACAGTGCACAGTTTATTTGCTCTAGATGGTTTTAATGAATGAGGAACGATGAGTCTGACTCCTGAATGTTGCCTTGTCTCATCTGAGCATCACTGAATAAACTGACCACCACTACCATCATGCATCAACTATATTTACAATAAAAACCTACAAACTGTCAGCGCACAGTGACAAGCTTTATACCACCAGAGGGCCAGAGACACCAGAAAGCCATCTGAGCGTCAGACTGAGCAGCAAATAGAAAAATGTTCCTGTCTTTGTGAAGAAGCAGGGTCAGATTTGAGGACTGGTGTGTTTAACAACATACCAACAGGCTTTACATTTTAACTGATAACTTACATTAGTTCTAGTAGCATCTTGTATATGAGCACAAAGACTGTTTTGTGCACACACACAATCATTCAGGCAAGTGTGCGCAGGGACTTTAACTTTTTTTAGAATCTTGTGATTTGCAAAGCTATGCCATTTTTGGGATAGTACAGAACAATCAATCAGGAAAAAAGAATTCCCAGATGTCTGGCAATTGCTTCCATTTTGGATTAACCAGAGCTACCCAACTATGGATTTGGTAGCATTATTTTTCTGTAGAATATAGATTAAGCCCTATTTAAAATTTCTAATGGTCAGATGGTTTAAAATTAATACCAACAATTGTTCAGCCTTGACAAATGATAAGTTTTTTTATAATTAAATCATAAATTACAAGTTGACAAGTCACATGAACATATTAAGAAACCATGTAACATGATAGTTTTGCCAGCGGTATAGTAACGTTAACCCAAACTAGTAACCTGTGCACTTTTGACACTTTAATCCCATACCAAGTGCATTTTTGGACCAATTTTGAATTCAGCTCTACGCAAGGATTCAGTCAAAGGGAGATGCTGCAAAGCAGCGAACCAGAGTCAGTATTCCAAGACAGAGGCAAGTAGAAACAGCGTTCCCATGACTCCATGGTTTCCACCAGTCCATGATGGTTACTGGCTGAGCTCCTTGAGGCTGCGCAGTGAATTGGCACAGCTGGTGATGAGGCTGCAGAGCTGGATACTTGCCTCTAGGGAGGCTGAGCTCTGTAGCTGGGTGGTGGCCCAGCGAAGTTTGGTTAGAACAGCTTCCTCAGCTTCTTCCAACACAGGTTGGAGGGCAGTGCTCTGTGGACAAACTGGGGGACGAGTTGGTGCCACGGCTGTGGTGGAGGGAGGAACTGAAGGAGAAGGGACAGCAGGTGGAGGCAGGAGGGCTCTCCCTCCTGCAGCAGCCCCTTCACAGTGCTCCGGTCTTGGCTGAGGAACTGACCCACTTGCTTGACTGTTGCTGGGGCCTCCGTTGAGTTCAGGGGCCTGGGACGGTGCAGGGGACTGGGCTGCAAGTTGCCTTTCTCTCACCTGGGACAACGCCGCCTGTGCATTTAGAGCTGAGAGGAGTGGAGAGAGGAAGACAGGGAGACATGGAAACAAAAGCAAATAAAACTGACAAAAAGCACAAGCTGAGAGGAGCAGTGATGGAAGAAATGACACATATGCTTTGTGCATTAAACATGTATGTGTGAGTTGTGTATACCAGGGTTGTCCTTGTCAATATCAGAGTCCAGCTCCTGACATGAAACACAGTAGTTTTTCTGCTGTCTGTCCTGGAGAAGAATAGTCTGGAAACACAAAATAGACGTTATTCCACTCTGCCTTTTCTACATTTTCAGGGCACTACCACCCTCACAGACAAAATAAATATCCGCTCTACTGACCCCGCACACATCACAGCACTCTCCCAGCATCTTGTATCCTTTGAGCAGGTAGTCTCCCATCAGCTTGCTGATTTTGTCTTGTCGCTCCCTGCGAGCCTGAATCACCTTCATCTCTGCCTCTGTTGGAGGCTCCCACTCAAAGTCCTCGTCACCTGGGATGAGTAACAAAGTGCTTTTTAAATTCAAGTGGACTGCACCTACACAGACACTGTGTTGCAGTATCATCCTCATAAAACGCAGTGTTATTGCTGTGATATAACTTAACAGTTCTTAATGTGTGCGTGTATATTCTCGTTGCCACTTTGCCAATTTTACTCATTAGATTTTATACAATTTTTGTACTTATTAGATAATTCTTTGGTTAAAGTTGCGCTGTTTAAAAAAGTGATTAGCATAGCCGCAGTGCTCTGCTAAGATAAGATAGCTAGCAAAGCAGCCGGGCTAACGTCTAGCTCGCGACATGTATATGGCGGCGGCGACAAAACATAGTAAAAAATAAAATTACACTCGAAAACCACTCCATATACGCGTGCCAAAATGGTGTTTTATGAGCAGGCGAAGTGAATGCGAGAAATGTCAAAGTTAGCTTGGTTATAAGTTCACAAACCTCCATTCAAAGCCATGTTGCTTCGGTCCTACACGTTGTGCGCGATGACGTAGGTGTCGTCGTCTTCGTCGCTGGTCAAAGAGAAACATTCCAGAAGAGCCGGTTGTGGCCCTCTGCTGGCCACCGAACATAAAACATCTTCTGCGGTGAAATGCATTTACTAAAACCTATTATGCTGAATGTGGACCACTGCCTGTTAGTTAGCCCTTAAAATCTAACTATTCAATCCGTATTATCCATATTATTATTATATAATTAATCCTACTGACTCCCCTGTTTCACAATGCACATGCAGACCAGATGGCCATTTACGTATTAGATGTAATGCTTTATTTAGACTTGTGTGCCCCAATATGTGTGCCCGTCTTTAGTGTTTCTTCCTACTGATCCATGGTGCCCACTTCATTCTGAATTGCATAAAATCTCATTCCTGTTATCTTGCAAGTTGTTGCTGTTTTTGCTTCTGCTTTGCTAAATTAAATTTCCATGGTGCCTTCTTGTTTGGCCTTCTTTGCTAGCATATCTGATATTTCATTCCCTTTAATTGCCCTATGAGCTGGAACCCACATGAATATGATATGTTCATATTTCTAAGTCATATATTTCATTCATTATATTCTGTCTGCTCTGGGATGAGGATAGCTGTAGTGATAGTAGCTAATGCTGAACTTGAGTCTGAAACCCAAAGTGACCTTACCTATTTGTACCTGTTCTACACTTTAAAACAGTTGTGATATCTAGCATTTCACCTGTATAAACTTAATTCATTAATTTTAAAACAGCAGCAACATGCTGATGAGACAGAAAAAACCTGCTTCTCAGGAATTCAGTTTTTATAATTATTTTATTGTATTTTGGATGATTTGAGTCAGCCACTCAAAAACAGAAACTGGTACATTTCACAGAAAGAAAAATATATAATTCATAATCACAGATGAGCGGATCACTTTCATCCAAAGCACATTGGCTTTTATGGGCTTCAAACTGATTTCCCATCTTTCCCCACTCATACTCTGAAGTAAGAAGAAAAGGATTTTTATTCTGTACATGTATGTGTGTGTTTCTACAGAGGTCTTTGGTCACGAGATGCTGGATACTATATTGCAATATGAATACTTCCTCTACAGCTAAAAGACAAAAATTAACCAACAAAAACAACGACAGCAAAATGTGTGAGGGGGCTGATGTTCCATCTGTAAGAATACAGAATAATTGGTGTGCTGAAAAGATCATTCTCTTCAGTCGGTTATTGTTATTTGATTTCATTGCGCCGGTCACATTCTTCTTCGTCTTTGTTTTATGTCCCCTCCTCTTGCCGTCGTCCTGTCTTTATCTGGGTTTCTTCTCAGCCTCCAGGGTAACATCCTTTCTAAAAAGAAGTAAACAAAGACAAGTTTAGGACACCATTATCACATGGATAATATCAGTAAAAATGAAAAAGTGAAAAAGATCTCTTATCTTTATATAACATAAAACTATGCTCAGTTATTCATTTTTAATGTCCTGGAAGTTTTAATTAATTTAGATGTTTGCTTTTATCAAGATTTTATTGACATTAAGCAATAATACTGGCTATTTATTGCCATACCACAGTGTAGTGATACTCTGTTACAAGTAAAAGTCATGCATGCACAGTTTTCCTTAAGAAAAGTTAATAGCATCAAAATATACTTAACGTACCAAAACTAAACTTAGTCATTATGTAGAATGTCTTATTTCAGTATAATACATATTGAATTCTTGGATTATAATTGTTAATTGTTAACACTGTGTTTCGTAACCTCACCTCGTCTATAGGGGAGTTTTCTTTCAAGACACTGTAAGAGTAAGAACAAAAGATACATTTAAAAAGGCTGAACTGTTGCCCAAAAGAAAAAAAATGCACAAAAGAAAGTTAAAAACAAAAAAAAAAAGTAACCGGTAACTTCACCATAAATTTCAACAATATGATTTCTGGGTGATGGCTCCAAAACTAAAAGCGATTTGGTACTTACTTCACTAGCTGTCTTTACTCTGCTCAGTTTGGAAGGGAGGTTGATGTGAAAGGAAGAAAAGAGAAAAGGGTGAGAGCATGAAATCCTTGGAATAGACAGCATGTAAACTGTGGGGTGCATTGGTAGCAGTAACATTTACTGTGCAGACAGATCAGACATTTGTATGTGTGTTAATAAATAAAATACCTGCAGGCTTGGGATGCATGAGCATCAATGGCAGCTCCACTGTGACGTCACTGCAGATAAAATAAACCAACCAATCAGAATCATACAGATAATTGGTAATCACTGTTAATTGGCTGTATGGGTTGTGATATACAGTAATAGTTAATGGATGGTACTCACCTGGCTGTGAGGCCGCCCAGCAGGCTACAGGAGGACAGGGAGGGACATCATAAGATTGTTCTGGTTAATTTCACTCCATTCAATCATTTAATGAGTTTTCATGTGCCAAAAATGCTTGAACAGGAGCAGGCACTCACCCTCCTCCAGCCACCATCAGGTTAATTTTAATCTTGTAGGAAACCAGGATTCCCAGCACATCTTTTTCGATACCCTGTCGCAGCCTGTGGTGAAGAAGAATTACAAGGATTTGAGGGATTAGAAGGTTTAATGTAGTTAAGCGTGCTTCTACAAGACATCATGGACAATGAGTGACATGCAAGAAAAAGGCTACTGTAAATGTAAAACTACAAAGTGGATTGCATTATGTGCAAAGATGTCGGTCACAGAGGAGATAACTACTCCAGTAAATATCCCTAATTGTCCAGACTTTCCAGCGGTAATCAAATGAATCACATGTAAATCCTACTTTAGTCCTATCTGCTGTGTTTGCGCACTTACATGGTGGTGGAGGCCAAGTTAGTGTCCTCATCCTTCAGCCGTCCATCCAGCGCCAGACCTCTTTTCTCCTTGTTGTCAGACAGCAGGGGGGTGATGGTCAGAGTGTTCTCGTAGGTGCCACTGGGATCCACTGTCTCTCTGCGGAGGAGGAAACACAAACAGATCCATGCATAAACACATGCTTTGTCACAGCTACTTCCTGATGTTTGATATTTGCTGTGTGTTGAGTTCTCTCGGTCTTCTGTACACGTACCCAAACTCTTGGGTAAAAACAGCCTTGGTGTATTTGTCTGCAGAGTAGAGGACAATGTCTGTGGTTTGGTCCACTGTGAGAGGAGAAGAATGAAGACACAGAGAGTGAGACAAAGTATTTGTTTAATTCTTTAAGTAACAGTCATGTTATTTCTATTAACAGAGGTACCCACCAGTGACTTTGAATTTCTTGACTGTTTTGTTGCTCTCGTTGTTGATTTTGATTTTGATTGGGATTGCTTCACCGTGGAAATAGAGCTGTGGTCAAAACCAGGAGAAAACCAGTTAATGGAGGCGAAAGGTGTTTGACTGGTCAGGATAACATACTCTCAGCCTGGACTCAGACTCACGCTGGAAACATGACAAATATTTTGTATAGCAGAAAAAAAGTTTTGCTACTGTACATCTTTTTCCATCGCAGCTTCTAGGTGAACGGGCTTGTCGGACATCATGAAGCTTTTGCAGATATCAGCCTTGGGCCCGGCGCCGACCTCAGAGGGAGCGAACTGGATTTTACGAATGATAAGGCGAGCAGTGTCCCTATCAGATGGAAACGAAGAAGAAAGATGGAGTAGAGAAAATGTTAGTTAGGCAGAATAGTACATATAAAAAAAAAAAAAGAAAACAAAGAGATGGTGAAAAGGAAAGAGAACTCACTTCTTCTCGATCTTCTCATCTGGGTTGTTCTTTTCCTTGGCAAGGTAAGTTTTGACCTCAAAGTCGACACCACAAGCCTGGAAAGCAAAGAAAAAAAAAGAAAAAACTACAGTTACTATACCTGCCTACACGCTAAGGTTATGGGATGAAGTCTGTTTAATTGTGAAGGTGAATGGTGTTAGCAGATTAACAAGAGATTTACCTTCCCCTGGTCATCAGGTCCAGGTTGCAGAGAGACTGAGCATGGCAGGTTGTTGGGAATCTGGAGAGAAAGATGAACATTTATTTCTAAATATACGAGTTATATTTATTTGTCTACTTAATTTTGAATATATCAAACAAGCAGTTGAATGTAATAACCCAGTTAATAATTGATAGTGTTGTGGTAATGAATCACTTTCACTTCAACCTTGACACCTGAAGAGTGCTGAACAGATTGAACGGGTTTAAACTCTTTACACTTGTAACTGGACATGTTGTCACATACTTCAAAAGAGAAGGCGTGTGCGTTGTCCCCAGCCTTCTTCAGCAGGGTGTCGTGCATGGCGCTCAGTTCGGGTTTGTGATTCTCAGGGTAGATCTGGACGTGCTGGATCCAGATGTCCTTCCTGAAGCACAGGCCTATCACGTCCAGGTCGTCGCTGCCATAACGGAAGGCACATGCCAGCTGCACAAACACTGTCAACACAAAATTGTAGATTTATTATTTTATTATTGTATCTTGCATCTACAAGGGACGTGACTTGGGAAGGTTTTGTATTTCTATGGCTTTGAAAATGGGAATTTTTAATGACGCTACCTTTTCTGTCTCCAAAGTCTGCTGGGTCCAGCTTTACAACACCATCTGTAAAGGAAGCGGTATTACAGAAAAATGTTATATTTATCACCTTCAAGCAGCTGCACACTGACAGACACATGCACACGCTGGAGAAGGAACGTACCAACTTTGTCCACTGAGGACATATGGTCCACATAGTCTCTCTTCCCCAGGTAGAGGGTCAGCTAAGAGAAGGACAGAAGGGAAAACAGCTGAGTGTTTCAAACTCTGTTGATAGTTTCATTAATTTTCCATTGATAAAAAAAACAATGCAAACCAAAACATGAGAAAAAAATCAATACAAATCATCAAGTGTAGACTTACCCCTCCGTTTCCACTGGTCTTCTTGAAAACCCTGTGAAAAATAGGAAGAGAAACAACACTTTAGGACTATTTGGTTTTAATCTATCAATCTGTATTTATAATTTTCACATCCTTCATCATGTCTTCCAGTAAGTGGCTTGTGAATGTGACTGTCTGGATTAATCAGATAAAATAATGATTAGTTTTAGACTCTGAAGGTAAAGTAGTTTCTTTGGCAAGTGGCAGAAGGGCCTGTAATCCCTTATTCCTTTTATCCAGTTAGGAATAGCTAAGTGTGGAGCAGCTTTACCTCATTTCGCCTGGATTGAAAGGCATGCCCAGGTGAGGGAGCTACAAATGGTGCAACAGGGTGCCCAAAGAGCTGATTACCAGTGTGATCCCAGAAAGATAATTCTTGAGACCCTGTCTGAACTGACGCATCAACTGACTAAGCCTTTACGAACCTTAAATAAATACTTTTAAACTACTGGTGACTTCTAGGAGTTGGCTGACCCGGGTCTTTCCATTTGTTTTCATGAAAAGATACCAAGCTTCCCATTAGTACACTTTTGATTATTATATTTGGGAAGTTGCATTGCTGTCATTTTTAAGAGAACTACCTTTGGGTGACAGATGGACAATAACAACAGGAAAACAACACTTACTTTGCCATCTCTGGATGATGTTTTGAGGGTTTCTGTTGGGAGGAGAGAAAAAATAGATGTAACTTTATGTTGTTAGGAGCATCATCAGCAGCATCAGTCAGTTATTGGGATTAAGACATTGATCCTTCACCAACTGTCACCTCTTAGGCAGCTGGAGTAATGTTTTTTCTTTTGAAGGTACGGAAGGTTAATCCTTTGGGATGAGATTACACCATCAGTGTTGGGGCTCCTGAGCTAAAGCTGTTATCTGTTATTGTGTATCTTCTAACAGGCTCCCATCCCATAGACACAGGCCTCACACTGTAACTCCGAGTCAGATTTACATGGCACTCCAGATTATGTCACAGTGTGTTCCCTCAAATGAAACATCAGCTGCCAAAGTTGAGTTGACTATTCAAGGACGGTTAAATGGATAAAATCCATTCAGTGACTTGCCGTAGTATTCCTGGAGTTAATGAGTCACTAAGTCCTAACAGTAGCCCTCTATAACTCTAGGATTATAACAGAAAGGTTAAAAGAGTTGTGAGTATTTGTAGCGTTGTTGATCAAGATTTCAAATTCAACTGGAGAGCCGTCAGAGGTGTTTACCTGCTTTACTTTGAGGCTTCATCTACTGTCCTGAGATTGTTTGGTCTTACTTATTTGCGAGTTCTGCATGCAGCTGTAAAAGTTAACTATTAATGCAACACTGTATGAATTAGGTGACGTATCCTAATATTGGGGATCACTTAATGATACAGTTACCAGCTTTTTTTTTAAGGTGGAAAGGGAACGAGAGAGTGAATACGGACATACCCAGAGATTGCTGTGGTGGGTACATGCATGGAGGAGAATGGTGACTTGTTTGGTTCAGAAGGAACCTCCAGTTCAAAGCAACTGTGTGGATTCAGGAACATGGGCTGCGGGTACATTTCAGCACCATGTACAGAAACAGCACAGTTGCTTCCTTCAGTTCTGAGTGGCTGAGTGTTATGAAATACCCTCTTTAAATGTTAATGAACTAAATCAAGCTTTTCTTTGGTTCTTGCTTCTCAACCTATCCAGTAATATAATATTAACAGTAATAAATCTAATATTTTGAATGAATACGGGGTAAATTTTCTCTTATGATCATTGCTCAGTTTAGCACAACTGATGGTGGCTGTTGTCTGCAGATAACTTTGGAGACTTGATGTCAGATCTCTCCTTCAACTTAGCCAGTTTATCCTCCGACAGCATTTCCCACAGGGAAAACTACAGAAGACAGGTGATTTGTTTATTTTACTTATCTATTATCTGGCAGCACTTGAAGCTTTCAATCAGGGTTTAACTGTAAAAGCACCATGAATATTTTATGTTGCTTTAATACAATCCAAAAACAGAGATGCATTACGTTTCGTGACCAGGCTGGTGTAATGATTTACCCATAACAGGCATCACATTATCTGCTGTAGAAATTGAAATGGACCATATAACCCCTTTTAGAAACTGTGTATATGATAGCCTGCAAAAAACTTTACAGTGTAATAGAATCAGGTTGAGTACCAACATACCCAAATACACATCAGCGACCCTGAACCACCATGGTTGTATGTAATCTTTCAAGTATGAGCCCATTGTTTTTCCTCATTAGGCATCCATCCATCCATCCATCCATCCATCCATCCATCCATCCATCCATCCATCCATCCAGAAGGAGAAGACATAAGGAAGACTTACCTCTCCTCAGCTGTCTAGGATCTTGGTAGAGTGTGTCAGGGTAAGCTGAAAGTGCAGTCTGCAACAGTTGAGCTCCCCTTTTATACCTACAGCCAGTCTGTCGGCATCCTTCGGGTTTAACCAGTCCATTATTATTGTCGTTGCCTGCCTCATAATCCAGTTAAGCAATCAGTGGATGGCTTTTTTGGACTACAAAGGGTTTAAAAATACCAGCCAGCTAAATCACAGGGACAGCCATACAACTACATAGTCGCCACATGGCTATGGTTGTAGTAGGCTGATAATCCCCCTCTGCTCCTCCACAAACAAATCAAGTTTCCTTTAATTCTGAAGGGAGAATAAATCAGGGTCATAAACCTTTAGGCCTTTATAAAATCAGGGTTAATTTCTCTGAGAGAGAGCATTGTGATTTTTTTTTTTTTGTCAAAAAGGCCTGGGTTTATCATGACATAAGGGTTACTGCTATATGTGTTGGTTCACTTATGTTTAATAATAGCCTTTAAACTGCTATTATTAGCCCGATTTATCTGTGAGCTGCACCTTAGCTGTGACCCTTCCTTATTGCCTAATCAACAATGTGAAACTTCAGACACATTTCTCCCACCAGTAAATGAGGGAAGTATGCGTATTTGATTAAAGAGACGACAATAAAGAAAAGCTTTTATTTTAACTGCCTGTTGTGACATCTGGTAAATTGGGATAGTTAAGCTTTTCTAAGAATATTTTTTTCAAGAAATACGTTGCTGAAAAGCTATCTGATAAGGAAAAACGGACACATGGATATGACATCATATAAATGGGTGTGGTATCATGTGCAGTTGACACTTCCAGTGTGTCAGTGTGATCCAGGAATCACAATGACAGTGTTTTGACATAAAATGGTTGAGCTTATAAAAATTGAAATAAATACTATACTATACTATACTATACTATACTATTAAATACACATTGTTTAATTCCAGTATATTTTGATGGGATGCAATTGTGCATCAAAATTACTATGAATTAATTACATACTCCTTTCACCCATCTGAGAAATGTTACTTTTGATAGTATCCCATTTTGCCACTAGCCAGTGAAAATGGGACTTTGCTTTTAGTAATTTTGATGGGGGAAATATGCTATTTAAAGATCACGAAATACATGGTGTCATGAGAGACACAACTTTTCTAAACTATTAAATATAATTTCTCATGAATATGTTATCAGCTATAGCTTGCTGGAGCTAAGCTACAGAGCTGGCATAGCCACGTTTTAGCGCACGCGAGAGAATTTTGCCTTCAGGGTTTTCTGCCAGAGCGCATTAGCGTTAAAGGAAACATTGGACTCAGATGAGGAGTTTGTTGTGCACAAAAATCAGTGACTAGCAGACGTATCAGAACGTAAGCGTAGTTAGCATCTTATATTTGTTCATGTTGTTTGTTAGCTTGTTAGCTTGTAACTGGCAGTGGCTGCATTAGCACAACCAGTAATGCTGCTTCAATGTCTCACTCTATGTACTGACAAGGTTTTGTTTTTTGAGGCTGTCATTGGTTCACTGCAGTTCATGCAGGAAATGCTATGGCGTTGTTTCGAATGGTAGCCTATGTTTTGTATCGTATAAAAAAAACACCATAATTCTTAGATTTTCTTACAGAATAAGTCTTAAGATATTTAGAGTGGTAACATGTTAGGGGTTAAGTAATTGGGAAGTATTTTTTCAAAAGTGTCCCAATTTACCAATACTCACAGTATATACTTTCAAGGAACCAACACATCTGAACAACAATTCAAAGCTATCGTTTGGAATAATTGGGTAAAGTGCAAAGAAGTGTGTAAAGTAACAGCTGTAGGTCTTTGTGTTCACTGTTTCAGTCTGTCTGATCTCAGCAGATTAAGGGCTCCCAGTCCCATTACGGTGCGGATGATGGGAGCATCGGTGACAACGTCAGAGTAAGCTGCCTTATTCAACGGTGTTTTAGGACCGTGCCAGAGATTAGGCAGAATCACCAGATAGATTCCCTTTTGACCTTTGAAACCCCACCAATCCTTTGACAGGTCCATTATAACAAGCTTATGTTGAAAGGTCAAATCCGCAGAACTTTATTTTAATTCCCAGTCAAGATGTCAAAGTTGACAAAGACACCAAGCCAGCCAAGCTGTTTTACAACCGATGCACTGACACAGTCATATAAGCGGTGTCTTTTCTTGTGAAGTGCTAAAACGGGCACATGCACAATATTTTCTTTAACGTTGAAGACAGAGAACATGAGGGCCAGTTTAAGGGGATTGTTGAAAATATACTGGTTCAGATGGCTTGGGGGTTTCATTTAGCAATAAAGGCAACTGGGTGATGTTAAAAAAGACAATTTAATCAAATAAAATGGAAATATTTAATTTATTAAGCAGTTAATGGGATGTGTCAAAAGGTCTTCACTGGAATCCAGCCATGGTCAGCACAGAGACCTCTTGGCCACCATGACGCCCCACAAGGCAATGGGTTACTGTGCTGTAATGTCTGTGGCTTAACGGTGTTCGTTTGCTCGTAGGTGATGTGGTTGTTCAGGTTGTTTAAATCTGACTGATGCAATGGGAAAACAAAGTCAATTATGCAATGAAGCAGACAAACATTTCCATGGTTATATAAACTTTCTTACCGTCTCAACACTAGCCAAAGTTAAACTAAAACACAAAAGTAGGTTCAGGTTTTATTTGAACAGATCACCTCCGAACTAATCACTGTTTTGACTGCTCTGCAGTTTGTTTCCAGGAATCTGTGTGGCTTCTCAGGTTCTCAGCCTTTTGATCTTCAGCCTAAACACAACGTGACAGTATCATTCTTTCTGAGAAGGATCCCAATTAAGCACATGACTGAGTGACAAAAGGTCACACTCATTTGTATTCAATTAATTAAGAGAGGGAGAGAAAAGAGACTTTGGAATCACTGACATATGAAGAACTATCAGAAAATAATAATGTGTTATGTGCAATTTTAATCAAAACATCTGACACAAATATACAGAATCAAATCTTAACAGTCAAAATACATGTTTAAAAACCCACTGCATTGCCATCCTTGGTTTGGTTTGACAGAGAGAAAGAAGTTGGCTGAACACAGATGATAAGAGAAATACAGAAAAGACCTTTAACTGTATTTCATCTAAATATCTAATTTCAGTTTGAAAACCTGCAGAGAGTCAGACACACACAGACCCCCTGTCTTCTTGATGTGTATAATTCACTATATTTGTAAGCTCATACTGAAATAGCCGCAATAAATGTTGTTGAATGACAAAACAAAACTTGAAATGCAGCTTTATTAAAGTGATCGTATTATTTTAACTTATTCTCTTGTCTCTGCACCACACACTGGGGAAACTGCAGTGATTAGGTAACTATGCATAAGTAATTAAGACAGGTGGCATGTACCTGAGGGACCATTTGAATTCAGTATAAAGAGTTACTTGGATTTATTTTTTCCAGTCCTGTTGTCAATGTGACGAATTTGCTCATACGCAAGAACAGTTTTGTTTTTGTGTTCATTATAACCCAAACCTTGCATTCACAATACAAAAACACATGGTCACATGGTCACGTCTGTTCTATGTGTTTCATTTATAGAGTGAAACAAATCCCATTTTAGCACCTGGTCAGCAAAGCCCAAGTTGGCAATGTCCCCATGTGCTGAGAGGTTTTATTTAGGATGAGTGGGTGAGGGCACTGTGGGCAGCTGAGCCGTTTTTCAGGCCCGCACACACTAAAGATGTGAGTGCCTCATGTGTGTGAGTGTCAGCCAAAGGGCAAAACCAGCACCATCAATTATTCAAGGGTTAGGACAGACTGATGAGGTAAATAAAGCCTGGTGAGTATTAAAATATGAACAAGACAAAATTAGATCGAATGGGATGAGGCAATGTGACATAATGTACAGGTGAAATAGTATAAATACAGAAGTTCACTGTGTGTTACTGTGTGTTTGTTGCAAATACAACACATGTAAACCACTAAAGTATCTAAGATAATAACAATGAAGCGTGTCCTCCATATTTTGACTAATCTCATGTCCCTGCAGAGGAGCCTATCAGTCAAAATGTAGTTTTAAGACCTCAGTTATTTTTGTTTGTGCTCATATGGTTCATATCCCTAAAGTTGTGTTTCATCAAAAATGACCACAAGCTAATTTATGCACAGAAAAACTGGTCCCAATTATCTCAGCATAATAGGCTACTGGTCTGTAAGCACAATTATGAAGTTTTTTTCATCATCTGCTCTCTCTGTATTTGATGGGGATCTGCAGGCACAGAGGGTGGGAGGAGGGTGGGGGGTTTGGCACTATAGAGGTCCATTAATTTGCACTTTAACTGGTTAACCTGATCAGGCCAAAAGGTGAGCCAGAGGTGGCTTCTCACTATCTCCTAAATATCTAGCGCCATCTAGCGGATCCAGTGAGTGGTTCAACAGCACTCTGACCATCTCTCTTTATATTGTGTGACTCCCAGTGTTTCATTGGATCTTGTTTGGAAACAATAGAAGCAAATCATAGTCCAGTCCGGTAACTTCACTGATGCTAACATGGACATTTTGCGCTTTGGAGCGGTAACTTATTTGGGCTTTGACGTCAGGTGAGTGAAACACACCCCGCCATCGTGGTCCAGAGCAGAGAAGTGCGACTGCTGAGGTGCGCACTCAGCGCGCCGCTCGGCCCGCCCGGACACTGCAGTGTAGGTTACCGTGCCATCGCTGCGGCTGCTCGCTCCCGACACCGCGTCCCGCAGCAGACTTCCCGGGCCCGGGAAGGACAGGGAAACGCCAAAAGCCATGGCCGAGTCCAACCCGCTGCGGGGGTTCCCCCGTCTGCGCCGGGCCGCGGTAAGCTCCGCAGGGAGGTGGTGGGAGGCTTGAAACGGGGTGGCGAGGATACTGCAGCAGAGAGATGAGGAGAGCTAGACGGGCTGTTCTTGACACACTTCACACACACACACACACACACAGTAATGCGACACAGAGGCTGGGATGTGTCCTCAGTGCAGTGCAAGCGGTGTGAGATATTTAACAAGCCTCTCGGTTAACAGCCTGGTCAGATTCAGATGGCAGTTCAGTTTAAGGAGTCTGTGTAGGGGAGCAGGACAGGCCAATGACAAACGGGGCTGGTGTGTGTATGTGTGTGTGTGTGTGTGTGTGTTTGGACTGCCACTGCAGGTGCAGAACAGCGGGAGGGTGTATGTTTAAGCTTTAGCACTGCAGTCTATAAGTGTGGAGTGTGTTCAAGTTGTGCAGCTTTATGTAACAGATTTGGGAACATGACTCAAATATTCACGAATGTAAATGCAGCTGTGGGATGCAGATGTGCTGAAATGACTGCAATCATCCAACAACATCCATCATGGTTGCATTAGGACAACTTGAAAGAATATTTAACATGTGCATTATTTTTTTTCTACAATGGGCTTCTGGGAGAGACAGTTGTGTGTTTTGCCTCAGGTGAGCCGTGTGTGGTTTAAAGGTCAAAACCTCAGTAGCTGTGATGATAACAACACCAGAGCACAGAAAGTTTCCTTTGCCACTGTCAGTGAAAAATACCTGTAGCCTTGTTCCTGCAGTTGGACAGTGTAGCCTGTGCGTTATAGTTGGGGATAATGTGAAGGATGTGTGCCAAAAGCCACGCTGCTTTAACAGTCAAGTCAAGTTTCATTTCTAGCACATTTCATACACAGGGCAAAACACAATGTGTTTTACATAAAGCGACAATACAGTCGCAACACAATCAAAGAAGTGCCAGAAAATCAGTGCAGAAAATACAAATAACTCAAAACGTACTTGGGGGATGAATACAGAAGGCAGCTCCTCCGCTTTAAAGCAAGTGAGAAGAAGGGATCAAAGACCACTGCCTGTGGACCTGCGAGTTGTTGCCGGTTTCTGTCTAATTATCTTGTCTTTTATTTCCCGAGGTGCAAGGTCATTTAGAGCTTTTTATACCAGCAGCAGAACTTTCAAATCAATTCTAGTTTTAACAGAGTCAGTGTAGGCGTAAGACAGTATGTTCAGACTAAACCAGCTGATTTCTGGAGGCCAGTGAATAGATCGTTACCGTAGTCTAATCTACTTGTTATAAATATATGGATTCATTTCTCAGTCTTCGTCTTACAATGTTTTTTTTTTTTTTTAGATGGTCGGCAGCTGATTTTGTGAGATGGTTGATATGGTTCTTAAAATTTATGATGACACCAACTAGACAGAACAGAGATGAACAGAGCTGCAGTTTTCTGTCTTCTGTCTCTGAGTCTTTGCGCCAAAGATGAGTAATTATGTTTTGTCTCTGTTCAGTTGTAAAAAAACAAAAACTTATCATCGGTACACTGGGCCAGGGAAACGTATGGGATCTTCGTCATTAGGAGACAGGATATGCACAGATGTGAATCTATAACATCTGGTGCACCTGAGTACACTTTCCCTCTCAGGTCTACCAGTTGTTGTGGAGTGGAGGAGTTTTATATGAAGTTTAAAAGTCTTCCTCATGGTTAATAATAACTCGTCAGGCTGTATGATCTGTGCAAACACCAGAGGAAATGCAGTGACTGTGGACAGTAGATAGTTTGGAGGAAGGGAGAGGAGACAGAGGTGACTGGAAAACATGTGAAGCAGGTGAGAAAAGAGCGGCGGTTGATTAGTGATCTGCTCAGCGGTCTAGTCACTTGTCCAAACTGGCTGTTGATCCTTGTGCCACTGAGTATACAGATTATGATTTTCAACCAAACACGATAACGATATGCAAATCTGGTAAATTCTCTGCTGCAGAAATGAATAAAAACAGAGCCACAAAGCCACAAAGTAAAAATGAGCAGAACATATTTAGACTAATTCCCACTTTAACTGACGCTGTAACATCTTGTGAGAGTAATAGTGTAGACGATGACAGCTCTGTGTTCGCAGAGGACAAACAAATACAGTCTGTGCTACGAGGGAGGAAATGTGAGGGCATGCGGAGGGATGACAGTCGATAGCGTGAAGAGTGACAGAAGAGCAGAGTGAGTGAGACGGGCCGACTGTCAGACCTGCTGAAGTGCTGTGGAGAGCAAAAGACCTTCCACGGACTGACACAGGGAGATGCTGATGCTGTGTCGAGCTCTGCTAGGCCGCACGACTAACACCATTCGGCTGTCAATGCTTCTGACTGACAGACTGACTCCTCCACTCCCCTGACTGTACACGTCTGCCATGGTCCAGAGATGCGGTGGAGGAAAAAAAATCCCCATTGTTACGCTGACATACTTTCTTTCTGCAACACTTAATCCTTACAGTCAGAGCCAGGAGAAGCACCGGTGTATTGGATACGTGGTATTGGCGGTGCTGGTTTTGTGCCCGCTGGCTCACTGGCGCTCTGTCATGGTTCACTGGGGCACTTGAAAAGAACAGAGCCATTGTTTTAAGTAACACCTGTGCTCTATGATAATTCAAAATGTCTGCTGTGAAAAAAAGGCCCGGTAAAGCTTTTAGAAATACAGACGGGTGACGAATCAAAGGAGGAAGTTGAATAAACGAGTGGAAATACAAACAAGTGCAGATGCTTCCATACGGGGGTCACGAGAGGTCACTGTAGTGCTGCCAGTTATTTTCTTCATTATTCAGTTTGTCCCTTTTTCTAGAAAAGTGTTTAAAAGATAGTTTTCCAGTCAAAGTTGACGTCTTGAAATGTCTTGTTTTGTCTGACCAACGGCTCAGAACTGAAAGATATTCAGTTCACTTTCACCTGTGGCAAAGAAAAGCATCAAATCCTCACGTTTAAAAAGACGCAACAAGAAAATGTTGGGGATTTTTATTTGAAAAATAATCAGAATGATTCATTATTTATCATAATACAGTGGCTCCAGAAAGTTAGATTTTTGATGAATTTGCACTTTGTCATTATGGATTATTGAGAGTAGATTGTTGGACAAAACTGCCAATTTTATCCATTTAAAATTACAGCTACAAAACAATTAAGCATGCCAAGAATGAAGGGGGCTGAATACTTTCTGAAGCAAGTGTAGTTGGTTCATTTACCTTTAATTGACTCTGAAACGTTTAGTGTGTATGAAAATGATTTGAATTATGTGTTAAACACAATGAGGGAGTATGAGGTGAGTTTGTGCGATGTTGGCGGTTGCCTTAGAGAGAGATCTTGAGTTTATTAATTTTTAACGACCCCCATCCACTCAGATGTGTTTTGATTGTTGTTATTCATCTTAGATGTTCAAGCTTCACCGTGCAGAGTGATGTATGACACTAAAAAGCTAACGATCCTGATCCAGTGGTGCAACTTACATTAGTGCTATATTCTTTTCAATGAGGGAGGGGTAGAAGGGATTTGAAGACATTTGTCTTATGTCTTAAACATGTTTTTTACCTCTCCTCTGGTCCTTTGTCCTAACACTACTTTTTCCCCTGTTCCAGTTCCTACAGTTTCTGACAATATTACAGTGTTGAGTAAACAAATAAAATAACACACATCCTTTTTCAGACCTCATTTCCAGGCAATCTGCATTTGGTCTTGGTGCTCCGCCCCACCAGCTTGTTAAGCTCCGCCCCCAGTCCATCTTCAAGCACTGACCTGGGATTTCGCTTCAGCCAGGATGACTTCCTGTTAAAGATGCCGGTGAGACAGAGAGAGAAAAATGAGGATTGAGGAGTGGGAGAAGATTTGTATTTTTATATTTTACTAAATCTGATGCAGCATAATCCACACAGTCTCTGCTCCACTCAACACACAATCCTCCTGTCCGTTTTAATATAAAGTATTGGAACAGTTCATTTCTTCATTCATTAAAATTTCAAACACAGTTCAGTGTGGGCTGGTTGGCTGTGAGACGCCTTGTTTTTTCTGTGTTTCTAGGTGGTGATGCTGCGCTCAGTCGGTGACCTTCTGCGCTACATCGATGAAAACCACCTGACATCCGACTTCACTGCTAAAGTGGAGTATTGCCAAAGCGATTGGATCGTCCTCCGCACGGTACGCTCCTCTGTCGCTCTAATGTCGATCCACCAGAGCAGCCTGGCAGGTTGATTTCGAATGCAGAGAAGTTGAAGCTTGGTTGAAGCTATGTTAGCACAAGACGCACACGTCACGAGGAACTGTGACCCGTGATATCTCAGTGGCAGATGATTACCCGGCTCAAACTCACATGAATTTGAGAAGTTCAATATGGGTTCATATGTGTTTTTTTGTATGTGTGGAAACGTGTGTGTGTGTGTGTGTGTGTGTGTGTGTGTTTGTGTATCTGCAGTCCATTGAGACCTTTGCGGTGACAGTGAAGGAGATCGCCCAGCTCCTGCAGGGCTTCGGATCAGAGCTGTCTGAGACTGAACTTCCAGATGAAGCGAACGCCATCGAGTTCCTGCTGCACTCACACACACACCGATACCGACAGATGAAGGTTGTTGCCCCCCCCCCCCGCCTTTCCTTCTCACTCTCTACCGCAGTTTTTTATGTAGTGTTTGATTTCTCTTTCTGTTTATCTTTACGCTGGTTTTGTGCGGTTTCATGATTTCGCCTTCCATTTGCTGTTGTCTCAGGACGATATCCGGAGCGTGCTGAAAGAAGGGCGCCTGCTGCTGTCCAACCTGGAAACTGTCAAGGCCTCTAAGAGAGACATAGAGGAGGAGAGGGAAATACAGGGAGATATGGACACGGTTCAGAGGTACAGTATCAGTGAACAAGTGAAGAACAATGTGAATACAAGAATTACCAGCAGCCTAATATTAAATCTTCGACCTTCACCGACCTTGTGTGTCACGTGTGCATATGTGTTTTAGGCTCCTGGCTCAGCTGAGAGACATGGAGGAGGCGTTTGATGGCTTCTTTGAGAAACACCACCTGAAGCTGCAGCAGTACCTCCAGCTGCTGCACTATGAAATGAATTTCCAGCAGGTGTGACGACTGTTGTCTGTCTCTGTCTTCCCTTAACCGGATCGTAGGGTTGACTCTGTGTTACGTTGTGATGATTACCTCTGTGTGTACAGATGGACGAGGTGCTGGAGCGGCTCTCTGCCCAGGAGAGGGACATCGCCCCTATGGGAACCACGTTGGTTCAAACGGAACAACTACTGAAAGACTTGGAGACGCTGGACAGACACGCTCAGGTCACAAGACAAGCACACACAACGACATGCACGTGGTTGAGATGTGGTTTGAAAGAGAGCTGGACAAAATGTAATGTGTCTGTCTTCCTTTTTCTTCCTTAAATGTTGAAGTGACTCACAACTGCCACCTGCTGCTACGGAGTGTGTGTGTCATTAGTGTCTTTGCTTTTATGTCAAAACCTTGAAACCCAACGTTGATGTGTGTCCGTGCGCGTGTTTGTGGCTCAGGAGGAGATGAATCGTGCTCAGGTGGTGATCCTGCACGGTCACCAGTTGGCCGCCAACCACCACTACGCCCTGGCACTCATCGTCCAGCGCTGCAATGAGCTGCGGCATCACTGTGATGTCATCACCACTGCCATACGCACCAAGCGGGCCTCGCTCACCAGAGCACGAGACCTGCTGCGGCGCCTTGAAGAGGTAAGAAAATGCTTTATTTACACACAGGGCAAGCACACACGCTCACAGACTTACACGTGAAATAACAATAAAAAAAATCATGAATTGTTGTGTATTCTAGTTTCTCTGCCCTTTTGTGTCTGTGCTAAAACCTTCAAAGGACAAATGTTAAAGTTCCTCCAGTAATTCTTTTCTTTATTCTGATAAAATTAAAAAATCTGTATAATGTGCCTTCAAACATAAAATGTTTAAGTAAACCCAATCATGTGCATTTTGTTTTTTGTGTGTGCAGGCGCTTCGTTGGTGTGATGACGGAGCCTATCTGCTGGCGAGTCAGATGGTGGACAAGTTCCAAACTCGAGAGGGAGCTCAGGAGGCGCTGCAGTACCTCAGCTGTCACCAGGAGAGGGCGCCATCTGCCCTGAATAACAGCCAGGACACGCTGAGCCTGGAGTTTGAAGCCATACTCACCCCACAGCTGCAGGTAACCAACCGCTACCCACACAAACACCCAGATGACCCACAGCCCACCTCAACGTACACTTTCTTCTTGTCTCTAGTCCCAAATTTCCATGGTAACAGAGAAACTGAACTCCATGCAGTCCATGATCCGAAACAGAGAGCAGTGTCTGAGGAAGCTTGCGGATATGCAGGTCAGACCCATCCAGCTGGTGGCCCCAAGACCCGAACCTGAGCAGACCATGCAACGCTGCAAGTCACCCCTCTTCTCCCCAAAACACGGTACACGCCTCTTAAACAGCCCCTTTAACTCACATCGCTCTTCTTGGCTTTTCTCATGGAAAACAGTCAGAATCAGTTTCTGGTGCGGTTTCACTTGCTCTAAGAATTTAATTATAATTTTACTGAAGGTTCTGACATTAGAAGCAGAATTAAATCACCTTCATGTAAAATGTTTTTTCGTCTCATCCCATATCCCTTTAACATCCAGAGTGTAGATTTGTTTCCAAGGAAATTAGATACCTTCTCATGGCATTTAACACACCCTGCTACACACCCTATTGTATATCTTATGCTCTGTCTCTTTCTGAATTTTCTCTTTGGTCTGTGAAACTCTGCAGGTGTAGACTTAAACGTCCTGAACTCCAAGTTTTCCTTTGACCTGCTTCCTGGCAAGAGAGCCGCGAGGAGGAACAACAACCAACGCAAGGTGTGTGTGTGTGTGTGTGTGTGTTTTGTGTTTTTTGCTGTGAGGAACCTTTGATTAACTGGATTTGTTGTTTTTGAAGTGCTGTATAAATATACCAAATTTTCTACCACCTGTCACACATGAGAGTGCAACAGTACATTATTAGCCTACTGTTCTCTATTACTTGACATAGATGGATCTATTTTAACAGTCCAAAGCACATGGTCTAAACTGCATGGCGTAAATGCATTTAGGGCGTTAGCTACCAAAAAATATGGATAACAAAACATCTGCAGCGTTACGCCATGGGTTTTAAAATATGCCAGAAATGTGTCCAAGCTGAGAGACTTGTTTCATGTGTGTTGCGTCAGATCGAGGTGATGCATGATTACCAAGGCAACCGCAGCTGTATGTATGGCCCAAGTCCTGAAACAGATTCAGAGGTGGAGGACAATCCAGAGCAGGTCACACGGTACGCAATCTCTCCCCTGTCTCACCTGATCCCTGACCTAAAGCTTGACCTGTGACTCTACTCTTGCAGCTATATGCCTGTGACTCATACAGGGGTTTTTCCAGCTTCTTTTTCTGCCGTGTCATCGTTAACGGTGACGCTGCATTCAATTTTTTATCTATTTCTCTCTCATTCTCACTCTTTGCAGCCATGTTATGAAGGAGCTGATAGCTACAGAGAGGATCTATGTGGACGAGCTGCTCTCTGTCCTTCTGGTGAGTTGGTTTTAGGTTGTTTTAAAGCATACTGATTTTGTAAGTTTACAGTGCAGGGTATGCTGGGAGAAAGGAAAGAAGATGTCTTGGTTAGACCAAGGTTTCCCCCTGCTGGTGAGTTTCTACCAATAATAATAATGCTCCCACCGCTCCCACTGCTAAATTAGTAAATGTAATAAATGAAAATGTAATATTTAATTAATTTAATAAAGTCTAATTTAATGTAATTAATTTAACTGGATTTTAGTAAATTCATTCATTAAAGTAAATTGAATTTGATTTAAAATATTTAATTGTTTTAATTCAATTGATTTAACTGAATTAAATTTAATGAGTGAATCTAATTTTATTTAATTTTATTAATTCAACTCAATGTAATTTAATTCAGTAAATTTAATCTAAAACTTTAATGCACTTAATACATTTTATTAAATTCACTACATATTACTATCATATTCATATCTTATTATTATCTCCTCTCCTCTCTTCTAATCAGGGCTACAGGGCAGAAATGGAGGACCCATCCATGTCTTATCTTCTCCCTTCAGCTCTACGCAGCCAGAAGGACGTTCTGTTTGGCAACATGCCAGAGATTTACCAGTTCCACAGCAGGCAAGCCACACGCACACACACACATACACACACACACACGCATGCACGCGCACGCACGCACGCACGCACGCACACACACACACACACACACGCACACACACACACACACACACACACACACACACACACACACACCGAGCTCACAAGCTGTCCCACAGTTTTCCTTTTCTCCCCCTCTTTTCACGCCAAACCAATTTCCTTTCATTTTCCTCTTGGCTTCTCCTTTCAGGATCTTCCTTCAAGATCTGCAGAGATGCCTGGAGACACCTGAGAGGGCGGGGGCCTGTTTCCTACAGCGGGTGAGAAAACATGAGGGGAAACATGAGGAATTAATGGGAAGTGATATGACATAACACATCTAAGTGTGCATTTGTGTTTGTGCGTGTGTGTTCAGAAAGAGAAGTTCCAGGTGTACGAGCGTTACTGCCAAAACAAGCCTCGCTCTGAGTTGCTATGGAGACAGTGTTCTGATTCGCCCTTCTTTCAGGTAGTTACATACTGTATACTGTATACTGTATACATACTGTATACTGTATACCTGATCATACATGACGAACAGCATTAGTGCTGATAGCAGGCATACTCTTGAGGACAGCTTTGTTTTTATTTTCAGAACAGAATAATTCATGATTTTCCAATTATGCCTATTGTGCCCTCCAGGCAGCAAAATCTGTCAAAAATGTATCTCTCTCACTCTCTCTCGGCAGGAATGCCAGAGGAAGCTGGACCACAAGCTGGGTCTGGACTCTTACCTCCTGAAACCAGTCCAACGCCTCACCAAGTACCAGCTGCTACTCAAGGTTCTGTACATCTCAGCCAGTCAGTGATGCAGAGTCCTGCAGAAATGCATCTCACACAATGACATCGATGTTTTGAATTGTTTTGAAGTTGCATGTCCATCATCAGAAAATCCTCACATTTTTTTTTTTTTTGCATGAAAGTCACATGAAAAAATAAGGAACAGTAATTTTACAAAAGATTTTGCTGCCTTGATGCAAAAGTGCATGAATGGCTGACTCTCATTGTTATAGAGTAGAGACCAAAAAGTGAGGTGAACTTTGGATAAAAAAATAAGCCATGTGGTCAGTCGGTCTGCACAGAAACTGCTTTTGTTTTGAAAACAAGAAATACTGCATTCAGATTGATGAATGGATGAGGACACATTGAGACAGAGAGCCAAACAATCACCAACATTTATACCAATGACAAGGACATAGACTTAGATACAAACAAATAAGAGCATTTATATGGACACAAGCAGACATCTTAAACAGGCACAGAGACAAATCGACGCCGATTATCCAGACAAAACTGATTTGTGGAGTTGCAGACAGGCAGGCGATCATTTAAACTTACGCTAATGCAGGCAGATATCGAGGCAAACCAGATTAGATAAACTGAAAAACACGGCCCTGTCAACCTGTATCTGTGTCCTTGCTCAGGAGCTGCTGAAGCACTGTACGGAGCAGCGATACCGCTGTGAACTCCAGGATGCGCTGGACTCCATGCTGGAGCTACTGAAGTCTGTCAACGACTCCATGCATCAGATAGCCATCACTGGATATCAGGTACCAGCCGGTCAGATCAATAAATAAGACGGAGTGGGCAATCATGTCACTAGATGCCAGATTTATGATAACTCATTATACTTTGATATAAAAACGGTCCAATCGAAGCTTTCATCACTTTGTCTGCTCTGCTCTGACTATAATAGAAGGAGCGTCTGGGTAGACAAAGAACTGTAAGTTGCAAATACATATTCACAATTTTTTCATCATTACAGGTGGAAGAATGTATGATTTTTCCCTCTTTATGTGTTTTTCATTTATTCTGTTTTTCTTATTTAATCTCCAGTATTCTGTTTCCCATTCTCTGTTACCTCAGGCATAAATTAACAACTACTAAATTAATCTTAAATTAAGTTTTATATACTTGGAAACATTACAATTGACTGGCTTTATTTAGTGTTTACTGGGACGACACTGAACTGAAGGAACATCCATTAAAACTTCCTTCAGGTGGACATTTCTGTTTTCATCTGTTCAGAAAACAGAAAATAATAAAGGTTCAAAATACAGCATATCGACTAACCACTGCAATATATTTACTATCACCAAATATTACTATTTCCAGTTGGGAGATAGCTCCACAATTCATCTGTATCTGTGGATTAAATTAGATGCAATTTGAAGTATAATCCTGAATCACATTACTAAATTTCATTGTAAACCAATACACTTGGGTGTTAGGAGGTGCAGTTGGTTTTGCCTTACTGTCCCTTCTGTCCGCCTGTCTGTCTGTCCCAGGGTGACCTCAGCCAGCTGGGCCGCGTGGTGATGCAGGGAGGCTTCAGCGTGTGGATCAGCCATAAGAGGGCAGCGGTGCGAATGAAAGAGCTGGCCAGGTTCAAACCCATGCAGAGACATCTCTTCCTCTATGACCACGCCCTGCTCTTCTGCAAGCGCAGAGATGAAGACAATCACGACAGGACGCCCTTCTACAGCTTCAAATCCTGCCTCAGAGTAACAATACATAATACACTCACTTTATTAGGTACACCTAGCTACATCCAATGCAACCTAGTTCAACATCCCTACAATAAATCCTCCCTGTATGATGCTTAAAATCATGTCCGACTAACTGATAATTTTAGAAGCTGTATTGAATTGTTCTGCCTTTGATTGTCAAACACAATCCTTGGTTGCAGTTTCTAATCAAAGTGACCGTGCCGAATCAATAACCATGACAAGATTATTAGGTTAGATTAATGACTTCTGTCTCTCTCCCTCTCTGCAGATGAGTGCAGTGGGAATCACAGAAAATGTGAAAGGAGATGTGAAGAAATTTGAGATCTGGTACAGTGGCAGAGAAGTAGTGTACATAGTTCAGGTATTTCATCTTCTCAATCTATCTGTTTTTTAATTGCACAGAGTTTCAGTGTCTGAACCTTTGTGTGTGTGTGTGTGTGTGTGTGTGTGTGTGTGTGTGTGTGTGGGTGTGGGTGTGGGTGTGTGTGTGTTTGTCTGTCCAGGCTCCCACACTGGAGGTTAAAGTTGCCTGGCTGACGGAGATTCGAAAAATTCTCACCAACCAGCAGAAACTGTGTCAAGGTTTCTATTGTTGTTATGATTCGGTTGCTACCTCTGTGTTTCCTTCTGTCTTTGAAATGTCTGATTTGATGTTTATGTTAAGAGGCAATATAGAGCTATAGATCTATTTTTAACCTCTTTCTTTGTAAGCTCATGCTCTTGTGATGTTGATGCTTTTTGTTTTTCACTTTGTATAAAAGTCTTTTGGTAGAATACACTTTGTATATTTTAATTTCCTTAAATTTAAGCCATGCCTCCATGTCATCTGTCCCTCCTCTTTCTCTCAGATGATGCTCCTCTACCAATTTCAGACAACCCCGCCTCTGACAGGTAATTCTCTCTGCATGACCTCCCCTATAATCCTCTGTGTCAGTCTGTGACCCCCTGGTGTGTGATGGTGAGAATGGGCAGACTCATTTGTAATCCATTCTCAATTCAGAAATTGATTTAAAACCAGATAAATGAAGGAAAAGGTTTCTCCCGCCGATAGTGTTGATGATGAAAATTCAATTTCTGAAATTATTTGACAATCATATAACTCCTCAGTTTCACCCACATGCCACCCCACCTTAGCATCATGGTTATCTGTGTATTATCATCTTTGTCATTACCCTTGAGAGTTGGTAGACATGACTACACTGTCAAATCCTGAAGAAGGCTTTAACGCTGTCCATGCTGAATTTCAGCACCATGGAGAGCGCTTCACACTGAATCTAAAACAACCTTTTGCACCAGTGCAGTTATTCTCAGTTCTTATGACTTTTGCTTTATAACAACGGTTTGAAAAGCAGTTCACCATGATTGAGAACCACTGCATTCACATATTGCCAGGCTGCTTCAAAGGTCCTTAAGTGTGTTGACAGTTATGTTATTGATCCTGGGGTTAACCAAGCATCGAAACATTATGGGGTGAACAAATCATAATAAATGTGAGTACAGTGTACATGTCAGATGTTTCTTAAGAGATAACTGCCAAAGTGCAAGTCAGGTAAAACTGTTAGAGGTTTTCCAGAATTGTACTGTTGGTGCTGAGATGCTTGTTAGTCATTGAAAGTACTGGTTCTCTAGGGTAGTGTCAATAATGGAGACTCTCTGTTCTAATATATGTGTGAGCGTGTGTCTGTGCTTGTGGGGATACCAATGTTCTGTTTACTCATAGCATGCTAGCATGTAATGAATTTGATGAAGGACTTTTGACACAATTAACAACTTGTTGACTCACTGTCATTTTGAAAATTTTGAAAATTAACAACATTGGTGCATTTTTTATTTTTTGATCACATTTTGAAGAGCATATTGAACTTAAAGGAAAGTCTGTTGATATTCTGTATGTTTCTTATTGTCAAATTTTCATGAAAAGACCAAAACCAACTAATGAATTGATCCTACTTACAAGTACAGTCAGAGCCTGATATAGCTTATTTCTCTGTGTCATAGACCCACATTGTCCAAAAACAATTAAAAACACATTAATTAGCCTCACTTTTGCACTGGGTGATATGTTCCTATTAGCAAAAACATGGGCACAGTAAATTATTTTTAGTCAATCCCACATACCCAGTGTATGTGGGATTGCTGCTGCAAATACTAGCACACCAAATGTGTATTAGTCCGCGGCTGAAAGTAGTCCCCAACAAATTCACAGTTTCCTCCTATAGGACATTTGCCAAAAATGACAGTGTCCTGCTGTTTTAGGAGATCACAGAACCTCTCTGAAAAATTAAATAATATAAATATAATATTAAATATTAGATTTTTGGTTTTTGCATTTTCATGGGATTTGTTGACAATATAAAGTAATGCCAGTCTTATCCTTTAAGTACATACATTCACAAAAACTCTCAGTTCAGTTGTAAAACTATCTGAGCATGGAATAACCACGATCAATAATTTATTCTGAGATACTATGAATGTATGACACTTTTGTTGGACTTGTGTTCATAATATAGTTCTAGGTGTAAGTATTTCTAAGTAATTTAAGAGTTTCTTCTTTATTTAGTAGATGGGTCGGCTTTAATGTATTCAGACTAAATAAATTTCAAATAATTTACTGTGATTACATTATTTTTTCTCTTTATCCTGGGCTATATGGGACAAACTCCACCCATCTACTACTTAAAGCAGGTTAAACCACACTGAATTATTCACTAATGCCTGATTTTGTGTAAAATACTGTAAACTCACTCAAAATAATATTTCCATATATTGCAGTGTTCTCTGATATAATTGATATTTGTGTTATAAACTCAAACATCCTTTGAAATCAGACACTGCAATATATGTGATTGTGAACTAAATGGAATGCTGTATTAATTTACAGAATGTGGATGAGCTTGTTTTGTGACACCGTGAATGTTGTTGTTGTTGTTCGTTTTGTTTGTTGTGGTCGTGTGTTGTTCCCATGGTGATGCTGTTTAGTGCATCAGAGATGTGTGTGTCGTGGGGCGGCGCATCGGTGGGAGGCTGCTCAGCGTGTCTCCCTGTTCCTCACAGCTCCTCTGCAACAAGCCACTCCTACAGGCACCGGGGGGAGGAGTCAATACACACTAGTCCCGCCCACTCAGACCCCGTGGTTCACTCACCTCGACGCAGTGAGTCGCTGAGACAGTCAAACAAAACAGAGCACTCACACATAAACACACGAATCAATTATTTTTTCCAACAAGCACTTCATAGTATTGTTTTATTTGCTCTTTTTTATGCTTTAACAAATTAATGAAAAGGCTAGGCAAGTATATTTGCGTAGCACAGTAACTAATTGCAGTAACTAATTACAAGCAGTTGTACTTTGAACTGCGTTCACTTTTCTTCCTTGGACTCAAGCAGCAATGAACTAAAGTTGTCTGTGAGGTTTTTTGGGACACCTGAGAAAAAACCATGACTGTAATCTAATCTTTCTGAAAATAAAATGACTTGACCTTTGATAATGGTCAGTAGGGGTGTAGGGTGTGTCAGTTTTGTGTATCCCAATAGATCGTGAAATAAAAATTAGTTATTAAAAAGTATAGCGCTACAGTTTTCAGTTGTCTCAGCTGTCCGTCACCTGCAGGTTGGCCTGTCCCTGCTCACTCGGTGGCAATCTGCGAAGGCCTGGAGGACTGGGGCGCTACAGACCTTTCCAACCTATCAGACTCAGATGAGGAGGAGGATCAGCCGGCTCCGCTGGTGAGTTCTGTTACTGTCACTGTACAGGTAGTACTGGAGAAATGATTTGTTCTTATGCCAAAAGGGAATTTATGATCACTAAGCCGCGCGGCCACACAGGCTCGTAACAGCAATCGGTTGCCGACACCTACAGGATGGGTGGCGGGAATGTTAGTGTTAATAATTGTTTTGTTTCATCCTCCTCTTTCTTCCTCTCCTCCCTGAACGGGCTCATATTAGATTAATACTCGCGTTCTCGACAATCAATAGTTTGCAATAGAACCTGAATTCTATATATATATATGTCTCTGGCTATCTGTCTATTTCTAGAGGTAGATTTAGGAATGTTAGGACTGTTGTTGATGTACATTCGCAAGTACTGAAATGCACTGTCCTCTTGGGTTTTACTTGTCTTTCTTCTGTTCCAGGTGGCGGGGAGGTACAGAGTCATGGTAGAGAGCAGCATGGCCAGCACTGATGACATCATTTTTAACTGCGGTGATGTCATCCAGCTGCTCCATGAGGAGTCGTCAGGAATGTGGTAATGTATTTTCAGAGAGGATGATTAGAGCCACTTTAAAATTCTGCTGCAAAGGAGCCAGGAGATGGAGATGAAATGAAGATATGTTGAAATGGTGACATTTTCTGAGGCTGTGTTGTGTTGCGTAATTACAGGATGGTGAGGAATATAAGTCGCGGTGAAGAGGGGCGTGTTCTGCCTGAAGACCTGCACAGGATTTTGGGAGAGACCTGCTGAGAGCCAATCAGAACAGAGGATAGATGACGCCTGTGACCATTCTTCTGTTTTTGTCTTTTATTTGGCTCACTCTCTCCCTAATTACCCCTGCATATACACACACACACACACACACACACACACACACACACACACACACACACACATTTTCCATCTGCTTCCTGACCAGAAGGGGGCGTCTGACTCTGTCCGAGACATTCATCATGAGATTGAAGCACAACATCAACCACCCACAAACTTTACTCTTCCAACTACTGTGACACTGTTCACCTCAGAGGGCTGTAAATTACAGACTGGACCTCAGAAGACTGTAACAATGCCAGAACATAAATGGGACCTCACAATATCAGAGCCTTCTTTTTCTTTATCTGTTTTTTCCAGCATTAATACAGTAGATTATCTGAAGACGTTGAACAGGGGACTTTTATTCATACATACAGAATAGACTTTTGTTCAAGACTTTTATCATTTCTATTTTCTTATGAAATGTCATAGAAATCATGTGTATGCCTACCAACATATCATAACTGTTCATGTGCCAAACAACTCAGCTAACCATTGTGGCTTCTTTTTGTATACAGTAACACCCTCCTTTATGGGAAATACCTTGTGTTATCATTGTTTAAGAGTTTAAATCGTCTTTCTGTCCAACAGTAACCTGCTACATCGCTAGAGGGTATGCATGAGATGTTTCTATATGCAGAAATCACCGTGGTTACCCCACCTCTTTGTGGCAATAGCAGACACTCAGCTTCTGTCAGCTGTGAAACAAAAAAAAACGCGATAAGCAAAAAAAACCAAGCGAAGATATTACAGATCTTTGCAGCCATAGCAGGTTTGTTTTGTCTGCTCTGATGTTGGTGAGGGATGTGCGTGTGGAAATGTCACTGCATACCCTCGATCATTCTTTTTCACACCCGGCATTCAAACATGTCGTAGCAGGAGAAGGAAAACACTGGTGAAAAAAGTAATATTAATAATAGCTTTGCTTCATTGGGTTTGGCATTGGTCCGGTGCGTGATGGCTCATTGGGAAACACATGGTTAATGTTATTATTCCTCCTCCCCCCCCCCCCCCCCCCCCGCTATGACAAGTGAAAATGTTTCATGTGAAAAAGAGATGAACCGTACTGTTGGTCAGTCCTCAAGATGAATGCACTGCAGTACTGATGCAGGATAGATGCAGGGTAAATAGACATCTTTACTTTTGCTGCCGTTGATGGTGATATTATTTTTGTAAACTGTTTTATTTTGAACTTTGCTGACTTTTGATTGGTGATAATTCTGCAACTAGTTACCACTGTTACCACTGAGATGAGGCAAGCTTTATGTCTCTCCTTGTTTGCCGCTCTGCATGGACAAATCACTGCACATGCCCACTGCTTTATTTCTGCCTGTACTGCTATTACACACCAACAGGGAAACTACACCCAGTGTTGGGTAGTAACTGTAATTAGAGTAGTGTAGAAATAATAATTGTCGACTGAATTGTTATAGTTGTTATAACTGTTGATATAAATTTTGGGGCGCTGAACTGATGAGACAATTTACATTTCTTTAAAACTGCCTGGTTTTAAAACTGCCTGGTCTGACGTTGTAAAAATGAGCCACTTCACCACAACATGTGCTGAGGGTTAATCTCTCAAGGGCAGAAAAATACAGTGTTATTACTTAATTAACAGCTTTTGGAGTCAACTACAGTCAAATGTGAATACACAGAAATCTCAATTTTAGATTTTGAACGCAACTTTGGTGAACAGTCATCTAAATGGTAACACTTATTCGGACGGTCAGATGACACTCAGTTATCAAGTGACAAAAAGTAAATTAGATTCCTACAGACTTTGAATGAATCTCTGGCCTACTTCAATCGAATCCTGCTGGTGACATCAATCCTAACACTTTTAACTTTTAACACTAAATAAAGATTCATCCTCACAGTATTTCACAGCCACTGTGGGAAGATCATAGTCACTTGATAGTGAGTGCCGGTCTTTATAAGGTGTGTCTTAATGATGCTCAGTAATGGGTAACATTTCTTCATGATGAACTTATTTGAACTCCACCTAACACTGTCTGTACTCGAACAACAGAACTTCTTATTAGATTTGATCAGTCAGGCTGCAGTACGTCTTTTCCAAAGTACCTGAAACTGGTGTTTGCTGCTTTTGCTCATGTTGCACTTTTTTGATATTTTGAATCATTGTGAAAGCCTGTATTATACCGCATAATGTATATTATTATTATTTTCCAAAATATAAGCACAGGATTATTTGATTTGAATCAACCTGGCTGATGTGATTTCTTTCCTACATAATGTAGTTTAGGTCCTAGTTGGCTTACTGACAGTCTACAGACACAGTTTCTTCACTAATGCTGCCTGATGAGATCCTCTCAGGACTATGTTGGCCTGTGCAGATTGTGCTTGACTGACATCTCCCTAAGTCTGCGGTTAGTTTTGTTGCTGTTAGAGCAACAAAATATCATCATACTTATGGTGCAGTCAGGCAAAATTTGCCACCCATTTATTTCTGTTATAAAGGGGGGAAGACATTGCTTCCTGCTGCAAGCTGATCTGACTGAGTTGAATTAATAACATTAATAAAGGCCGAGCACCATTTAATAATTAGTTTGCCATGGTTTACTGATACACTTAAAGGAGCTATTTGAAGATTTTGCTATTGCCACATAGCTAATGTTAGCATTAACACCTGTTAACTTACTTGCTGTTGCAACACTTTTCATATTAATTCCTGCCCCAGCGGCAGTACTCCACTATGAGTGAGTCATTTTTGCCTTGCTAGCTCTGCCCAACTTCAATCTGAGATCACAAGTTGTATGATGAGCTTCAGTGTATTAGTTAACAATATTTAAACAGAGACATGAAAATTCTCAGATATTTTCATTATATTTTATTGGAAAGTTGAAAAGTCCAAATTAACCATAACACTTCGTCTCAGTAGAAGAAAAACTTTCACTTTCTCAGAAAAAGGTCAGTTGTTTTCTTGTCGGACAGCTGTGTTCTTTGTGTGACTATTTGTTAGCGTCTAATTTGAATCCCTGTTGTCTGACTGATCCATGGGTAGTACCGCGAGACTCGAGTGTAGATGCCATACTTCCCCTCCTTGGCGCACTCCTCCCCCCAGCTGACAATACCTGTCAGGAACCAAATGCCTTTGTAATTGGTGGCATGCGGACCCCCGCTGTCCCCCTGACAGGAATCCTTCTTTAAATCTGAGAAGCCAGCGCAGAACATGAAGGGTGTGATGTGGTCCCGGCTGCTCTGCCCACACTTGGTGCGATCCACGTACGGGACTTCCAGCTTCTGAAGCTTGGTGGCCCCGAGGCCCTGGAACTTGATGTGTCCCCAGCCGCTCACCAGGCCGCTGGACTCCCTCAGTATGTTCTCTGTAAAGTGTTTGGGGCCCAGGCAGATGGGACGCCGTTGGTTGGACAGCTCCACTGGAGTGGTGAGCTTCAGCAGTGCAATATCATGGTTATACTGTGACTTCTGATAATTATACTTGGGGTGGATATGCCGCTCTGCCACCATATGGTCTCGCTCTGGACCATCCTCCTTATTCAAATCGTGTTCACCTAGAAGCATTAATTCATTCATATATAAAAACAGAACTATACAATATTCTGGATGGATCTAGCAACATAACATTTTGAGCTCCAATGAAGCAATTTTATTATTCATGAAGATGAAAATAGAAAAAACGCGCACTGATCATCTCACTAACATTTTACCTGGCTACAAAATAAAACAAATGTCAGCAGTTGTAGGTACTGGTAGGGGACCTTGCCATGGTCGCCATCTCAGTTTGGACAGTATATCTGTCTTTTGTATTTTTTAGATCATGAACTACAAATCATTAATTCGACATACAGCACACCAAACTGACATACTCCTTTAAATTTTATGTTGTGTTGGATCACCTATTACAAGCAAGTGCCAAGTATTATACATTATCTTTTTTATCAAGTTATTTGTAGTTATTTGGATAAAACATGCAAATAACTTTAAGACTCTGTCTTCAAGACAAACTGACACAAACTGTAGTGACTGAGACCAGGTTGTCTGTTTTCTAGAGATACAGATCAGACATTCAGGATATGAGAACGTAAATATCATGTGTTTTTCATACCGATTCTGATGAAGAAACCTTCTCTTAAGCCATTAGCCTGCACCAGACAGTGGGCAGCAGTGATGACCCATAATTCACTGAGCAGAGATCCTCCACAAAAGGACTCTGCTCTCCCAAGCGATTCTGAGTGAGACATCAGGGTCACCTGCAAACACACACAGGAACATACATACTTAGGTATTTGTTTCTTGTTTCACATGCTGCCACATTGTTCCCTTATAAACTTATAATGTTGTTTTCCTCACCTCTTCTCAGCACTGTAGTCTGTTTTTCATCTATTTTCTATTCACCTGGATAATAACTTCTGCTCTGACCTGTTTCCCTCTTAAAGGGAAACCCAGCATTCTTGTATTATAATTTGTCATATAATGGTCATTACCTGTGGAACAGCAGAGGCTGAGATGTTAACTCAAACATCCTACATTTCCCAAAATGCTACTCAGCTGTTATATTTCCAACATTTCCACTGCTCTACTCCACATGTCCAGTTTGTAAAGCAAACCTTTTGTTTTTTCGTACTATCGTATACATATCATTAAGGTCTGTTGCTAAATTAAACACCTCTGGCTCATTAAGCTCATATGTGGAGTAAATTTAGACCTCAAAAATCGAACTGGCTATGAACAGCACCTGAGACTCAAAAGTTCAAACTAAACTTCATGTATTTGTATCACAACAGTACACCTCCGTCCGTATCATCTATTTGCCTTCGACTTATCCCTGTGTCTCCGTTTTGCATTCCCCCACTACAGTACCTGCCAAGGTATCTCTCCAGGCTTGGCTTCATTGCCTCCCACAATCCTCTGGTCAGTGTTTTCTTCCGCTGTGATGGTGGGGAGTGTGGGTAAACCCCAGGAGAGCACCTGCTTTTTCTCCGTGGGCGTTTCAGTGACACTGCTCGCCTCGGGGCTGCTCAGGGCATCCTCGGCTGGATTTATAGAGGAGCTTGAATCCGACTTCATTGAGCGTATGTCTACTGCAGAGGCCGCCGAGATGTTGAATGGGTCCAAATCATTCGCAGGGAGGTCGACGTAATCGTCAATCATCTGTGTTATATTGTAATCATAGTAGTCATCCCACAGAGCGCCGGTGAAATTGAAGCTTCTTTCAGAGCCTTCTGTCGTGTTTGATGACCGCAGGTGCAGGATGGACCTGGTCATGGATGAGGAACTGAGGGTCACCTGACCGCAGCTGAATGGTGCTGCAGGGAAAATAAAGACAAAGTAAAGAGAGATCATATTTTTCTTGGACATCATAAAATATCAGAGTGTCATTTTTCACAGCGGAGACTGTAGTTCTACAGCCCTTTGTCATTTTGTCACATGCTGAATGGCTGGTTTTACAATGAAGGCAGTGTTACCCAATGACATACAGCTGTCATTGTAAACACTCTGGATCCTGAATAAATTGATGGGCCTAAGATGTATATTTGTCCTTGCACAAACATGCATGTAGGGAATAACAAAAAAAACATGGTGGGAGTTAATGTATTTCAAGAATACAGATGTAATTGCTTGGCTTGCTGCTCGCTCCCAGTGTGGACCATATGGACCACCAGCTGACTGATTTAGTTACATAGTAAACCGGTAGGTGTTGGCTTAGAATTAGCTTACTTTTTGCAGTTGGTTAGAGATGTGTATGTTTAGTGTAGATATATGAATTAACTGTGATCTAAGGTTGGTTGCCTAGGTTGTAGGTATTCTGGTTTTCTGTGTGGTTCTCAATTAGTATTCGAGCTGTCAGCAATAACCATAAATTCTATACTTTATTTGACAGCTATAAACAGCAACACACAGTTTATGACGAGGCGGCCTGCAATCCCTTAATGGGTAGCAAAGGCATGAGAGATGAGTCCAGCTTTTTGTCTTAAGCGCCAGCTTGTATATCATCTCTAACATCTGGTTTGTGACCAGGCTTATCTGTGGGTGAGGAAGTTTATGTACAGCAGCTGATACCAAGGATTTATTTAGTCACTATCGCCTCAAATGCGGGCGTAATGGATGAGACAGGAGGAAATAAATGAGAACATTTTGTAGAGTGGGGTTCCATTTGTGCTGATGCGCCATAGACTGTGGTTTCTTCTTCTGTGGTTTAAAATAAACCTCTAAATATACAGTATCACCAAATTATCTGAGCAATTACTTTGCTGAGTGGTGTGTGTGTGTGGCTTATCGCTTTTATTTTACTTGTTGGTTCGCAGCTCTTCTTGTCTGCCCCAAGCCTGTAGCCAGCCGCACACTGGCACACAGGTCGCTCCACCTGCATCATACAGAAATGAGAGCATCCACCATTGTTGTGCGAACACAGCTTGGTCACCTCTGAAAAAAGGCGGGAAAACAGAATTAATTGTGGTGTTGTTCTTAGTCATCTTAGCACACACACACATATTTTATTTTAATCTTTTTTCGCAAAAAGAAATCAAAGAGACTTGTCTGACTGTTTCACACCCAGTCTGTCACACTCACCAATCTCACAGTTCTTGCCACTGAAGTTTGGTTTGCACCAGCAAACATAAGTGCCGATTCCATCTTCACACTCACCTCCATTCTGGCAGGGGGGTGGCTTACACTGGTCGCCATCTACACACACGCATAAAACACGCACACACAGTATTAGAGGTGACCGTACGCTCTGAACTCTAACGGTGAAAACTTGTCTTACCGATGTAGCGGGCCCAGAAATCCATCTGAAAGAGAAACACGAATGTTAACGACAGACCTTTACACACACACAGTGGATTACTCTTGTGTGTGTGCAACCTACAGTTTTCTCATCGTTCTCAAACACCTCCCTGGCCTCCTCGAATGAGCAGATTTCCTCAATACACTCCCGTTCCAGATTGTCTTTGTGAAGCACTTCCTCGAGTTTGCCACTGTTGTACCTGCGCTGGCGATGCAGCATGGCGTGTGCCGCTCGCTGAGACACAAACACAGCTCCTGTAAAAGTATGAGAGGACAAAGAGAGAATTATTTGAAGAGCTCTGACATTGTTCTCAGGCAGTTAACCTACAACAAAGGCTATATCATCCACCCACCCCACAATAATACTTTGGGGGATATAAACAGGGAGTACACTGTTGCTACAACCTGAGCTTACATTTGAGTTTTCATTTTGGTAAATTGGTAAAGTAGCCCCACTGGCTCGATTGGCATTTTCATCCCTGCCTTTCACTTTCTGACCAAATGCATATTTGAAAAGCAACTTTCTTTATCTATTGCTGCTCAAATGTTTACTTTACAAGAACAATATATACAACATATGAGTCTAATTACTGTACATGCTGATAAACCTTTAATCAGAAGACATTGTAAATACAGCTCAATGCATCGCCTCCATGTCACTCGGCCCCCTTCCATGAAGCTGCAATGTTCTGCCAGAAGTAAAACACTAAGTCAAGGTTTTTGGAACAAACTCAGCAGAGAACTGGTTTGAGCTTTTTTTTTCATCCATTAAAACTGTCATTGAAATCAGCTGTAGCCGACATAATTCATACGAACCACTTCCTCTGTTTTCCACAACAGAGAAATTGACAAACTTTTTGATAACTACCAGGATGAGAGCTTGATAATTAAAACATTAACATAGATTTTTAGTGGTGTATTACTTTAAGATGCGGGGTCAGAGATCAGGCCTGATGCACAGCTGTCCGCCAGCTGACCACCGGCCTCTTCCTATGTTTTCTAAAATCTCTGACCGTCGCCTGCCTCCCGCCTCTTTAATCCACAGCTGCTCCCCTGTCATTTACCTGTGTTCTCCTCTGTGATTTCAGCTGTCAGTCCATACACCTCCAGCAGTAAACCAGCAATCAGGGCCAATGAATAACCTCTAGCCATCTTGTCGTTGGTAGTATTTTTCTGTCTGCTTTTGGCAGTAGAGCCAAAGCCTGAACTTGGTGCTGGAAAGACTGAGCCACCACTCCAAAGTACAGCAGCTCACTGTTTACTCACCTGGCAGGCCACAGAGTGTGTCTGTGTGTGTGTGTTTGTGTGTGTGTGTGTGTGTGTGTGTATGTGTGTGTATGTGTGTGTGTGTGTGTGTGTGTGTGTGCGACTGAAAGAGAGAGTAAGGATTGGAAAAAGTGTGTATGGAAGAAAGAGAGAGAAGTGGCAGAGTTTGAGAAGCAGATGATTTTATTCATGTCAGGTTGAAATTGAGCAACAGCAAATATTGACTGTTAATGAGAAAGAGGGTCAGTTCTGGACATTGTTGTGTGTGTGTGTGTGTGGGTGTGTTAATCACGTTGTTTATCATGATGAGTCTTTTCCGATAAGCTGCTTTTTCAGCGTGGCTTACGTGACATTTCAAATAGGGTAAATGCACACACACACACATACACTTTTGTGCATCTATATTTGTGAGGACCCTCCTTCACATCATACATTCTCTAGCCCCTAACCCTAATCATGACAACTAGCTGTCCCTAACTTTACCCTACATAGGCTTGATCTGAATCAAATTCGGATCTTAAAATGTCAGAGACTCTGTGTAACTGTAATCTGTGTAATGGTTAACTCAAAGCACTCAGTATTTTTGGTTTGGTATAATCGCTAATGTTACCTAATTTCAGAAAACTTTACACAGACATTTCTATGAAACTGACATTACTGAGTCAGTCTGCTGACTTTAGACTTTTGTTTATTTTTTCACGTAGCTCCTCATGGAAGCCTACACACATACACACATATGGGGCCTCTGGAGAGAGCCAGAGTGGGGTCTCGGTCTCTTGGGCTCTGTTGTAGCATCCTGTTGATCTGTGTGTTGTCACTGACATGTTGATGTTTGATCGCTGATGTCACCTGATGTACTTCTTTATGTACTCTATTAATTCTTTAAATGGATGGGTTAGATTGTAGAAATGAATCGCCCTTCTGGGATTAATAAAGTATTCTGAATCTGAATCTCAATCTAGACTTTTTGACTATTCTTTACTTGTGCCACTGTTACACTATACTTTCACATTTCCCATCATGCCATAATAATCACTTGTAGGAACAGTGGCTGCCGTTTAGCAAAGTTTACAAAGACTTGCTTTAACTGTAAAAAAAAACCCAAAACGAGTTTTAACCCTCACACACCAGTTTGAAGAACTGAGGACCGTAATGCACAGTGAAACTGCGCATCACAAAGACAGACATAGAAACACACACACATTTGAAGACAGACTAATGTGTCCAGATTTTAAAGTGTCTCATCATTTCCGTGGACCAATGTTACTGTAAATCTCTGCAGGTAAAATCAGCACAAAGCCACTTAGATACAGTCTAAGAGACGGAGAATATAATCCAAACTCCTCAGATGCTCCTGCACTTTACACACTGACGTAAAGAACCCCAGAGCTCCATCGTGAATATTGACGGCTGTTTGATTAGAGTGTGAGTTACACAGGGTGGGGCTGTGGACAAATCACTGTGACTGACAGCCAAGTCAGCTGGCCTTGAGCCAGCAGTTCCTTGGCAACAACATCCTTGTGGAGACTTATTGGCTGAGGATGATTTAAATGGGGGTGATGAGGAGTTGTATCTCTCTTTTTAGTGCAACTTATGCGAGCCGTTAAATTCATCGCCCCTTCACAAACTATTCTACAGGACAAAAAAAAAAAATCACAAGGGAAGAAAACAATTAGCACCATCTCCGCCCCTTTGGTAACACTTATGATTAAATCTCTTCGTGCTCATTAGTGTCCTGGGACCACATCTTTCAGTGGCTCAGCAGTGGGGGGGGGGGTCACTGACGTCAGGGCATGTCAGATGTAAATGCGCAGAGGAAGGCAGGGCAAAGTGGGTTGAAGCCAGGAAAAGCATGCTGGCTGTGTACAAAATCCTGTCCAGACTGCACTGTCATGTGACTGGTAATTACATTTCATTTTGTCTCTAAAGTTGATTACAAGAGCATTTATGTAATCCGATATTTATTGTCAACAGACTGAGAGCTGGCAGTAAAAAAAAAAAAAAAAAAAAAAAAAAAGGCATAAAAGCACATAACACAACTAAGTGAGTAAATTTCTCTACAAACAGCAGCTGAATTCATGACTTAAATCATGGGTAACAACATATTTTGACAGTCACAGTGAATAAGATTAAAACTGGTATTGTGTATCTTTATTGATCCCGTTGCTGCAGGCGGCATTTTGCCTTTAATATTTAATGTGTCTTGGTTTTATTTTCAGTGTTGACAAGGTTTGTTAGCTTTGACTTGCCTTTAATTTGAAGCATCATGGAGCATCATTACAGAGGCTAAGGTAGGCTTCTCAGTGAGCTGAGTCAGGAGGATTAACCAGTGTTTCATTTGGACCGACTCGCATTGCTCCCTTTGGTGTAGCAGGTGCAGTGATGAGGACTTCAGGCTCTGGTTTCAGGCCTGGGATCAAGTCGATAACCTTTTTTTTTTTTTTTTTCCACGTCACCCTCTCATCAATCAGAACTCCTCCAATATGTCCTCTTTCCTTTCCTGGTATGATCATACAGCTGTTTCGCCTCCAGTGAGTGACTCATGAGGTCAATGTCTCCGCCTTTCCTGTTCCCTCAACAACACTGTGTGGTGCACAGCTGACCTGAGACCAGCTTACAGCGCAGAGGAATTACTATTACTGGCAAATTACAAAGCAAAATATGACTTATGTACCTGAGGATTTGTCAGGTTTTTCTAAATTCACTCCAGGCACAATGTTTCCACTGTGTAATGAGTAATTTAGAGTGGACCACTGAGAGACAATTTCCATATTTGAAAATATAATGAAGGATAATTAGCTAATGACGTGAACATTTTGCAGCAGTTTAATTAAACACTTCTATGACTGACACTTAATCTGTCATTATCTGACTTGGTGTGACTTGATTAACCCTCCACATCTGTTTTTCTCCAAAGAAAATTAATAGTTCCCAAATAACTGAATGAAAAAAACATGCCACTGTGTTCATTTGACAGTGACAGCCCTGCATTAATTCTTCACATCCGGGAGCATTTTATCAGAGTGGGCTCTGCTGATGGGAACAGGAGCAGTCATTCTGCATGTGGCACTTTTTGTTCTAATAGAGCAGCTGGTCCCAGATCAGTAATCCTCCAGGGGGAGGGTCTGGCAGAAGGCCAGTTTTTGGCTCATTTAGTAGCTGGAGTCAAAAAGCCACTTGGACTTGACGTCACCGGCCTGTTATAGAAGAGTCAGACAAACTCGTCACATGAGACAACGTAAAAGATGCTGTGAGTGGAATTACAAGCAGCATGACTGTGTATGCTACAGCGAGGGAATATAAATATTCAATAAATCAGTGACATATTTTTCTATTTATTCTATTCAATGCAGGGATAGAAAAAGTCACCAAAGAAGCAGCACTAAAGCAAGGATTAGTATACAGACTTAACTCTGTCTCATAAAGGAGCTAGATTTTCCTTTTTTTTTTTTTGTAAACCACTTGTTGAATAATTTTTTTCAAAATTACATATTTATTATTTCATTAAAATATCTTGTTCATTTTTAAATTCATTATTTTATTTAATGGTAATTATTTGTTTATTTTAGATTAAATTAAATCTATTATTATTCATTTAAAACTTAATTTATTTTAAATATTGCTATTTTAGATATTTGTTTATTTATTGTCAGTATTATTCCTCAGTCAGTGTGATGTCATGGTTCCCATGTGATCTGCTCTATGTCAGTGTTTGATTATGTGACTACATATCTGTATGAGACTGTGACAATAAGTCACTGAGTCACTCTGCAAATATAATACATGCACAGGGATTGAACAGGGACTGTCAATGTCACTGTGTAAGACAAAATTAACTAGTTAAGCTCCATTTATTTATTCAGTAAGTGTCACTGAGATCAAGAGCTCTTTTGCAAGACTAATTAAATCAGATAATTCAGTCACACAAAGCCGTCGTCACACACTTACATTAAACCCAGATAGAAAACATTAGAACACAGAGAACATCTCTATGGGACAACTCTTTATTCTTTTGCTGTCAGATATACCAGTTGTAACAACAGACTGAGGATGCTTTACACTTAACATCTCAAGCTTCCATTGCTGCTTATAAAATTTGTAAAAACTAGGTCTCCTGAAATGAATTCCCGACAGTCTGAGGCAGAAACAAACAAAATGAGGGCTAGCTCCAGCAGCTCAGTCCTGTTGTGCCACACAGCTGCTTGATCTATAACAGAAGAAACTAAATTTATCTCTGGCCCAACTTCTTCACACTGAGCACAACAAACTGAAGCCTCTAGGACGGTCTTGTTGAGTGGACTTGGACCAAATGGTGCTGCAGGGAGAAGAGAAGAGGATTGAAATTGATTGTCATTATCAATTTCATAGACATTCAATGTAAAAAAAAAAAAAACTTAACTGTTGACTGATTCCATTAGTGTACTAGAGTGTTATTGTTTTTAAAAGATAGTGACAGTACTCCTATGTTATACCTCCAGTAAAACAATAAGCATGAATTTACCTTCTATAAATGTCACTTCAGATAATCTACACACACTGTGAAGCGACTGTTTGGCAGACTGTCACAGGATTAATTGTAAGTGTATCCTACTTCTGCCTCAGTAAAAAAAGAAAGAAAAAAAAGCCATTTTCCAGCACAAATTGATTAAATGATCAATAAACTGAATCATTTGCATTGTGTTAGACCGCTGAGTTTGCAGGTGGATCTGCATTTATTGGACTGAAGACAACCTTGTGAATATGTTGACCTTCTTAAAGTCGAAAATGGGCATCCTACTATTGCACCCCCCCATGGAAAATCCATTTATTCAACCTATAATAATGGCTTTATTAACAGTTAATTCAATAATGCTTTTTGATCAATTGTAAGAAATTAAAAAGAAAGACTTTTGTGTCGCAGGGTTGTGGAAAATCCTCCTCACTTGATTTGTCTTTTCAGTTCCTACATTGGTCGGGAAGACCCCTGAACTGGAAAAGGGCTGCAGGACAGCTGAACCAAAAACCAGTTATTAATGACCTACTGACATTTAGACCATAACTTGAGACATGGAGGTCACATCTTTATCATTTTCCAATAAGCCATTAAAGCTGAAGTTATAAATGTTAACAAGTCTTTAATAAAGGGTCATGAGTTTCTCATTTTCCAATAAGCCATCAGCAGATATTAGTCAGTCACCTGTAATCATAAAACATAAATTGTAGTCTACAGTTGTGAATGTTAAGGTTGTTAATAAATTTAGTGCTATCTAAAATAGATAAATGAAAAATAAAAACAGTAACTCTGGAGGAGGATTTTCCACAACCTGGCAACACATTTGTTCTTAATGATCTATAACTGAACTGTGAAGCTTTAGTCGCCATTTATTATATTGAATTACTATTAATTACAGTTTGTAAACCTTTCAGAAAAGGAGGGGTTTTAACGTGCTACCTCATCTGCAATTAATCTGTAGAGTGTGTTAAAGAGGGTCACATTTTTTTATGTAATCTTTCTTTGTCTCTCAATAAGCAGTTTCTGCGCGTGCACGTCGGGGAGCGCTCCTGCTGGTATATGGTGACATGTAGACGCTCATCGGGCTCAAACAGAGGCAGAAGCAGGGACACAGAGAGAGAGAGAGAGAGGGACAGGGACAGAGGGCGAGAGTTGGACTTCTAGCTACTGCCGCGTGCGTGTCTGTGAAGGGGAAAAAACACACACACCACAGGAGGATGAAAAAGTAAAACCGTGAACCTGCATCTCTCACCTGAAGTTTGATTCCAACAAGAAGCAGCAGCAGCAGCAGCAGCAGCAGCAGCAGCAGTGATCCATGAGCGGAAAAACGAAAGGCAAAGAGGATAAAGACCATGCCGCCAAAGGTGAGTGATGATGAACCAGAGTCTGACACGTAATCTTACGCACTGTTTTTGTTTTTCTTTATTATGAGCTCAGAAGAGGGTTTTGCGATGATGCTGACATCAGCATGCTGACCACTCATCCCCATTGTCTCCACACTCCAGGATACAGCAGGGCAGAGAAGCTAGACTACTTTGAAATATTGTTGGAAAAATGTATCTATAGATGATGCTGATGTAAACACATAAAAAAGAATGACATATCTTTACGGGTCCTGCAGCTTACAGCTTCATTACAAATGTGGGAGGAGATTCATAACCCTTGCCTGGTGGTCAAAATGAAACATCCAATATATGCTGGTCTTGTAAAATCATTTAAAGAGGTGGTTACCCCCCCCCCCCACACACACACACACACACAAACACACACAACCACAGAAGGGTCTCAGATCTCATTTCAGCAGCGCACATGCACCAAAATTCATTTTCTCCCCCTCAGGACAGCAATAAAATCGACGCGCGATACACACCGTAATGGAAACTGGGAAACTATCATTGCCATGGAGACAAAAAAGGGAGTTGCCCGCAAGCTGGGCGTGATAATGCATAAATCTAGCGCGTAGCCACATGAGACCTGGACCCATTCATAAAAATAAGCGGAGACATGCGGCGGGTTTGTGTGGAAGTGCAGCGACATGAGCGCGTATGACAGCTCCTTCAGTTACACGAAGATAAAAATAAAATAGGCTCCAAACACATGATAGTAGACTATGCCTTTGTAACACTGTAACAGTGGAAGGTAAGGTCGTCCAGATCATCCAGTTTATAGAGTAAATACAGTAGGAAATCATCAAAATATATTCTAGAGAAATGTGCAGTGTGATAAGTATAAAATTATTCATAAAATCACAAGCATAGAGTTGCCTTTCTTTCTACATCGGTAGTCCCCTTTGGAATGAACTCAAGTTGAGATATTGGTGTGTTCGGTAAACCAATTACTATGACAGATAATAGGAGTTTCATTCAGTGCAGTTAGTCTACCCTCATATGAGCAGTATCCAATAAAGTTTGAAGACAGAGCTTAGTCTTTTGGTTTTGTATTGGAGTCTGTGTGAGGCTATAGTAGCCAATGTGATTACAAATGTGAAAGCCATCAGAATGAATTTGTATTGTATCTATTGTAAAAAAAAAAATGAGTTCGTTGGTAACAGGAAAACTGGATTCACAAAGATATGTCTGTTACATTAGTTACATTGTGCCTCATGCCAGGAGGAAACAAAGTATCACCAGTGATAAACCAGTTGGAGTGGAAATGCCACCAAAACTACACAGAAAATAATGAGGTGTGGAGAAGCCACAGGTGAGGGAGAGAGAGAGACAGCAGGTGGGTTTCAATCCATCTTTTTTTATGCACATTTCCAACTTAGGACAAAAATAAAATCTTAAGAGGTGACACCGGAAATTTGAAAAAGTCTTGAAATATAGCAAAAAATGTTTTCATATGGTGGAAAAGCTGGTGTATCAACAAAATGCAACAAAGTAGTCTTCAATGGAAACAGACTTAGTGAATAAATCATGGTCTACATGAAGCATGTGGCTTAAACATCCACTGAAGATTCCTTAATACAAAAACAAAAGATCTGCAAATGAGACCGTTAATTCATGAAACAAATATAATAAAATGCCACATAGAGTTTTCTACTTTGTTTTTTACAGTTTAAGGTTTGAGCATGTTACTGCACCCTCTTCTTCTACAATGGTTTTAATGACACCTGACTGTGTGAGAATTAGCGCCACCAGCTGTTTAACCTGGTAAACCACCTCCTAACATTTGCATAACAGCGGTGGATGGAAAGATGCGATTTCTTATGCCAAATGTTTGTGACTGATTTTGTACAACTTGTAAGTTATCGCCCCTTACATAGAACTGTGCCAGTCGTGATCGGTTGGTTGGTTGTTGCAACAGAAAAAATAACTGAAACCAACTGCTGGTAGCAGAATAGTAATAAACCTAATTTATGGTAACCTTTACTCATAAAACACCTTTAAAAGGATACAATGCAAACACATCAATAAACAGAAAAGGCAATAAAACCACGACAATAAACAAGGGGTGGTTTATAAGTGGATAAGTCCACTGAGAGACCAGAACAATAATAACCCCTCTACAATGTAATAGAGTCCAATACAACAGGCCTGTAATAAAAAATGGTCTTATGATGTGTCATTAAAGTTAACATAGTGGCACAGGTTGTTGATTCAACACAGTGTATCCACCACCTAAATGAGGTTAACCAAATATTAGACTCTTCATCCTAACACAGCCCAGTACAACCTGACCACTCCAAACACATTAGTTGTCTCATTAAAACTGAACATTTTAAGTAAAGCAGTATTGGTTGAAGGACTAGTGCTCTGCATTACTTTGTGCGAGTGTCTAGGTGTCTATATTTATATTGCGGAAAAACATAGTGGAAAAAACTGTTATTGAGCAATTATCAAGGCCACATTATGAGCTGAATTAATCGCCTGAGTCAGTAACTTGTTCATTGACACACAGCAAAGTAACACAGAAACAAACAGCGTCAGAAATGTTTGCTCTTACAAATGCTGAAAGATGTCAAGTCTCTTATTCTTTTTGACTAAATTATCTTCAGTAATGAGTCTCTCTCTCTCGGGCGGATAGATCAGCAGGGTTATACATCACATCACCTTGTACTGTTCTGTATAATATTATAGTGGTTTTCAGGATTAAGTTTGGGTAGAACAAGAACTCATTAACATCGTTCTTATAGAGGTTAGGCTTATAAATGCGGATTATAAGCGTGTGCCTGTGTGTGTGTGTGTGTGTGTGTATGTGTGTGTGCACTCATAACAAGCAGGAGAGAATCACCAGAGGCAGTATTGTTAATTAACCCTGATTGTGGCACAGCAATATGGCAGCAGAGGTCAACGTTGCGCAGCAATTAAGGCCTATCCCATGTGAACTACATGTGACTTTACACTGATGTAATGTTTCAGCATACAGTCCAGCAAAGCACGACAAGCACTAAGGATGAATTGTAAAGACTGTGGTGATCCCCTAATTGTTATACCGCCATCATTAGATCAAAGTTTTAATTTGTTTTGGTTATTTTGGTTTATACCAGTAAAACTAATGACATTCCCATCAGCGGCAGCTGTACATTGTGCATGGTGTTCATTTACAAATGTTAGCAAGCTAATGTGCTCAATTAAGATACTGAACATGGTAAATAATACAGAATAGCTGCTAAACATCAGCATGTTAGCATTATCATTGGGAGCATGTAATGTGATCTTCTTTGTTTTGGTCTCTGGGATGGTGGCGCGTGCATGTATGTGTTAGTGCATGTGAGTTCGTTGTTGTTAAACTGATGACTATCCTCACTTCTATTAAGAGACTGCTCACTGGTGAGATGGCACAGTGCAACCCTTCGTGTTCTGTCACTTAACATTCTTTCT